GGCATCTTAGGGCACAAGTGGTCTTATATATTTCTTTTGCAATATGGAGTGGGAAGGGAGGGACAAGGCATGTGAACGTGGCCTGCTTTAGATCACTTTTAGTACCCGTAGAATCCATGGTTCTCAAATTCAGTCATCTGAATACTCAACTGATACTTAAGCTGTGTAACAGTTCTGGATAATTATATTTCTTGGTTATTGAGATTAACCCTGTAATGTCATTTTTTTTCAGAAACAGTCGTCTCAATTAGCATCTATAATATCCACCGAAATCCAAGCATATGGGAAGACCCAGAGGTAACTGCAATGAGTTAAAGGCAGGTGGCAGCCCTGAGAAATAATTTCTAAGTGTGAAAGCATCCCTTTGGCACAACTAATTTGAATGTTTTAATTCAAATCCAAGAAATGTCATTGTGGAGTAGTGTTATGCAATCCTCACAAACTGGGTGTGTTACAGTTAAGGTAAAAGTAAAATATGCCAGGTACTGGAGAGCCATAATAGTTGTCTTCCAGCCATGCCTGTTTGGTTCCCAGAATCATCTCTTTCTCTCTTGGAAAGCAGGATACTTTTTTATCGTGTTAGGAGCAACTTGAGAAACTGCAAGTCGCTTCTGGTGTGAGAGACTTGGCAGTCTGCAAAGATGTTGCCCAGGGGATGCCCAGATGTTTGATGTTTACAATCCTTGTGGGAAGCTTCTCTCATGTCCCTGCATGGGGAGCTAGAGCTGACAGAGGGAGCTCAACCCACTCTCACCAGATTCAAACCGCTGACCTATCAGTCAACAGTCCTGCCAGCACAAGGGTTTAACCCATTGTGCAACTGGGGACTCCTAGCAGGATACTAACTGGACTTGATCCAAAGAGACTTTCATGATGCTCTTAAAGAAAAAAAAGACAGGTACATATATTACAGGACAATTTAATAATCATTTACCCTCATACTGTTTTGAAGGGTTAGTAGTTTAAATTCAGAGGACTGCATAATAGTAAAAGGTAACGGCCACTTATTGTTATTGTATGCCTCAAAGCCACTTCCAACTAATGGCGATCCTAAGATGAACCTATCATGGGATTTTCTTGGCAAGATTTGTTCAGAAAGATTTGGACTCCTCTTCCTCTGAGGCTGACAGAATGAGATTTGCCCAAGATCACACAGTGGGTTTCCATGGCCAAGAGAGGATTCAAACTGGACCCCAGTCATAACTCAGTACTTAAGCACTGTGGTGGCTCTCACTATAAATATTATCTGTCTATCTATCCTATTATTTGTGCCCATCTTTCACTTTGTTTTTTAGTGTCTTATGTAAATGCTTTAAAGCAGTGAGGCAAGCATGTGTCAAGGGAATAGTGAGACACTTAGAATCATAGAGTTGGAAGAGATCCCGTGGCCATCCAGTCCAACCCCCTGCCAAGAAGCAGGAAAATTGCATTCAAAGTACCCTGACGGATCCAGCCTCTGTTTAAAAGTCTCCAAAGAATGAGCCTCCACCACACTCCAGGCAGAGAGTTCCACTGCTGAACAGCTCTTGCAGTCAGGAAGTTCTTCCTAATGTTCAGGTGGAATCTCCTTTCCTGTAGTTTGAAGCTATTGTTCCATGTCCTAGTCTCCAGGGCAGCAGAAAACAAGCTTGCTCCCACCTCCTCATGACTTCCCCTCGCATGTTTATACATGGCCTTCATCATGTCTCCTCTCAGCCTTCTCGTCTGCAGGCTAACATGCCCAGCTCTTTAAGCCACTCCTCATGGGGCTTGTTCTTGCATTTAGAAATGCTAATGAAAGATCTTTACATTTTCTACTAGGTATTTGACCCCACACGATTCTCACCAGAGAAATCATCACATAGACATTCCCATGCTTTTGTGCCTTTTGCTGCTGGACCAAGGTAGGTATGAAATTAATTTGTTAAACCATTAAAAATATTTTATGTGAAGAAAAGTAAATCCCATGGTTCTGTAAATGCTGAAAGTTGGCTAATCATTTGGTTGATTGTGTAAGGTACCTAAGTCAGTAAATTATAAAAAACAAGTCTTTAGGAAAAATACTGATTTCCATATTCTATATTTTTGTTTTAAAATGCATTTGTGAATGGGGTGCTGTCCACATGCAGTCTTTTAAATTGGGAGATAAAGCTGTGTAAGATCTTAAGTGCCCCTTGGTGGTGTAGCTGGTTAAACCACTGAGTTACTGAACTTGCTGATTGAAAGGCTGGCGATTCGAATCTGGGGAGCAGGGTGAGCTCCCGCTATTAGGCCCAGCTTCTGCCAACCTAGCAGTTGGAAAACATGCAAATGTGAGTAGATCAATAGGCACTGCTTCTGTGGAAAAGTAACGGCACTTCATTCAGTCATGCCAGCCACATGACCTAGAACGTGTCTACAGACAAGGCTGGCTCTTTAGCTTAGAAATTGAGATGAGCACCACCCTCAGAGTCAGACACGACTAGACCTAATACCAGGAAAAACCTTTACCTTAAGATCTTAAGTTGTCTTAGTCTTTTCTCTTCTTTCAGGAATTGCATTGGACAGCAGTTTGCCATGAATGAGATGAAAGTAGCTCTTGCTCAGATCCTGCTCCGCTTCGAAATCTTACCAGATCCAGCAAACATTCCTATTCCAATCCCTCAGGTTGTCTTGAAGTCTGCAAATGGGATTCACCTGTTTCTAAAAAAACTCGACTGACTTAGGACTGTATCACACGAGGCTTGTGAAGCTATATTACCATGGGATAATGGTGTCTTTGGTCATTACTACGCACTGCATAACACTGTTCTGATCCTTGTAGCTGTTTTCATATTCCACCCACTCCTCTCAGTCATTCTTCTTTTCCACAGTGGATTTACATGCAAAAGTTCCTCTCATTGCAGTTCTGTTCTCAGGCAGCAGTGGGTGTGATTTTAGAGTTCTACCACCCTCCTTCCCCTTCCTTCTCCTCCTCTCGCCTCTCTTCCCTTTCCTTTTGTGAGGAAGGACTCTCATTCTTTCAGGAATGGTGGCCTCATGAGGAAGGACTCCCACTGCTTCTATGGTGGAGTTTAGCTGTTTCTTCCACCCCCACCAAAGAAGTGATGGGATCTTTCTTTGCAAGAAAGAACTCCCATTGTTTCTCTGGGTGGATGCAGCCACCATCTCCTCACTCCCCAAAGAAGGGCTCTTCCACACAGCCCTCTATCCCAGAATATCGAGGCAGAAAATCCCACAATATCTGCTTTGAACTGGGTTATCTGAGACCACAGATAATGTGGGATTTTCTGCCTTGATATTCTGGGATCTAGGGCTGTGTGGAAGGGTTCGAAGTGACAACATTCCTACCTCACAAAGAAGAATTCCCATTGCTTCTTTGGAGGGGCACAGCTGATTTCCCCACCTTACACTCACAAGAAATTACTATCTTTTCTGGGGGGAAATGTCTTCATACATCAGCCTTACAGTTTCCTTGCATGAAGTCCCTTCTCGCCCACCACACACACACACACTCACCCACACCAACCCCCCCCCCAATCATTTTATTGTTTTTTACTTCTCTGGCAAGCCTGAGCTCATTCTGGCTCTCTCCCTACATGTTCCCTTTGGTGATTTCTGCCTTTTCCCATTTTTTGTTCATGTTCATTTGAAATCTTAGCTCAGTTGGAAGTTCTTTGGTTATTCACTCTAGTTAGTTTAGGCTGGATCTACACTGCCCAGTATCCCAGGATCTAATCCCAGATTATCTGATTTAAACTGGATTATATTGGTCTGCAATGCCAGATAATCTGGGATAAGCAGATAATCTGGAACCAGATTCTGGGATATAGGGCAGTGTAGATCCAAGCCTTAGACACCTCCCATTTTTCCTTCTCATTGAAATTGCTTGAAATTATGTCTTCAATATGTCACTGCTAAGAAACTCCCATTTTTCATGAATTCTTTTAGTACTACTGACATCAGGATCATATCCAATATTTTCATAAGTTTACTGAAACCTGCTTTCATAAGATATAGAATGTGTGTCTATGCTCATCTTATTATTTCTGTTGTATAACAAACTCCAGGAGAACATGGTCATTCACACCCAAGGATCCTAGCACTTTCACTCCATTAACAAGATCATCACTGTTGCTTAGAATTAGATCTGAAACATCTGATCACTTTGTTTAATCTTTCATCTTTTTGACAATGAAATTTTCTGAAATGCCGTTGGCCCTTATATTCATGTCAGACTTCAATTTGTAACAATATTAGAATAGTTAAAATCTTCCATTGCTACTACATCTCTCTGTACCGATGGGGTAATCTGTTCCAATAAGGCAGGACTGCACAACCTGCTAACTTCAGGTATTTTGAACTTTAGCTCCCAGAATTCCTGAGTATTGGAATAACTGATTAGGCCTTCCGGGAGTTGGAGGCCCAAACACCTAGAGAGTTGTGCAGGTGTGCAATAAGTCCTCAGTCTAGCTTGTGGATCTGTGGTATACCTCCACAATCACACCCCTGTCATTTCTCACCGTATTAATTAATAGGTAGCCATATGCTCTCAACCTGGTTTCCAGGGTTTAAGTCATGCATTTTTTTCACAAATGAAAACATTCTTGACATATAATACTACTATTCTCTTTTTCAGATTGGTCTGTTTCTAAGAAATAGATTATAGATTATTACATCATATTTGCTTTGTTGTATTAAGCATCCATCTTGTTTATATCCTATGCTCTGTGCATTAGTTAGGGACATCTGACATCCCATGGTTGTGTTGTATTAATTGCTTATGAGACTTTTAAACTAAGTTATGTTGGGGAAGGGTTGATTAGGCGCTGGAAATCATAGCCAGATTATAGAGAGGTAAAACAAAAACATTCCCGCCAACTGCAAAAAGGTGTAACCCATTGCTTGCTTGAAGACCATCTTCATGAAAGTGGAGAACATGGTCCAAGAAATCAGATCATTCCTGGTGACATCATCTGCTTGCTGAGCCAATTGTTCAACTCCACTATTCTTCTCTCCCTTCCTGAGTCATGTCCTTCAACAGGACAGTGGTTCTCAACCTGTGGGCCCCCAGATGTTTTGGCCTTCAACTCCCAGAAATTCTAACAGCTGGTAAACTGGCTGGGATTTCTGGGAGTTGTAGGCCAAAACACTTGGGGACCCACAGGTTGGGAACCACTGAACTAGGACGAGAGATGAAATGGCAACCTGTGAATCAAGGCCCTATAGCTTCAAATCCAAGACCTTGTAATCCCCTATGATAACTTGAAGGCTATGTCTTGCAATGTCATTTGTTTCCCACATGGTCCAAAAGGACCAAAATGCATAAGCATTTATGCTATTCTAGATGAACTTACATTGTGAAGGATTGGGAGTTCTGCTGGATCTTACTTTTCTGGAATAGTGTTCAACTATTATCTGCGTAAAGGACAGGGGTCATATTCTGTGTCACCATAATGGGTTTTGCTAGTGTGAAATACAGCTTATAGTTTAAAACTCTTGTCTATGTCCGGTGCAGAATGGCATGCTATGCAAGGGTTAAAAGCATAGTGATTTATTTCCTAGAGTGTGAACTGTTCTGGGATACGTCACACATTCCAATGACATGAACTTGAGATAAGGACTGCTGGGCATCCACTTCTTTCAGCCATGCCAAGGAACAAGCAGGCTGAATGTAAATAGTTCTGTTTGTTATTTTCTGTAGCTGTTAGAAAGGACCTAAATAAACGTGCCGCTTCAAGGCTTTGAAGCTGATGGATGACTGTGTACTCTGCTTTATTGCGTGCCTCACTGCCGCTGCACTGAGGCCGAAGTGTTATTGACATTCTGGTGTAGCTGTGTAGGTCATATAGCAAAATAAATAACAATCCAAAATCCATACTACTTTTATTGGCCAACTAAAACACACACAAAATATGCAAGCTTTCAAAGCTCTACTGGCCTCTTCATTGAATGTTAACCCAGTGAGTTTAACTTAAAAGAGTAAAATAATTTTTACTGGTAGAGGTTGAATGAAATGATTTTGCAAAATGATGCAATCATTAAGAAAGCTAAAATATACTGAAAGAATTTTTGGAAGATGGATAAAGGCACTGAGATCTGAATGGTATGGGATGCTAGAAAAGTATTCTTGTGAAGATATTTTATATAGCAAGATCAGAGCTAAAGAAAAAAGGTAAGTGAGAATGTAGATGATTATGGATGATCTACAAATGGAAAAAAAAGAACTAAAGAAGTCCCCCTAGAAAACTGATGTAGTGAATCAAATTAAAATATTACAATCACAACTATCTCTGGTGACTATTAGCAAAATTGAAACCAAGATGTATTATGGGAAGCTTATGACATTTGATTTTGAATGTACCGAGTTAGGAAAATAGCTGGCATGTGAACTGAGAAAAAAAAGGAGAGAAAAAAAAATCTGAAATTACAGGAGGAAAAAGAAACGATTACTTTTTTTTTAATTTTTATTGTTTCATGGTGTATATAAGAAATAGAACAGGCAATCAGAAAAGAAAAGAGACAAAAGAAAAAAGAGAGGAGAAAGAAAAAAGAAAATATATACAAAGGAATAAACAGACTTACAAAACAATATACAGCAAACACCCATAGATCATGTGAAAAATCAATATTAGCTGTACAGTTATCGTACCTTAACATATCCTTACTCCTTTAACCTCGCATCCATGAACCCAACCCCCAAGATCTCCAACACCCCTCAATGTGGATCACATAACTAACCAGCAACTACCCATATGATGCTTTGTGGCATCAAATCTGTCTTGGACTTCTTTTCAGAAACCCAAGTGTCAGCCTCCATTTGTTTGCAAATGCTTCATAATTTCCTCCTCTGCTACTATTTGTTAGCTTGGCCATGTGGATATAATCTAATAATTTATCTCTCCTATCTGTAATAGTTAACCCTTTTTCCTTTCCATATTTTAGTTAGTATTAGTCTTGCCGCAACAACAACATTAATAATAATAACAACCCATCTCCCTGGAGGGACTCAGGGCAGCTTACCTAGGGACAAGCCTGAAAAAATAGTTAAAATATAACACACTAAAATATAGAAAAAACAACATAAAACAGAATAAAACAATAACATTATCAACAGAATATAAGAGCAACCATCAAACCAACAACCAATTAACCTGCAATAATAAACAATTTCTGGGTATGGGTGGGCAGACTGGTGCAACTCAATTGTAAGGATAGGGCTGGTGGGTAAAGTGCATAAGTCAAATGGCAACATTGGGGATAGTAGGCAATATGAGATGGAACATTATGACTTTGGGTACAGAGCAGTAGTAAAGTGCAAGGATGAGATTTTGGGTTCTGGTTGGGCCAGGTTATCTGGGGGGATTGTCTAATTGAAGGCACATGTTTTTAGATATTTGGGTTGAAGATGGACAGGGTGGGTGCTAGCCTAATCTCCCTGGGGAGGAAATTCCAGAGCTGGGGGGCCACCAATGAGAAGGCCCTCTCTCTCGTCTGCACCAGCCATGCTTGTGACGGGGGTGGGGGTGAGAGAAGAGCCTCTCCAGAAAATCTTAATGTCCGTGCAGGTTCATAAGGGAAGATGTGGTCACAAAGGGTTCCGAACTGTTTAGGGCTTTATAGGTAATAACCCCCATCTTGAATTTGGACCAGAAACTTATCGACAGCCAGTGGAGCTATTTGAATGGGGGGTTGACCGCTCCCTATAATTTGCACCAATTAGTAACCTGGCTGCCGACCTTTGCACTAACTGCAGTTTCTGGGCTATCTTCAAGGGCAGCCCCACATAGAATCCATTGCAATAATCCAATCTGGAGGTAACTAAGGCATGAACCACTATGGTCAAGTCAGACTTCTCAAGGTACGGTCACAGCCGATACAAGCACTCTGAAACTTGGATGGGGCGGGGGGTAACAGTGGTAAATGTGTTCTACCATAGAAGGAAGTTTCATCTGAATAGCTCTACAATGAGGGAGAAATGAGCCCTGGGAGCTCCCTTCAATAGCACAATGACATAATGAAAAAGTAATGAACATTTTATTATATTGTTACATTTACGATACGGAATCCTTATGATATTTTAGAAACACTTTAGAAACAACTCCCCCCTCCCCAATTTAGTAATTAGTATTGAGACGTTTTTTTTAAATTGATCACACAGGATTAATTAATTTGTGATGATGAGAAACTAATTTGTCTGTTTCATGGAGATTACAGTTAATTCCTCTTTGAAAAGTAATGTTAGATTTGAGTTTGTGAAGGAAACAGAGATAATTTTTAATGGGGTCTCAAACCACATTTTAGTCCTAGTTAGGGAAGTACCCAGATTCGTAGCTAGTCATTTCAGAGCACCAGGGTTATGCAAATTTGAAGTATCAAATGAGTTTCTTTAGTTTCAGGTGGATTCCGTTCTCAGAGCGTGTGACGAGTTGAGCCACAGGAACTGGAGGGTTTGCTGGGTCTGGTTCCAGCTCAAATTGGAGCAAAGTCAGTGCAAGAACCACCTTCATCTCTATGAGAGCAAACTGTTGTCCAATGCAGTTTCTGAGCAAAGAGAAAGATGAGACAGTGTTACATTTTGAAAAATATGGCCCAGCAATGGCTAGTGGTCCCCATGGCAGTGAGATGATAACTCTATTCTATATTTTAGTCCACATGTTGAAGGAACTCTCTAGGGTGCCAAATTGTCTCCCAAATGGATTTAGCAGCATGAATAACTACTGTAAAACTACTCACCTAGCATGCAAGCACTGCTCACAATAGAATATTTGGAAAAGTAAAACAAATCCATTTTATCAGTCTTGTACTTTGCATTCAGTCTAGAAATCATAATTTTTAGTGAACTGCTTTAAAACTATCCAGACCATTCTGTGAATTCACTGCCCACCTAACATGGGAGCATCACTGATGAGACCATAGAATATTTGGGAAAACAAAACAATCCCATTTTGCAAGGTCCCATCCAGACAGGGCCCATAATGCAAGAACTCCTGCGGTTTTACAGGAGGCGTCCAAATGGCGTCTCTGGTCAAACCAAATTAATTTGAGACAAAGCGGGAAAATCCAATGGTAGGAAAATCCTGCTTTGTCCCAAATTAATCTGATACTTCATTAGACCTGGGTCTTCCTGAAAGACCTTGGTCTAAATGGAGTATGGTTGCTGTGGGGACTGACCCCTCGATAGTCCTGGGACTACTGGGGAATCAGTCCGCACAGCCCAATTTGCTTTTTTGGGCCTTGTGGGCTCAGAGAAGTGAAGAGGGAACCCACCCCCTCCCCAACACCTCCCAAAAATACAYTTAAAAGAAAAGCAAAACTTACCCAGCCACCATTACACCTTTCGGCATGCTTTTCAGAACATGCCAATGTAATGCTAAGAGACAGGGTGGGGGAGGGGGGTGGGTGGGGAATTGCTCCTCCCTGCATCTCTCTTAGCACTAAATTGGTACATTCCAGGAAGCATGRTACAAGGCCTAATGGCGGCTGGGTAAATTCTTTTAATTTTWACAGGTTTATTTGGGGGGGGGGGGTGGTGGTGGTGTTGGGTGTAATTAGTTGTGCGAATACYTCCTTAAATATCACTACCTTGGWCCAGCAGAAAAAGGCAGGTAAGCATAGGGATGACGCAAACGTGAATTCTCTGGGGAAAATCGCATGGGATCAAACACCTGAAAATAAACATAAAACGTTTACTATATTTACTCAAGTTTAACATTCACTTTTTCTTTTGCTAAATTACATCACTAAAACTGAGGTGTACATTAGATTTGATGGCACATTAGAATGGCACACCTAAACTTGTCTGTGGTTTTGGACAACAGATCCCAGCTAGGGACAAAGGAGGGAGAGGCAGAGGTGGCTGTGAAAAATCTGGTGGAAAAGCTAGACAGAGGGGTACGGCTTTTTCGTGGCCACCACCACCTCACATTACTTTTGACAGGAAATCCTTTTTTGTAATACACATGTTCAAAACTGAGGTGCACATTACATTCGATGTAGAGTGTTCCAATTGAGTCAGCCTAAGGTGCTGGACCTAGTTTACAATCCCCGAGATGCATGAAATTCCTTTGGAACCCTTCCATGAGCCACCTCTTAGCCTGAGGCCAGCTAAAGGTACCCACTACCATAAATATTTCAGCTTTTCATCATCTCTTCAAGAGCTCCATTCAGGCAATTCTTGACACAGTTTGTGGACTTGATCTCTTTAAATATGGGGCGCTCTCAATAGCGACACAAGTTTCAGTTCTAAATTGATTTTTTTATCCAAGGTGTTGAACATTAACACACACTAAAACTCAGACCCGCAAATAGCCTCTCAAAAATTGAGACTAAAATCCAGAATGGATTCATCTTCTAGTAATATGGAGGCCACTATCTAACACTGAATATGCCCAGGTCTACAGGTCAAATATATTAACTTGGAGGATGCATCTATGTGGACCACCTAAGGCAATAGGAATCGGCAACACAGACATGGAGGCTTCAAGGGTGGGGTGTTCATCTACCTTCTCCCCATACACATGTGCAAATCAACACAGTATCCATCCCTTCATTAATTTTATCATGCTGTATGGTTTACACCTGTGTACAGATGTGCATTATAGCTTGCCTTGTTGTAAAAATTCGCATTGTTCACACCATGCATGGGCATTTGATGCACGATGTCTTCAATGCTGACAAACACAATGGATTCATTTAGCTTCTATGTAGTCCTGGTAGCATTTTTTTAACCTCCTCTATTTCGGTGATCAAATATCCCACAAACTTCCCAATTATGTGTGACTCTTATTGTCATTGTTCCTCAGTCTTGCTCCTGTAGATCAAGAGGAGAACAGACAGCCTTATTGGGTAGTGGAATTGAGGCCTTTAAGAAGAGGTTGAATGGGCATCTTTTTGGAGTTCTATAATTGTGCCCATCTGCAAGGAAGGGGGTTGGTTTAGGTTACCCTTTTCATCTGTTCCATCTCTAAGATTCTATGAGTCTAATCCCTTTATTCACCTACCTCAGGATTGTCCCACACTTCACGGTTTCTGTGAAGCCCAAATATATTTAGTCCTATTAGGCAACCTGAACAGAAGAAAACAATTCATTGTAACAAATCCCAAAGATTCTATAAGTTTATATGGATTGACTGGTTGTTGTGCCCTTTCTGGGGAAGAAGAGTAAGAGCGCTACCACTTATGTCTTGGTGACGTTTACCATAATGGGTCTCTACAGCAGACTTTAAAGATTGTTAAGAGAACTACATTTATCATCACTCAAAATTATTGAAGGGGAAAGTATGTTTGGACTGGTACATATTAATAGACATTGCCTGTACTTCACTGGCTTTACTTAATTTCTGGATCCATATTAAATTCTTGTTTTGAGCATGAAATGTTTGGTCACGAAAGACATATATATCTCAAAAATGCTTTGTCTAATAAAAACCTATCAAGTAGAACATGGCACTGGAAATAACTTAGGATTGCTGTGAGTTTTCTGGGCTGTATGGTCATGTTCCGGAAGCATTCTATCCTGACATTTCTCCCACATCAATGGCAGGCATCCTCAGAGGTTGTGAGGTCTGTTGGAAACTAGGCAAGTGAGGTTTATATATCTGTGGAATGTCCAGGGTGGGAGAAAGAACTTTTGTCTGTTTGGGGAAAGTGTGAATGTTGCAATTGYCCAGCTTGATTAGCACTGAATAGCCTGGRAGCTTCCTGCCTGAGGGAATCCTTTGTTGGGAGGTATTAACTGGCCCTGATTGTTTCCTGTCTGAAATTCCCCTGTTTTCTGGGTGTTGTTCTTTATTTAATGTCCTGATTTTAGAGTTTTTTAAATATTGGTAGCCAGATTTACTTTCTTTCATCCTCATATCTTGGATCTACGTAGTGGCACAAACAAGTCCTCTCCATTATATAATCCCCAATAAGAGATATTTTTATTCCATGAGAGTCATAATCTACCTTTCTATAATGGAATGAGAATCAGGTAAATAGCATTGATAAAAGCAATTAAAATACAACATGGAATAACTGGAAGCACAACAAATAAGAAAGAACAGCGGGTATTATGTTAAAACCTTTTCTGCAGCAAACCAGCATTGTTACTGAAATCCCCTTGAGGTGAAAAACCCTTTTCTGAGAGTGGATGGACAATAAAGGGAAGTAAAACAGCCCTGTTGATCTTGGCATGGATCTCCATAGATGGTGGAAGCCATCAAAAGGATCCTCTCCTACAAGCCTATCAATGGTACTTCTGAGGGTGGCCTCCAATGTGAAGTACAAACTGTCAATTACATACTTGATTTCTTCCCTTCTGAAAAAATGGTAAGCTAAGCAGCATTATTGACACTGCAACTCTGCTCAATTTGATGTTTTTATTTTGGTTGGTGGTAATAAAGCATTATTAATTGTTGTTTTATTTGAAACAATAAGGCAGCTTTCCCTTAAATTGATTTTAACGGTGTAGCTTTTTGATATACAGAATTTTAAACTTTGCCTTAACAGCCTCTCTGTCTCCTCTATCTGTTTGCCTAAATATTTCATGTATCTCTCTTGTGTCTACCAAAATAAAAGCACTGACTAAGGTAAGTGGAAAACCGACCTTCTGGCAAGGTTTTTCCATCATCAAACGTCAGAGGTGACTCCAGTTCTCGAGAGATCAGAGGTACTACAGAGTAAAGGCGAAGACTCTCTTTTATGCACATAGTGACATAAGGCATCTTCCCCAAGTCATCCCTGTATAAGAGAGTGAGGAAAAATTCACAGAAAAAAGATTAATAACTGTTGATTCCAAACTAGACTGAAGATTTCACCTAAAAAAGTAGATATCATATGTCAGACCTAATTAGTCTCTGACTAACTAAATCAGAGACTACTTAGATCTGACATGCAATACCTATAAACAGTGATGCCCTGAGCCCCCCCTCTCTATATATAAGTCAAAATATGTATGTATGTATGTATTTATTTATTTATTTTCCAGGATGACTCCGGCATACTGGCTGCCAATGATAGATCACAACAGAACTTAGAACACATACCCATCATGATCAACTTAAAATAGTCATGGGTTTTGAGAGTGAGGGGTTGACAGAGGATGATGGAAGTTGTAGTCTACCCAAGAGCAGAGAGCTCTATGAATCCCACTGATGATGGATTTAGACCAAGCATGGACAAACATTTGCTCCCCCTGGTGTTTTGGACTTTAGTTCCTAACAGCCAGTAAGCTGGCTGGGATTTCTGGGAATTGAAGTCCAAAAAACCTAGAGGCTTTTAATTTTGATTGGAGGGGAAAAGAAAACTTCAAAAGTGTAAGATACATGGAGTCCATTATGACATCTCAGAAGTGCGTCAATGCTCAGCCACTAATATCTAAGCAGCAGTGTGCAGTCAGTGTGCACCAGCATGCTGTTTTCTCTGGCATCCTGAGATTCTTGAGGGTTCCTGGAATATAGTGTGATGTGTGCATAGGGCCCATGTACATTCCGATGTTACATACATTGCAATATAGTTTGTGTGTGTGTGTGTGTGTGTGTGTGTGTGAACAAAAGAGAGAGAGAGAGAGAGAGAGAGAGAGAGAGAGAGAGAATCGATATGAGGGAAGATTAAATTTATGTGGGGTTTTTTTTGTCGTGTCAGGAGCGACTTGAGAAACTGCAAGTCACTTCTGGTGTGAGAGAATTGGCTGTCTGCAAGGACGTTGCCCAGGGGACGCCTGGATGAATTGATGTTTTTATCATCCTGTGGGACGCTTCTCTCGTGTTCCTGCATGACGAGCTGGAGCTGACAGAGGGAGCTCATCCGCCTCTCCCAGAATTCGAACCTGTGACCTGTCGGTCTTCAGTCCTGCCGGCACAGGGGTTTAACCCACTGTGCCACCGGGGGCTCCAATTTATGTGGCTAAAATTACAAATGTAGCATAATATTAGTAATAAAAGCAATTAGTAATCAAATGTTCATGTGCTAATGTCTTCCTGGACTTCCACTCCTAACAAATGTAGCTAATGGTAAGGAATACTGCAGGTTCTGATCCATCAATTCCTGGAGTATCTCATTTCCCCCACCTTTTTTTCATGATTTATAGCAATGAATGGTTGGTCCCTACCAAATGAGAAACAGGAAATGCCAACTTTATGTCCACACTAGAGGAGATTCAGTGAATTAACAATTTAGGGGAATTAAGATTTCTATTAATTAGATTTGTTTAAGGGGCCTGCTATAGTTGGGACTAATAATTTGAACTGGGTATCGCCCATATATGCCACAGCCTCTGCATTTGCACATGATGAAAGTCAGATCTTCTAAGGATCCTACTAGCAACAGTACCTTGTGACACACGTGTGAAAGCAAGTGTATCTCCCACTGTGCTACTTTGTGAATTACAGCTCCTAGAACTGTAATTTGCCTGGTGGTTGGAAGTTACAAAATAAGTTTTCAAGGTTTTGGTTTCAGATATGTTGTTGTATGTATAAAGTCCAGTCTAAAAGAAGGATGAAAAGAATGCGATCCCACCATCGAATAGTCTCCTGGTCTCCAAGAACTTCCTTTATCTCTTCCCTGCATCTCTCCTGATGTTCGGGATTTTGAGCCATGCAGTAAAACAACCAAGAAATCCCACTAGCGGTGGTATCGTGGCCTGTGAACATGAAGGTGTCCACCTCAGCACGCAGATCTTCATGAGGCAATGGATTTCCCTTTTCATCCTAATAATGTAAGACAATTGTCAGTTTGATGGTTTATTTTAAAAACACTAAATGCCATTTTCACCAATATATAATTATAAATGAAAGAAACAAATGGTCACATCACTGACTCTTGCTTGAAGAAGAATATCAAGAAAGTCCAGGCGCCTCTTCTTCAGAAACTTCTCAGATTTTTGCTCATCCTGGAGGACCTTTACTCTCTCCCTAATGACTTTATCTGCAGAGGAAAAGACATAATGGGAATGCAATGAAGTATCCTTTTTCGTTTGAATGATTAGAATGTAATTTCCTGAATCTATCTTTTTATTTAGATTAGGTATAGCCATTCCAACTTTGCTGGTAGTGCAGTGTGTCCTTCTATCCCTGTAGCAATGCAGGATCACTGACAAGTAGTATGGGAAGATATGAAATCCCAGGCAGCTTACAAATGACATGAAGAGATGAAGTCATGGAAGTCCAATACCAACATGATTAAATGTGATTTAATACTGCTTGCAGGAAACTGTTATATCAGAATGCATAATATAATCTTTGATGTTGTTGTTTTTAAATTGTTTTTAAATTGTTTTAAATTGTTTTTAAATTGTGTTAGATTTTAGCCTGTTCTTGTAAGCCACTCCAAGCTCCAGGGGAGTGACGGCATATAAGTTTGAATAATAAATAAATAAATAAATAAATAAATAAATAATGTAGAGTAGGAATGAGGAAAGTGTAATTCTCTGCATGTTGTGAGAGTTCAGTTTTCCATCATCCTTCAACATTACTTAGGGTTACAGTTCATGGGAATACCATTCCAATATCTGAAAAACCATCAGTTCCCAACCATTGATACAGAGAAATACGAAAGGAATATACCTGTGTGAAGGTGAGCTAATCTACAGGCTTTGCGGAATCGGCGTCCAGAAGAAGTGAACCAGTAAATGAGATCACTGTGGTAGAAAGGTGTCTTTGCTCTCTGATAAACCAAGAAGGTGAGCTCAAAGATTGCTTTAACATAAGGATTCTCCCTTTGAAAAGGAAACAAGACATAGATGAATCCTAGGAAGCTTAAGTCCCGAAGGATCTAACAACTTTTCTAAACTCCAGGCAAACCTCAATTTGTACATATCAGAAAACATATGATTATTTTTTAAACTGACCTATCAGTCTGGCAGTTGCTTTGGCAACTGAAGGCACATTTCATGATGCTGTCAAGAGTCATCAAGCTAACATGTTCATTAATCTCCAGTGATACTTCTGGGTCTTCTAATATCAACTTCTCCCAGTTTTCCTTTTAATGAAATATAGAGACAGGAACGTGAGAAGAGGAGAAAAAAAATCCTAGAGTCCTATTTTTCATCAAAAGACACCAGAAGGATCTCACTATTTATTTCATGTTCCTCAGTTTATTGAAAGTCAAATCTCAAGGTAATGGCATGTAGAATGTGTATTGCTAACAATCTTATGCATATGTATTTATACTCAGGCCCCCTTCTATTGCTATTGACTTTGGATCCACCAGTCTGTCACTGATAGCTCCCTATGTCTAAGGCAGAAATGAAGGTAAAATTAACCATACCATATCCAAAGTGGCACCCTTTAAAGAAAAGACATGATTTTAAACAGTTGCTATTTAATGTTAATATTACATTGATATAAAATAAAATATATTTAAATAAAAATTTAAGATTTTTTTGTTCACTCAATATTTTCTTGAAGGTTCAATAACAAGGATTAGGATTGCATCTGTACTGTAGTGTCAATGCAGTTTGATGCCACTTTAAATGCTGTGGAATTTTGGGGTTCATAGTGAAGGGACTAAAGCTAGGGAGAATATAATAATTACCAGCCTAAATAAAGTTCAGACAAAATCTTGCATGCACTGTGGAACAAAAAGGAGTGAGGAACCAAAAGGAGAGGCTAGGGGAAAGTTCAACCTAATAACATGCAGAAGAAGAAAAAAGTCTGCCGAGACAACACCACCAATAAGAGAAGCACATGAAGGGACATGGCAGAAGAAAAAAGATGAAGTAAATTTCAGAGAAAAAAGCTTGTGAGTGCATGTTCAATGAAGTTGGCTGTAAAAACTAAACTGTACCTTAGCTCAGTGTGGCACTCTCCACCCAGCAAGGTTTTTTTTTTTGTCGTGTCAGAAGCGACTTGTGAAACTGCAAGTCGCTTCTGGTATGAGAGAATTGACCGTCTGCAAGGACTTTGCCCAGGTGACACCCAGATGTTTTGATGTTTTTACCATCCTTGTGGGAGGCTTCTATATCACGGCTTCTTAAACTGTGGGTCCTGATCACAAATAAGGTCCCCTGAACTCAATATTGGAGTCCTGAAAAATTTGGTAGCAGTTAACATTTTCTGAATGTCATCTAGAAGCTGTTGTAAATGTTTACTCTAATCAAATCTGTTGTGGACTGTTTAAAGTGGACTCAGTTGTACTTCATAAAAAGGGAAGTCAGCCTATTTAGCAAGTTTTGCAAACACTAATTTGTTTTTGTTTTGTTCTCATGTCAGGAGAGACTTGAGAAACTGCAAGTTGCTTCTGGTATGAGAGAATGGGTCATCTGCAAGGCATTGCCCAGGGGATGCCCGGATGTTTTTGATGTTTTACCATCCTCGTGGGAGGCTTCTTTCATGTCCCCACAGGGAGAGCTGGAGCTGACAGAGGGAGCTCATCCACACTCTCCCCAGATTCGAACCTGCAACCTGTCGGTCTTCAGTCTTGCTGGCATAAGGATTTAACCGACTACGCCACCGGGGGCTGACAACTGATTTGCTGACAGTAAATGTTGATTTTATACCTATTTTATAAACTGATATACCTGGGAGTAAAATAAAAATTTCTCAGGCCAAAAGGGATCCTTCTTGGAAAGGTTCAAGAAGCCCTGGTCTATATAGCTGGCCAAATTAGCAATTCATTTTTTATGAACTTACTCAATTATTTCTAGTATACAGTATTGGGTTATCTTTAGTCAAATGGATCTGACCATTGTGAAAGATGTTTCCTACCAGCATCACTTTCACAGACTCCATAATAGGAGTCACGTAAGACTTCAGAATCTCATGATGGAATCCTGGTGTGAGCAGCTTCCGGTGTTGCTGCCACTTTGGTCCATTGAGGACTAGCAGTCCCCTTCCTAAAACAAGGAAAATATGGAAAACATAAGACATTAAAATACTGGAATTACCTATCTTTGCAAAACTGTGGCCACTTGCAGAATTTTTATTTATTTGTTTTGCTACATCCACTATCTTTCTGCATCAGACTATTTAAAGTCATTTCTTTCTCCATTGTTCTATAAAACTGCATGTACTTGTTTATGACTGAATGTATTTCTATATGCTATCCACAGAAACTGAGCTTATTTCTTTTCTCTTCTGGAATCTATGTGTGTAGCTGTAGGGCTGGTTCAGCTGCTACGCTCCTAATTTTATCACAATCAGCTTTCCCTGTCTATAGACTCTACATCCAATGATTGAACCATCCATCATTTGAATTTTTGATGTCCCCAAAATACCTTAATTTTTGCATTTTTGCATAAACCATTGTATAAAATGGAAAAAGAGCATTCCGAGATTTTGGAACCCATGGGGGTCTAGGAACCAAACATTAATAGACCAAGGGCTTACTCTACTAAAAAAAATCCTACTTATTAGCTATTGAGTTCAAAGGTTCAAGGTGAATGCAGCAGCGTTATTATGGCAATATAGGAGGTATAGAACACTCCAGGTAGCACCATCTAAAGGGGTAACTGAATATAATTTTTGTGCCATCCTTCAGTAAAAAAAATAATAAATCAATAGTTTTTTTGTCAGTTAATACCCCAAAACCATTATTTAGAGCCCAACATACATATGGTATATTAATTTTATACCCAGAAAACTAAAACTCTATTCTAATATACTTTTGGAAATTTTTAATGTGCCTGCATTCTGGTCATGTGGTTTTGTTTGCATGCTCCACAACCACATGTTGTTTGTGTTACTGATGTTTCTTATAATTATCAATTCTGCCACGTTTTCTATAGTTAGCCTGGTATATAAGTCCATGCGCTACCTCACTGGGTGACACTGGAAAGGGATATGAGGAAAGGGATATATTATGAAATGCTCAATTCTGAAAGCAGAAAGAGAATGTGCTAGCTCTACAGAAATCTTTCTTAACATAAATCAAGTAAAAGTGGGAAATACATACCAATCCATGGAACAGCAAAGTTGTAAAGGATGAGACATTTAGGATCTGTGTAGAACAACAGAGAACACTTTGTATCAGAAGTGTATCTACATTGTACAATTAATACAGTTTGACATATTTTCAACTGCCGGGGCTCAGTGTTTATGGTGTCATGGACTTTACAAATAGTTTAATGAGGTACTAGCAGTTTTTTGCTAAGAAGGATAAAACCTTGTGAAACTAGAACTTATATGATTACATACTATTGAGCCGTAGTAGTTAAAGTGGTGTCAAACTGATTTAGTTCAACAGTGAGATGCACTCAGGGTGACAAGTAAATGTACACACAATTCATAGTTAGTTGATACCAATTAAGGGCAACATGCATTGGCTTTCATCCTAAAATAACTTTAAAAAATAATGAAGGAAGCTATCTGATCATGGAAATTAAGCAGGCTCTTCCCTTGTTGATACTTGGATGAGAAAATTCCGTAATACCTGAGAAGGCATTAATAAATTTCCTCTGAGAATTCATCAGCTTAGAAAACCCTGTGAAATCCATCAGTCAACTCCCATTGCTTCCTGCCTTCTGCAATTACATATAGGCTGCTTCCTTCAGTAAATCATCTATGAGGTATGACCGAGGCTTAAAAACGAAAATCAAATCATTTGAATAATCCAAAATCACCTGGAATGAAGATATCCACCATATTTTCCAGTATCCCAAGAAGTGCATATTGAATATTGGTTGAATACATTGAATAGTAAATTAAAGAATTCAATTTTTTTCTACAAGTGTTTGATCACTGAATGTTTACATGAATTAGTCAAATGCTCCTTTAAAATACCTTATCACACAGGGCTAAATTCGGTAGCATGCTCTGCTTTAGCCTTGGTCACCCACTGAGCTGGCCAGCTCCCATCACTTGATGCTGCACCAGCTCTGTGGATGAAGGAAGGTGAAGCCGGCACATGCTACTGGCAGGGCAACATGGGAGGGCTCCCGTGTTGCAATTGCAATGTATAGTGAAGAATGCCCCACCAAACTGGGATATCCCACCAGGTGCCACCAATTAAAACAAACTGTCACCTATTACAACAAACAATGGATAGACAGTAGGCAGAATTCACCTCAGGCACACCACACACAAGATGGAGGACAAAAGGCAAAAAACAAGGCTTGGCTTAAGGTGAGGCCATCAGGTAAATCAGAGTACACGCACACCCTCACTCACACAAAGCCAGACAGTGGGAAACCACCACTGTATATTATATTTTGCCTTTGCTCCTTCCAATTATTTATTAAAGATTACTTTCACTGCCACCAATTTATTATTTTTATAGGACACTTCCTTTACTGAAATGTTTAAAAGGCACARAGAGACTTCAGTTGGAACAAAACAGGAAGTTGTTGTTTATTTTGAACAGTCAATAAGTATAATAGTTGCAAATAACTTATCAGGCTTTTCTGGTTATAGAGGATAGTACTTCTYTCTTGAGTTTCTTTAATACACAGTTCCACACATAGAAATTCAAATAGGAATCTTTAAACCTTTTGAAATCTCCCTCCTACACAGCACTCTAAACACTAWAGAGGCCTATTAACTTTTATTCCTCAAAGAGGTATCTTTTCTATAACAAAACAGTTCCCAATTCTCTTCTTTCCTTCCCCTCTCCCCCCCCCCCTTCAAACCTCCTCGTCCTTCTTCTTCATTTCCAAAACCCTAACTAAACTTAAAATGGCTATTTTTTCTTCCCTTTTCTCTGGCTCTGCCTYTCTCCAGCTACTGAGCTTTTCCCTCCAATTTCACCAGCCAATCAGGCTGCACTTCTGCCTTASAGACTGCCTGATTGCTCCATCCCTCAGCTCTGCTTAATTTTAGCAAGCTGGGCCTGGCTTCTACCTTTTATACCAACCTTTTACACACCAACCCTTTAGGGTAGGCCAATCCATTACACAATGCATAGGGGAAGCCGCATGCACCATGAGTGGTCACACTCCCCCCCCCCATCTTATCACCCTCGGCTGGAGCCAGGCAATGTGGGGCATGGGACACTTGGTTCTCCACACCCCTCTAGAAAGCGCAGCTCCTCCATTGGCCATCTGACGAGGTTGAAAAAGGGATAAATCTGGATCCTTGTAGATTTTAATGATTGGAAAGGCTATTAACAACCTTAAATTCAAAGTTCAGTTCTCCCTCTGTATCCAAAAATTCAGCATGCATGGATTGAATCAACCATAGTACATTTTTTTTCAGAAAACAAAAAAAATTATGTACAATCAGGGTGTAGAGTTTCCTATGAACAGATGCACAGAAATACTTACCACCTCTGCTGGCTAACTTAGCAGATTCAGGGTGGTTGATTCCCAAAAAGGCTAAGAAACCTCCAAACCACAGAGGGAAATTATATGGATATTCTTCAGTCCATTTTACAAGATATCTTAGTTCTTCCCCACCTTTCAACTGCATTGGAAGTTGAAAGATAAACACAGTCAAAACATTGCGCTTCTAAATGTAGTGTGTAAACAGACAAGGACAATTATTTTATTAATGGACAGAGGCTACAAACTCAGTGCGAACTTGCCACAAAAGAGAAGACCCAAGAGGTCATGAGATCTGGCCTTCAGGTTCTTCTATCAACCAAAGGCACCATGTAGCTAATAAAACATATTGAGTAGAAAGCAAAATATTAAATATTTTAATACTTTTCTATATTCCTCTTTGGATTGGGCCAGTTACCTTATAATTTTGGTTTATGTTTTTCTCTATTTTGCAAATTTCACCTCACTTGTGTACCAAGTTGTTGTTGTGGCTCCAGAGGACTCTCTGGAGTCCTCTGTGTAGATCTGCCACAATTGATGAACCCTGGTACCTTTTGCTTGAAAGCAAGAGCTCAGTTACATTACTATCCTATGAACACAAATCTGCAATAAATTGTTTCTTTCTGGTTGTGAGTAAACATACATTGGATCCTTTCTTCTATACATTGGGTTGTGCTAGAGTCAAAGTGCTACTGAATTCCTCCTCCCAAGTGATTGCACTGAGAGATATAATGGGAACATGTGCCTTATTGCATATTGGTGCAGAAGACCATTTTAATAATTAAAATTTTCTTAAATAAAAGTTAACATACAATTTTAAGAGTATATTATTAACACTTTTACTGTTTTTTATTGGGATACTTAAAAGGGCTAATTTTGTATAAGACAATATTAACATACAATTGGTTTACTGTACCCTCAACATTAGCCAAGACTAATAATAAACATGACATATTATAAAAATGTACAAACTGCAGCTTCATAGAGCATGTACAAAATGTTTTCCATATTTTTGGCCAAGATTTATTTTCCTCTGTAATAAATAACCTGAAACCTAGAATTTGTCAAAATATTGTTAGAAAAGTAGCAGGTACAGAAACGAGAAGGCAGAAACAAGCAATGTGTGTGAATGGGAGAGATAAGAGAATGAGTATATACTAATGATCAGTTGCATGGACAGGGGCAACTACTCGCTTACCACCACAGAACCAGAAGAAAGACAAACACACAGTGTTGGGATAACAAAAGGCCACAACTTGTTTATTGGTGACAAATAAGAAACAGGGTTGGCCACCATGCATTAGCCCTAGATCAGGAATTGGATATCCTTTTGCTGACTGATGCCACATAACCATGCCAAAGGGTGCAGCTATTTACCAACCAGTTCCATGCTCCTGCTAAGACACCAACGCTGTCCCCCTCCAAATTGGAAAGGAGTTACGCAAGCCGGATCCAGGTCCCATGCCAAACGCGTGAAAGTTATGACAATGAACAAAACTCTAACACAACCACATAAACAATGTAACAGGTCTGAAGGGTGAGCAGGATGGAAAGAAGGAACCCCCAGAAGCAATGGTGAGTGGGAGAGCACTCACCGCCATAACATCCTGCCTGGTAAGTCGGGCAGGGCATTTTGTATCAACTTCATTGACAGAAATGACTTTAAACCCCATCATTATAAAAAGAAAAATGTAATTTACCAAGAGAGAATCTGGGCATCCAGCCTTATCAAGAAAGACAAAAAAAAAATCTTACCATGTGGGAATTGCCATACAGCCAGTGACTGGGAGGTCCTGGGAAATTCCTAAAGTCCTTGAGTAGTTTCTGCCTTGTTTGAAACAGTTGGATAGCTTTCAGCACCACATATGTCAGAATCAAAGCAACAGTCAGTTGGAAAAGCTGAGAGAGGTTCCTGGGTAGCCAAAAGCACAAGATATCCATTAGACTCTTCATTGCCACTGTCCTATTTGCTTATTTGTTCCTAGAGTCCAGAAGAAAAACCAGAGACATTCCTATTTGTCTACTTGAGTCTTGATCAGACAGTTTGCAAAGATTCCACCTTGGCATGTGATGATACAAACAACAGTGGATTCCTGTTACACTTTTAATAGTTGCTGACAGGTTGCATAAGATGAAATTCCTCCTTCTACACACCCCTTAAAAGATCAGTGGCCTATCCTTGCGTGCACAGGATTTCCGCACTTTATCTTCACTTTACCAATTTGGGGCATCAGTTTATTGGAATGTATTGCATAGGAAAGAGAATTATTCCATATTCAGGTATTAAGAGCAGAGCGCAGTACATTCCAGAAAACATTAGTCTTGCCAGAAAGCAGCTGAGAAGCAGCAACTCAGAATGTCTTGCTAACCATCTAAAGGACTGCTTGCCATGCCATCAGACATTCTTGACCTTTCTATACATGGATTAATATCCTATCATACTTACCTAGGGAGCAGGCCTGTAGCCAGGATTTTGATTCGGGGGGGGGGGGGGGGGGGGGGCTGAGTCTGAGTGAAAGAGGGTCTACCTTAGCAAACCTTTTGTATCATTACCCCAATACCCCCATGCATATGAGATATATTGAGCATGGTGATCAGATCATGATATGAATAAACATAACAGTTTAAATAATGTACCAGTAAGGCCTTTTCGCAGACCATCATGCCTGCTAGGGAGATTCAGGAAATTGGGAAGCAACAGGATATGATATGGTCTTAAGACTACACCCATGCAAGAAATCTATTATTGGCTTACCTCATATAGTGAAAGATTTATATGCCATTATTCGGTATAAAATCCTCAATGGAAGCAAAAATGGAAAGTTTAAGATGTTCATTTCTGCATAAATCACTAAAGTAATATGATGAAACAAAACAAATAAAAATAAAACAAGAGACACTAAAAGGAGAGGGAAAAGCATTCCAATGCACATATACGTACAGTAGTTATATAATGGAAGGCTAGATCAGGCATGAGCTCACAGAATCATAGCACTGAAAAGTACCCTAAGGGCCATTTTGATAAGCACCCTGACAGTGGAGGAATCTACAGCTAAAACCTCCCTGTGAGGTTAGCAGTTTGATCAGTTACATAAAGGCAAAGAAAGCAAAGGAGGCCTGTGGAGAACTTTGGTAAATATTAGACTTGGAAAAATCCTATGTTTTAGTAGGGGGTCCTTTCAGAGGCCTTATTTCAAAGCGTAAAGTGTTTTATAAGTCAAATAGTACTTGTGAATGTCTTTGGAAGCAGGTTGTATGTTTTCTGTGGTTTACTTTAAAAATATATTGTTTCTATCTAATAAGTAAATTGGTCACAATTTTCTGAGTCATTTGAGACTTTTGAACAGTCTTCAAGGATGGCCCAGTGCTCAAAGATGTGCCAATACTGAAAAAACCTTCCTCTTTGTTAACCACCTTCTGCAAACAGAACTTAGCTCAACAAATCCCCTAGACTAGTGGTTCTCAAAGTGTGCTCCAAGGATCCCTTGTGGCTCCATGAAGCATACTAAGGAGCTCTGAATCTTCTTCTTCTTCTTCTTCTTCTTCTTCTTCTTCTTCTTCTTCTTCTTCTTCTTCTTCTTCTTCTTCTTCCTTCCTTCTCTAATCATTCCCTCCTCCTTCCTGCTTCTCCCCTTCTCCTATGTCCCTCATCTCCAAAAGCCTTTCCTACTCCCTTGCTGCCAAAAGCCTTTTTCCCTCATCTCCCCCACCCTCAAAAGCCTTTTCCCCTCTCCTTCCATACCACCTGGTTACTTTCCCCCTCATTTTCCTTGCTTCCAAAATCTCATTTCCTTCCCACCGCTCAGGGGGTGCTTTAATTGTGCTTTTCTTGCATGTCAGAAGGGGGTTGGACTGGATGGCTCCTGGGGTCTTCCACTGAAATACTGTTAAGTTTATGTTGGTCTAATAGTTTGCCCATGACTGATATATAATGTAATATCACCATCAAAATAGTTTATTGTACGGACCAAGGCCATGACAAAAAAGCACCACATGTGCACAATAGTACCCTAGGAGCAACACGCACCAAAGATACCAAATGGAAACTGTAATCATGCTCTCACAAAGAGCAAAAACAATGCAAATTAACAATAATTAAAATACATTTTGGAAGAGGGTCCAGTTAGCCCTTAGGGCCTCCTCTGCAGTTGATGGCAATTTTATCTAATTCTATCCTTCTGATCTTTTTGCAGACAGAGTGAAAAGGGCTATTTTGTAGCACATAATCATTTGCATCGCTCAGCAGAAACTGCACTGTTTTTGCAATAGAGATCCCTTTACCTTGTGTATTTATCTCGGGTCACTATACAAAGGGCAGACCAACAAATCATGATCAGTGTCCTCTACCTGACATTGACTACAGATACATAGTCTGTTTTCCCATGGCACATTATGGTAGCACCCATCTAGCACTGCAGTTGGCATTACTTGGAATCGCAGCTCAGTGAAGGCAATTCTTAAGGAAGGTAGCTTAAGCTTAATCAGATTCTGGCTCTGAAAAGTTCAGTTTTCAAAAAGGGGAAGCATGGGAAAATATTTGAGTTCCTGGTTGATTGCAGAGTCCTTCTTGAATCAATCCAAAATAACCAGTCTCTTAGTTGCCTCTTATCCACGTCAAGGGCTGAATTCAATTCAGAAAGATTGTAGTTGAGTAGATTTTCTAGGCCAGATTTTCAGTGTTGATGGTTACTAATTTCCTTGTAGCACAACACTGGAAGACAGTTATTTTGAATAGCCATTCATTTGAGGTATCTTAATTGGGCACAATCTATTTTGATTTTACTGACAGTCATCCAGATTCAGTGTACAAAAGTGCTGCAGGAGTTCCAGGTGGAAGAAAATAAAGTTGTTGTAGCAACTTGTTCTGCAAAATTTCCAAGAATTTACAGATGTTGGTATCTGAGCCCCAGATTTCTGCACCATAAAGCATTTTTGCCAGCATTTGGCTACTGAAAACTTTTAGGGCAGATTCTATCAGCTGGCCACCCTGTGTATAGAATTTCAGCAGGGCACCTATTGTTTTCTCAGCTTCTAGCTTCACTGTTTCCCTGTGATGATTCTAGGAAAGCAATTCACTGAAAACAATTCCCAAATATTTAAATAAGTGGGTTTGTTCTTTGGCATATTGGTCTAAAATCCATTTGTACCATGGACAGTGTTTTCCAAAAACCATCACCTTGGTCTTGGAGTAGGTTATTGATACTTCTTGGCAGTACTTACTGAAAGCCTTCAAGAGATTTGTAAGACCCAACTGAAATATAATATATAATTCATAAACATTTATTGGGGCTCCATGAGAAATCTTTGCTTCAAAAAGAGTTCCACAGCTGAAAAAGTTTGAGAACCCCTGCCTAAGACCATATGATCCAGGAGTTGCATTCAACACAAAAGTATAAAAGAGTCTTCCCAACTTCAAAGGAATTCACTGGGTGCAGCATGAAGAGCCCCCCAAATGAATACTTTACATTTATGTAAGAGATTGGCTAGTTCTTTAATTTTATATTGCATTCCTGTAGGGGGCAGTATTTCTCAGTGTTAGTAATTAAGAAATAGCGCTAGTTTCTGCCTGCAGGCAAGGCGTTTAGATAGACACCTTTTGGATCAAAACATGCAGCCCAACCCATATGTAGTTTGGCCTCTCCCTCACTTCAATCACATATTCTTTTATCTAGAGGATTTGTGCAAGATACTTGTTAGAATTTGCTTTTGCTAAAGAGTGTTGTGACCAAGTCTGTAAACAATGACGAAAGTTACATAAGTAATTATATCTTTTGAGCAATGCCAATCAAGAAAGTCTCACCTCCTCCCATAATATAAAACATAGATATCTCATATCTAAAGAGTAATTAAAATTGATATATAAAAGGTAGGCGCCTTTTGAAATTGTGTTTCTTGGCCAGTATTGCCATCAGATGGAATAAGTTGGCCCACACAACTGGACATATAAGACATCCAAAATTCTTTGGTGGGCTATCCCTAAGTTGTAGGACTTTACAGATCCCCCCGTTGATAACTCATATTTATTGTAATAATTAATTTGTTCTGAAGGGATTTCAATGCATACAGGACAAATGGGAGATCAGGAACAAAGGGCAATAAAGAACAGGTAATAAATATTTCTACAGAAAATTAGAAACAGAAAAGCAGCATTCCTTTAGACCAGCGTTTTCTCAACCTGGGGGTTGGGACACCTGGGGGGGGGGGTGAGACAGTGTCAGAGGGGTCACCAAAGACCATCAGCAAACACAGTATTTTCTGTTAGTCATGGGGTTCTGTGTGGGAAGTTAGGCCCAATTCTACTGTGGTGGGGTTCAGAATGCTATTTGATTGTAGGTGAACTATAAGTTCCAATAACTACAATGCCCAAATTTCAATGTCTATTTTATCCAAACTCCATCAATGTTCACATTTGGGCATATTGAATATTCATGCCAAGTTTGGTCCAGATCAATCATGATGTGAGTCCAGGTGTATCTTTAGTGGGATTCACATGGGTGTCCAGATGTAAATCGGCTACAACTCCCATCATCCCCCCTATCCCCAACAGTGTTTTAAGTTGGATCATGATACTTTTATGTGTCACGTTTGGTCCAGATCTATCATTGGTAGAATTCATGTGTCTCTCTGGATGTGGGTGGACTCCAACTCTCATAATCTCCTATTAGGCTCCCCACAAAACAAACAAACAAACAAACAAAACCCTCAAGTGTTTTAAGTTTATGTGTGCCAGCTTTGGTCCCAATGTAGGAGCCATTGTGGATCAAAAGTACGTATAAATAACATGTTTTATTTTATAACATGGGACTCAAGGGGTTTGAAAACAAGGAATGCGTGCAAACTCGCCTAATATTATATGCCATTCGATATTATACCTAAAGTTGACTTGCCACCTTATCACACTTGGGGCTTTGGGGATGGGGATCTGGTGAGAGCCATCACGTGACACTGTCTTGGCTCCACCCCATTGATCCCCACAGTGGCAAGGAAGCATCACAAGACTCCTCCTCACCAAGTGCTCATGGTAAGTAGAGTCTTGGGTAGCACCAGTGGAACTACCTGCATTTTTCTCCCCCTTTCCCCATCTGATGAGGAAAAGGGCAACAAATGGGGACCGGGTCAGTTCTGCTCCCTCCTTGTGATGGGGGAAGGAGGTGTGTCCATTGAAATACAGTAATAAAAAGCAAATTAAGAAAAATAAAAATAATGTAAAACAGTTTTATTGTTTAACTGTAGTATAAAAACACCTTTTATTTGCATTATTTCTTTGTCTTTTTGCCAGTTGCTTGAGAGTTGTAGTTGCTTGATTTCCAGTTAACTGAGAATCTAGTGTATATGTTGTCATTAGGGTCTAAATGAAAGACATAAAATAATACATTAAAATAATAAATACATAAAAATAATCAGACAAAGCATATAATTATATAATAACACATACATTAGAAAAAAAAACCTGTTAATTTTTGGACATTGCTGAGAAGCTTTACATCCTAATTAGACACCCAGCAGCAGCAATTTGTGAAGCAGAGAATGTCATTCCAGTTGCTGGACAAAATGAAATATGATGTAAGCTCAACTTGTTTTTGTTTTTTTTGGTTAAGATTTATACAGCTCAATTTCAAATTGGTATGTACAGGCCCTAGGCAGTGTACAAAGGTTAATTTTATTTTTCTTATCTGATTTTGTGTAATCGTATGTAGCATATATTATGTATTCCCTATCTTCAGAGATTCTGTTGGCAGTGAAACCATATATACGCTCCATTTGCTTCACTGCCGACAGAACCTCTGAAGATGCCAGCCACAGATGCAGGTGAAATGTTAAGAGGTAATGCTTCTGGAACATGGCCATACAATCCGAAAAACTCACAGCAACCCAACCATGAAAACCTTTGGCAATATGTTAACTATCCTGTCAGTCTGATTTTTAGGTGAGCCATAGATTAATTTTCCCTCTATAACTGTAAACAGAGAGACAGCTGAATGTTATGGTGGTCTGTAGCAGAAAGGAGTTGTGACTACTGATTGTAAACAGGATTCAGTTTAGTTGGGAAATTTGGGTTCAAAACTACTGCATGAGAGTAGAATATGATTTGTGTTTTTTATGTGTAATTTTTTGTGCATGAAAATTGATTTTCTTTCCAATAGTACATTCACTCATATATAAATAAATTCAGTTTATTAAGTAATCCAGTGGTTTTTCATGATGTGTGGTGTGTTGTTTAGGGACATAGAAGATTCAGCATTTGCACATTACATTAAATGTTTCTAGTAAACCACAAGGAAAGAGTGGCTCTTTGCTTCTCAGGGTGGTGTATCATGCAATGTGTCATGGTATCATTAGCAAAAGTTGCTTATGCAATCTGTTATAAAAGCCACAATGATCTTATCAGTGTGAAAACGGTAATTTTCAATATCTAAAATAATCTCCACCATCTTCTTTGATCCTGTTCTACATAGCTAGTCTAATTTATTTACAACATTTTAGAAAGGCTTATCCAAAGAAAGATTGTAATTAGAGTATAGTACAGTGGTCCCCGACCTGTGGTCCGTGGACCATCAGTGGTTCGCAAGAACTAAAATATGGTCCACAGCCTCACCTTTACTAATACACCATTGCAACAAGAGTGACTGGTCTCCCAAAACTCTCTTATAGTGCCGATTATGTTTCCTGTGGGCAAGCAGATGGCGACTACTGGATGATATATATGTTCTATATCAGAAACTAGAGCTGATGTGGTCTATCCAATGCAATTTTCTGAATCAGCACTCCAAATAACCAAATTTTAAAAAATACAAAAAAAGGGAATAACTTACTGCCTTTCTCCAGGGAACTGACTTCTGAAGGAGAGGAGTGGCACATGATTCAGAGGTACAGCAGTATGTGGGAGAATGTGGCCAGCATACTCTAAATTAGCCAACTTTTTTTTCTGACAGGTTTCCAGATGCATCCTTTGTTTGGCTTTGGGATCTGGATAAGAATCTGGAGAGAGAGCAGTTTGGAGCCAAACAGTAGCACACAAAAGGAGAGTTAAGCATATAGGTCAACACTGTTTTCACTGTCCTATCCTGTGGAGAAATGCAGAACAAAGGTCTCCTTACATCTGACAGCATTTTGCCATCTCCAAATACATAATCACATTGTTTCTTAATAATCTCTTTAATGAAGTAAGCCCACTCAACTGCTTTGACTTTTCTTTAGAAGGCATAAACTCCATAGTCTGTTGATTAGCATGGGATTTTAAGTGGCAATTTTAAAAATCTGCCTGGTAAGATTTCCATTGCAGGAGGATGCCAAGCTGCAGAACTAAGACAGCCAAGATGTATCCGAGATACTTCTGGAAGTCTACCATTCGGGATCCTCCCACCATACACCTCAACATACATCTTCTACCCTGAAAATGTAGTTCAATATTTTTGTCATATAATAATAATAATATCTTTATTTATATGCCACTTTTCTCTCGCAAATGGACCCAAAGCAGGCATCAACATGTTAAAATACAATACAAAATTAACAACATCAAAGGGACAAATATAAAACATTATAAGCAATCAATAAAACATAAATAAACATTTAAAACAATATAAATTATTGCACTTTGCATTGCCCAATGAAGATTTTAGTGCATATTATTTTAGGACATATAGGATGCTTTAATCTATCATGGCTAATAGTTTGTGTATATGTAAAAAACTATATTAATTGTATGATAATCAAGCCTTTTAATGAAAGTTTCTACATATTTTTCACATTTCTGACCATGAAAGGAAAATATCATTTTTCCTTTGAAAAAAGTCTGCTTGTAATCCAATATATTTTTATTTTCTTCTATCCTGCCCTGATTGTGTTTGGATTGTTTTTGTTAGTTAGTCAGTTAGTTATAACCCTTCAGTGCTATGCATTGTCTCTTTTTAGTTTGCACTTTATTGGGAACTATAGATTTCCCCTATATTTTATATTTATTACTAACAACCTTGCAAGCAATTGAAAACGAGAGTTAAGAACATATACCTCATTGCTGTGAAATTTCTTTTCCACCCCTGTGACAATCAGTCACCATGACAATCAGTGATAATATTTAAATCAGGAATAAAATGCTTTTGAATAAGGCTAGAAACAGCTAAACAATACAAAACCTCCAAATAGATAATGCTTGACAAATTGTTTATCCATGCAGAAACTGAGCATCTCTGTTTACTATTTCTAATGCTAGATACAAAAAAATGATTATCTGACTCTTTTGAAATATCTGGTAATGATTTGGATTTTTTCAGAAAGGAGTATTCTTGGAGTTCAATTGGTAAGATAAGCCTGTGAAGAAATAGCAACACATTGAACAGTGTATATATGTGTATTGGCATCTTTTTATTTTCGAGTGGATTGAAACTTGACCGTAAGTATGCAAGCTGTCAATCCCAGAACTCCATAGGATGGATTCAAGACAGTTATAGTGATATTTATTTATTTATCATGTCAGAAGTGAATTAAGAATACAGTTATAATGTATAAAAAACCACAAAGAGAGTTAAACACTTGCTATTATACTAAATTTCCTTTGATCAGAAGCTGGCCACTTCGAGTCTCTGGTGTCGCTGTGAAAAGGTCTTCCACCGTGCATGTGGCAGGGCTCAGATTGCATTGTAGTAGGTGATCTGTGGTTTGCTCTTCTCCACACTCGCATGTTATGGACTCCACTTTGTTGCCCCATTTCTTACAATTGGCTCTGCATCTCATGGTGCCAGAGCAGTCTGTTCAGTGTCTTCCAAATCGCCCAGTCTTCTGTGTGTCCAGGAGGGAGTTTCTCACGTGGTATCAGCCACTGTTTGAGGTTCCAAGTTTTAACTGCCAGTTTTGGACTCTGGCTTGCTGAAGTGCTCCAGCCAGTATCTCTGTAGAACTTAGAAAGCTATTTCTTGATTAAAGGTGTTGGCATGCTGGCTGATATCCATACAAAGGGTAGGCTAGAGATGTCAATGCCTTGGTCCTTTCATTAGTAGCTGTTACTTCCCGATGGATATCATATGGTGCAATACCGGTTAAACGGTATAATTCCTCCAGTGGTGTAGGTTGTAGACATCTTGTGATAATGTAGCATGTCTTATCTCCCAGTCCCTCCCAGAGGTCTGCTGAATCTACTTTTTGGAGACTGTTTTGGATATTTTTTTCTACATCTTTACTGAGTACTCTTCTAGATCATAGTTTTTGTCGGTTACTTTTTTGTTACAATTTCACTCATTATTCCTTTGTATCTAGTTTGATTATTTCATCCTTGTTATTCATATTTCGGTTAATACTCTCATTCTATATGGATTTATGTTACATTGTTTTGAAAAAAACCTGGCTGTTTTTCGAGTATATTGATTACCCTTTTTCTTATTTGGTTTGCCCTAAAAACAGCAGTGTGAGGAATATTTTGATACATATTAACAATACCAGAATTGACTGGAGCAAACTGATTTTAGTCTATTTTACATTAGTTATATTAGTTAAAATTAATCAGTCTTTATTGTTTAATAATGTACGTGATTGTTCACGTACATTAATCCAGAATGCAAGAAGAAAATACAAGATTCTTCATATGGGGTTTAATTCTTTTAATTGCAGGGTGGAACATGACTCCAGTGGCTTAAAAAGTACACATCATAATATGTCAGTGAAGCTTCTTCAGTTTCAGATGTACTCCATTCTTGGAGCGTATGACCAACTGAGCCACCGGAATTGAAGGATTTGCTGGGTCTGGCTTCAGCTCAAACTGGAGCAATGTCAATGCAAGAGCCACTTTCATCTCCATCATGGCAAACTGCTGTCCAATGCAGTTTCTAAGCAAATAGAGAGATGAAACAATATTATATTTTGTAGGGAATGGCCAAGTAATGGTTAACAAAACAATCAACACTATCTACTGTATATCTCCTGGTGGACATGGGGGAAAATCCACTACCTTGACTGGAGTTGGCCCAGAAGAAACTGTGTTGGAAACAAAATTTGTAACAGCTCAGAAGGGGCTGCAAGCATTGTAGAATTGCTCCCCTCTGTATCCCTTATGATCCATTTGAGGACAAAAGCTCTTTATCAAATCTTTTTCAGAAGGCAGGAGAGCAGCAGATATAACCCTCAGTTCCAGATCATTCAGTGGCAAATGTTGCCCCCTAATTCATAGATTTGTCCCTACTGGGTTTGGAATGATTTAAACAATGGATAAACTTCCACACATAAGTATGATTCCCAGCATCTGAGTCACTGGATGACATTTGACTTCACCATTTCTCCCTTTTTATGCTTAAATGTTAAAAGTGTTGCTGCACAGGAGCCAGAATGAAATGGTTCAATAAAACTGTGAAGAATTTTATAGAAATGGCATTTATTTACTTATTTTACTGAGTTGCAGAAAAAAGTTTTAAAAAGCAAAAAAGAACCCCCCCAAAAAAACAACCCCCCCCAAAAAAACCCCTTACACCTATGTTAAAAAGGTATTTTTGTTTTCTTATATAATTGATTTTTTTTTTTAAAAAAACAGCAACATATAGGTGGAGCTATATTGCTGCTGGAGTACATATACAATTCCATTAGTTATGTGTATCCATTGTGAATGCATCAAAGGAATACTATGTGCATTCATGGAGGTATAGCTCATAAAATAAATTTCAACGTATTATCCTTGGAGCCCCCAGTGGCACAGTGGGTTAAACTGCTGAGCTGCTGAACTTGCTGACTGAAAAGTCAGCGGTTCGAATCTGGGGAGTGAGGTGAGCTCCTGCTGTTAGCTGCAGCTTCTGTCAACCTAGCAGTTTGAAAACATGAGTAGAGCAATAGGTACTGCGTCGGCGGGTGTTCCATGCAGTCATGGCAGCCACATGACCATGGAGACGTCTATAGACAATAGACAATCTATAGATTGTCTATAGACAATCCTGGTTATTCAGCTTAGAAATGGAGATGAGCACCACCCTCCAGAGTCGGACATGACTAGACTAAATGTCAAGGGGAAACTTTTACCTTTCCTTATGGTCCTTATATTCAGTTACAGTTAGTTAGATAAACTAACAGTGGAACCCTCTACTTGTCTATTCAAAAGTCTTACTACATTTAATGAGCATTTCTCCCAAGCAGCACAGGGACTGTTTTCCTGGTATGTTTAGCATGCCTTATTGATATCTTTTTCAATTTTCCTTAGGGCCTCTTTTCTTCCACTCACAGTAACATATCCTCATCTATTATGTGAGGTGTCAAATGATATGGATATCTGTCCCACACTCCTGGCATAAATTTCTGACCATGTAAATAAATTCAGGAGCAAAAGAAGCATAAATGGATACATTAAAAACATTAAATATCATTACCTTGACCCAGCTGAAAAAGGGAGATATGCGTAAGGATGGCGCAAATGTGAATTCTCTGGGGAAAACCGCATTGGATCATATACCTGAAACAGAAAACAAAAAGTACAGGTTCTTGAACTGAGGCAGCAAGGGCTCTTAGGCCCAATTTTTGATGAACAGCTGCATTGCAATCATCCGCCAGCTCCTAGTCATTGCTTTGCACACTGCACTACATGCAAATATCAGTTTTGGGGCACATTCAAAGTGCATTTTTCAAGCATTTGTTGGCACGCTGTAAAAGGAATTCTGCAGGTGGTGGATGTAAGGAGTCAAGTTACTGGCACATGGAGAATATTTAGGCATTTTCTTATTGCCAGTCAATAGGTGAAGAAATCCCTGTATCAGAAACAGAAGTTCATTATTCTGGTACTCTTTAGATACTATGGACTAGACCTCCCTTATTCCCGATCACATGACATGTTGGGGGATGTTTACAGATTAATGGGTTAAAATAATAAAAGTCACCAAACTGTCTAACCTTAACAGACATTGCCTATTCTTACATCCTCATCTTTCCAAGCCATTGAGAATATACTGTCCTGTAAGGTTGGTTACACTGTACAAATTAGGTTGTCAAATCTAGTTTACTTGGTTTTGGCCTCTTTGGATCACTGTAGATCTTTATATGTGGAAAATTCTTGCTAAAAAGGATCAGAGTGATCCTTTCCATACCTATAGCATATGAACTCACTATAAGAATTATGTGCCATTCTTTTAAACAATGACATTATTCCAGTTTCCTTGGTTTTTGACTTTCAGTTTTAAGTGTGCCTGGTTCTATCCATTTCCTCCATATACATGATCACTAATTGGTTTATTCACCTACCTTAGGGTTATCCCATACTTCAGAATTTCTGTGAAGAGCAAATATACACACTCCAACTAGGAAACCTAAAGGAAGAAGAACAAGGGGTAGTAAAATTAGAAATTTGCTGTAAGCTCAGTTCATGGTTTCAGTATGAATGTTAGGAAAGCACACATGCCATTTATACCCTTCCTGGACAAAAAGAATCAGTGCAATCAAAACCAGACTTCTCTAATGAGGCTTTATATGCCTCTGACTTGGAAAGATGTTGAGAACTACAAGTGTCTCAAAGTTCATTTTTTTTTCGTGTCAGGAGTGACTTGAGAAACTGCAAGTTGCTTCTGGTGTAAGAGAATTGGCCGTCTGCAGAGACGTTGCCCAGGGGGAGTCTTCTCGCATGTCCCCGCATGGGAAGCTGGAGCTGACAGACAGGAGCTCACCCCACCGACCTTCAGGTCAGCAGTTCAGATGGAACAAGGATTTAACCCATTACGCCACCACGGCTCCTTCAGCTGCCATAATACTAAGAGAAGACAGCTGTTTGGGTCATATCGTCTGACATTGCATTCATTGTTGGTTCCTAATTAATGTCTAGGCCAACTATAAAACTCTTCATTTTTAATACCAAAATTCATCTGGGAAGACCACAATATGTCAAAGACCATCTTCTCTCTTAAATAAATTTTTACCCAGTTATGAAAGATTATACAGGCATCACCTTTACAATAAATATGGCAGGAGAGATTTGTATCAGTGTCTTATTTATCATTTCCTTGTCTGAGTTGAGGTGTGCTGAACTAGAATGATAGAGCAATGACAAAAGTGTCTCTACTCTTTTAGATTGACCTCACCATCCCCGTGCACTGGGTCTGCTACGAAGGACAAAGTGATGTTATTTCTCACAGTCAGAAAAAGGGCAGCTAGCATTATGCAAACCAAGCTTCCAAACTGTTTTGTCTGTACTTCTGTTTTTGAATTATGGGTGTTTTAATTTAGCGTTGGGTTATTTTGCAATTATATTTCATGGAAACTATGTGTTTCTGTTAATCTGCCTTCAATTGCATAGCTGTTCTGCTTGTCTTTGAGAAAAGAAGAGAAAAAACTGACCTTTTGGCAGGGTTCGTCCATCATCAAATGTCAGAGGGGAATCCAATGTTCGAGCTATTAAGGGTACTGGTGGGTAAAGCCGAAGGCTCTCTTTGATGCACATAGTGGTGTATGTTAACTTTCCTAAGTTATCCCTGTAAAGAACACAGAAAATACACTAGAGGAAAGTGCCAATAACTGAATTCATTTAAAAACTCCCCTAAACATTTTCTGGATTACTCTGAGCAGAAATATTTGATTTGGTGAAAAGAAATAAGCTTTTTAAATTGTCGGAATCAGTGAAAAAGCATAGAATGTGTCACCCATGAGGTTCTCTTATATGACAAACAAAACTACTAAAGTTTTGAAATTGTGGGACAAATTAAATAGGCAATTGCCTGGCAAAAAGCACTTTTTCAAGATGTCCCAATTTATGACAATTCTCAATGTCACCTATCATGGCATTTTCTGGGACCTGTCAAGGCCTCCCAGTGAGTTTACTTACCCAAGTGGGGATTTGAACCCTAGTATCTAGTGTCATAGTCTAACACCAATATGGAGCCTTCTGTAGTATGTATACATTACATACCAAAAACTTCTTGCTTATTATAATTTCTGTCATCTTGACATTATTACCGTATATACTCGAGTATAGGCCAACCCGAATATAACCCGAGGCACCTAGTTTTACCACAAAAAAACAAAAACAAAAACGGGAAAACCTATTGACTCGAGTATAAGCCAATGGTGGAAAATGCAGCAGCTACTGGTAAATTTCAAAACAAAAATAGATACCAATAAAATTACATTAACCGAGGCATCAGTAGACTTTTTATACTACATATTGCTGCATAGATAATGATTTAAAAGATCATTCCTGTCTCAGTGCATAACTTGTCAACAACAGAACTATTAGAGTTGGAATCTGCACAAATGTACATACTTTCACAGAACTTTGCAAGGGTACTTTGAGTATCCTGGTTCCTCCAATGACAAAACTAGCACTAGATTTTCTGGACATCTCAGACAAGCTGTTTTGAAAAACCCTCTAATTTTCTTGCATCTGGGCACTTAGTGACAGGGTCATGCGCGTGAGGCGAGGAGAAGGGCCTCTTACCCTGCGTGCACCTCTCTCTTCCTTTCACTGTGCTCACCTCCCTCCCTCCTCTTGCCATGCACGCACCTCCCTCCTCCTCCTCTCGCTGTGCAAGGAAGAAGGAGGCAGGTGCAGCGGAAGGAGGGAGGGAGGCACGCAGCGATGAGGAGGGAGGGAGGAGTGTGCGGCAAAACGAAGAGGGAAGGAGGTGCACAGATCCAATCTTAAGAAATGGGGCTACAAAGTAGAGGCCACAACATGCAAGAGCAAATCACAAACCACCTATTACAATACAGTCTGAGCCCTGCCACATACACAATGGAGAATCTTCTTATAGAAACACCAGAGACAGTCCAAGTGGCCAGCTACTGATCAAAGGACATTTAGTATAAAGCCAAGTTTTTAACTTTGTTTGTGTTTTTAAATACATTACAACTGTACCCTCAATTTTCTTCTGACATAATAAATAAATAACCTCAAAGAGAATCTTATGCAACTGTTGACCTTATCACACTAGAGAATGAATCTACTTTAAATCCTGTTTCTGCTTCCTGCAGAATTCTGGGATTTGTAGTTTAGGGAGGAGCCTTTAACAGCCTCACTAAACTACAAATCCCAGAACTCTGCAGGAGGCAGAAACTGGATTTAAAGTGGATTCATTCTCTAGTGTGATGAAGTAGTGTGTTACTTTTTGTCTGAAAATCCACAAACAAGTTTTGTCTCCAGATGAGATTCACAGCAACCCTAACCCTAGTTTTTTTTAAAAAAAAACAATACAAAAGGTGAAGGTTAAAAACTAAGTCCCACCATTGAATGATTTCTTGGTCCCCGAGGACTTCTTTTATCTCTTCCCTGCATTTCTCCTGATGTTCAGGATTTTGAGCCATGCAGTAAAACAGCCACGAAATCCCACTGGCTGTGGTATCATGACCTGCAAACATGAAAGTGGCCACTTCGGCACGTAGATCTTCCTGAGGTAATGGATTTCCCCTTTCATCCTAGTAATGTAGGAGTGCTGTCAGTGTGATGATTTAAACAAAAGCAGACTTCACAAAGCTAAATTATACATGGAAATAAAAGTAGAGGAAGGCAGTTATTAAAAGAACACAATACATGCAGAAATGCCCTTCAAAGAGTAGATTTCTGATATTACCAGTTGCTTCATCTGCCTACCATTTATCTGTTTCTACTGTGCTTCTTATCATCTACAGGGTTTACACTTATTTCTTATTATATCTAATAACAAAAAGTATTGTTTTAAAATACCGAAGATTTAGGAAATATGTTAGTTTCCACAGTACAAAGCCTTTGGAATACTTGTCAATGTGCCTGCATCTATACATAATTTATTACATCTATTTCACCCCTACCTGCTGGTTTTCTGCTTTTCTGAAATATTCACAGTACTGACCTTTGTCAAAAGAAGGATATCCAGAAAGTCAAAATGCTTCCCTTTGAACAATGTCTTGTCTCCAGCCTTGAGGGATTCTTGTCTTTTTTGAATAATTTTATCTGTATTAAACATATGAAAGAGACATAGTGTAAAATATTTATCATAAAAGCAGAATATTAAGTATTCTTGTTATGCAAAATATGATGCAATTTTCCTGCACTGAGATTATCTTTTAGTTAGCATAGCAATTTTAAGAAATGCAACAGATATTTTATTTAAATGGCCTAAAATCCATAGTTTCCACATAAATAGCAAGATGAATCCCAATGGAATTTGCATGTGTTGGCTTACCTTTCAGCAACTGACTCGCTGGATTTACTCCAGCAATTGGATTAAGGCAAATTTAGTTGGAAATGCAATAATGCATAGCTTTAAAGAGTGAAAAATGCCACATAACGGTCAATAGTAATAGGGTTCGATAGTCTGAGTGACCTTAAGTCATTTCTCTTTATATCTAACTATCCTGATTTCTCTGTGATGAAAACTAATAGTCTTACGGATTTCTCCATCTCTTCTTCCTCCCCTGAAAAGAAGAGACTAAGCAGAGAAAAGAACCGAAAGACACTGCCTTGAAGGTAAACAAAAACCATAATGTAAGAACAAGAGAGAGACAGTAGAAGGGAAAGAACATAGGGAAAACAAGACAGGCAAAAGAGAAGGAATTTTCTAAACCATGCAAAACTGATACTTTTGTTAATTTCCTATATAGGCCTAAATGATCTGTATGGTGGCACACATAGGGAACTTTTCCTGCCTTATCCCCACCTCAATATTTGCCGGAAAGCTCCTCCTATCGATCCCTACATCATACATTGACAGGTAATCATGAGAACGTCTTTCTTGTGTCTGGACTCCTTTGTCCTTCCTTGGAGGATGAGAGAGAGGGCCTTCTCAGTGGTAGCCCCCCACCTCTGGAACACCCTTCCTACGGAAATAAGACAGGCCGCATTCCTCCCCTCCTTTCATAAGAGCCTGAAGACCTGGTGGTTTCAACAAGCCTTTGAGAATGACTAGTTGTAGCTGAGCCTCAGACGTTGTGAATATGGCCTTATTTTTCCTACTAATTACCCACGTCACTCTCTCTAATAGGCCCCGGAAATAAACAGCCATAAACCGTACCTGTTACTGTTGTTGCCTGCTATAGCACTGCATTTTCCCAGGTCCTAGTCTTGGCCCAACCTTTTAAATTGCCTTGAACAGGCAGGATTACTTTTTAATGTATTGATGATGTTACTTGGAAACCGCTCTGAGTCCCCTCAGGGAGATAGAGCGGTATATAAATAAAGTTGTTGTTGTTGTTAGAGCTCTTCCTGTCTCTTCCCTTTTTAGGTCCCAAAATTTTATTAAAGTGTCATTTATAAGAATAAGCATCTAAGTTTTAAGATGATGATGTTCCATCATCAGAAATGTAGTTTGTCTTCCTTTGGTTTTTAATAATTTTACTTGCCTTCATTGTTTCACTGATTGCTATTTCCGTGAAATGGGAAAATGAGTGGTAAGCTGGTGCAATAAATTAATAAGAAGCTTCAAAGCTATGGTCAAAAGGATGCTGAGTCTATAAAAACCATAGGAGAAGGGAAGAGCAATGGACAAGAGCTTGTAATCTACAACCTCTCCATTTATATAATGTATTCACAGTTAACGTTGTGCCAGAAAGCCTTTGAAAGGACATATATTATGTATCTTCTGCAGGAACATGGAACACTGTTCTCCGTTTCTCGATTTCCTGATAAAGAGAAAGTGAACAAGAGGGAGAGATGGGATACCATTCCTTCACAATTCCTGTCAAAGCAAAGTGGGTTTTTGCAGCACAATTATTTGATCACAGTTGGTTGATGGAAACAGTGGAATCAGACAGACCCAATTTGTTCTGGGAGCAGCCTTCAATCACAAATGGCCACTATTCAATCAACGTTAATATTAGAAAATATCCCATTGGATCAGTCACAGGTGCATGCAGGTATAATGTGCAGTGTCACGAGTTCTGCCCAAAACTACCACAACAACAGCAGCAGCAGCAGCAACAACAACAACAACACAGTTTATTAAACAGCTGCTGGGCCAAGGTGATAAGAGATCAAAGGTGCATACCTGTGTGAAGGTGAGCTAATCTGCAGGTTTTGTGGAACCAACGTCCTTGGGAGCTCAACGAGTAAATGAAATCATTTTGATACAGGGGTACAAGAGTTCTCTCATTGATCAGGAAGGCGAGATCAGCGATAGTTTTAACATGGAAATTGTCCCTTTGAGGAAATTTAGAAGAGCAGGTAAATTCCAAGGAAGACGAAGTTTCATTTTTATTTTAATAGCTGCCACTTTAAAATATATTTAAAATACATTTTGATATATTTTTGTTTTGTAACAAACTAAAAAAAGTAAGAGAATAAAATGAAAGGCACAATGTGGTGTTTCCACTCCATGTTTCAATGTGCTAGTCCTCCTGGTGAAAGAAAAGTTGCTGCATTCCACAGCATTGAGCCATGGCAGTTAAGGTGGGGCGAAATTGCATTAATCTACAGCACAGATGCGCTCTTTGTTATAACATGTTTCCCAATTATATGGTCCTCACCTACTCAATGAGCGTGTCTTCAGCTGGAAAACAGGCTTGAGCATAGATCAAGTTGCTGGTCCCAATTAGAGTTGATTGACTGTGCATTCAGCCTTGCATTCTTTTAGCAGTATGTAACATCTCTTAATACAAGTAGTTGCCACCAACACAGAACAGAACTGAGCCTTAGACTGGAAAGATTATACAGTATTGTGCTTACAGCTGTTCTTTTTTAAAGTGGTGCTTTCCCTTTATTTACATTACGGCTCTGCCCCCCCCCCCCCAATTTCTAAACACTTAGAATCCATTGAGGATACGATTTATGATGGAGCCCTTCCCACATGGCAAGGGGACTTCCAGTCAGCGTCTGTCATGTTTAGTTAGAGAAACATCTGAAACAATCCCAAAAAAGGGGAGTTCCTGAGCAAGGATTCAGGAACCGGGTTATAACTAGAGGAAACGCCCAAAATCATGTGGGATTGTTGTTCATTTGTTCAGTCGTCTCCGACTCTTCGTGACCTCATGGACCAGCCCACGCCAGAGCTCCCTGTCAGCCGTTACCATAGAGCTTTCAATTTCTTGAACCGCTTCAGTGATTTTGAGTAAGGGGTGTTTCTATGGAGAGTCTGCTACCAAGCATTAACATTTATCTCCCAAAATCCTGCTTCATGAGCCTGGCATGGTAATTTTCTAAAGTCTGGTTTCCCCTTGGAATATGTCTTGGATTGTGTGATTTCGGTGTTGGAATATGTCTTGGATTGTGTGATTTTAATTGTTGTTTAATGTCTGTTGTTTTGTTTTGGATTTTAATGCTTTGTTAATGTATTGATATCTATAGGGTATTGAATTGTTGCCTTTGTAAGGCTGCCCTGAGTCCCCTTCCAGGTGAGAAGGTTGGGGTATAAGTGTAGTGAATAAATAAATAACTAAATAATTAAGTGATGTCTGGTGTAAGATCAGCTGCTTTGGTCTACTCTAGAGTTGCTGGATCAGAGGGGATTTTTCCCTCTAGTGGTGACATATTTAAGATCATCTGCTTGGGTCTATTTTAGAGTAGCAAAATTGGAGGAAAAAGTCAAGTATCCCATAAGCTCCCCCCCTCCCTCCAAGGAGTGGGTGGGGACTATGCTGTCTTGTGGAATAAATCTGAAAGTCGATAATTTTGGTAAAACCGTCAAGAAAAGACATCATGTGAAGAGGTCCCATACTACACAGCATACCAACACAAGTAATGTTGATTGGGAATCTAAGTTTAGTCAAATATTTCTTCTGTGGGGGATGAATTCCAATTGAATGTCAATATGTGAAATTAAGTGGAGCTAAAATGCCCTGTTTCACGCACAATTTGTTAGTGCCTCAAATACTTGAATACTAGTGAGTTTTGAAAATTTAAATCACAAAAATGTGGAAAAATCTGAACTTTGGGTTCAATATTTAGAAATGTTGGGTGAATTTTTTCCAAATATATTTTCTTATACCTAGCTCGGTTGTTGAGTTACACTCACACAGAACCTCAAAAACTATGTCACAGTGACTGAACATAAAGTTATGATGGCAAAAGGTAATGCTCTCTATTATAATAAACACTCAGGCAAGGGCAAAATTTGGGTACACATCAGGAGAGAGTGAACTTCAGTGTGAAAGCCCATTTAAAGATAGATCCTGCATTTGACAATACTACACCTTTAAAGGATCTGAAGTGCATGAAAACACTATAGAGAAGTCATTGGGAGCACATTACTGACTCTAAACAACAAAGAAGAATAGCAAGTAATAGCCAAGATTCTAAGTATATCCTGTCTCCCAAATACAAAGCAGCATCAACAGCAACATTTAGAAGCAGTAATCACACTGGAGTATGATAACATCCTTAACTGACCTATCCATCTGGCAGTTGCTCTGGAAACTGAATGCACATCTCAGGATGCTGTCAAGGGTCATCAAGTTGACATGGTTATATATTTCCATTGATACTTCACTGTCTTTTGAGGACAATGTGTCCCATTTAGCCTTATAACACAATAGAAAAGAATGTGAAAGAGTAAATATATCCATTGATAGATTTTAGATGACTGGCTTGGCTTGACAAATTGAAATACAACATCTGCTTCAAGAAAGTGTGGGGAAAATTTCCAATAAAAGCAGCACAATCCAATGCATTTTTGCTAAACAATTCCCACTGGATTTCAATATGAATTCAGATAATTATTATCAAAGGTAAGATCTGTGATCATATTTAATATGTAGAAAACAGAGACCAGTGGTATGTCTGAAATTCACAAGTATGATCTATACTTGTCCCATCACAGAGGCAGTTTATAAAGGGACACCAGGAGTCTTGCTTTCAGGATAATGCTATGGAATCACAGGAGTTGTAGTTTAGTATTTGGCAGAGAAAGCTGAAGATCTTGTAAAATTACAACTCCCATTATTCCATAGCATTGAGCCATGGCAGTTAAAGTGGCATCAGACTGCATTAATTCTAGATAAGCAGCATCCCTAATCAGTCTAAACCAGTGATTCTCAACCTGTGGGTCCCCAAATGTTTTGGACTTTAATTCCCAGAAATCCTAACAGCTGGCAAACTGGCTGGGATTTCTGGGAGTTGTAGGCCACAACACTTGGCGACCCCCAGGTTGAGAACCACTGGTCTAAACAAAGTCACTACTCTATTCTTTCCAAACAGGCCCGTTTGTGTGTGTGTATGTTTTGTGTTGGGGGAGGTGTGTTACAAGTTTATTCAGGAAATTACTTTGAACCTCTTATAAACAGAAAACTACATCTATATTGACAGATGGGATACTTTGTCCAAGACAAAAAATAAAGTTGATGAAGGTGTAGTGAAGAAAATCCTTGAAAGGTTCAAGCATCTGCCCTCAGTCTGGGATATCACAATTTGATACCTTAAATACGTATTAAAATAAAACAACATATAATTTAAAATCACATAGTTAAAACATATCAATTAAACAATTCTTTAAACACAATTCAAAACATATACAAAGAGCCATTCTAAGTGTCATTTGTATTGTTCATTATTGCACTGAAACGTCAATTGTTAGAAATCACTGTGTAAACGCTTGGTCCCACAACAAGGATGACTTTCTTCATGAAGGTCAGGAGGGAGGGGGCTGATCTAATTTCCCTGGGGAGGAAGTTCCACAACCGAGGGGCAAACACTGAGAAGGCTAGGTTCTTGTAGGTTTTTTCGGGCTATAGGGCCATGTTCTAGAGGCATTTCTCCTGATGTTTCGCCTGCATATATGGCAAGCATCCTCACTACCTCTGAGGATGCTTGCCATAGATGAAGGCGAAACGTCAAGAGAAATGCCTCTAGAACATGGCCCTATAGCCCGAAAAAACCTACAAGAACCTAGTGATTCCAGCCATGAAAGCCTTCGATGATACTGAGAAGGCTGTCTCTTGTCCCCACCAGTTGCACTTGTGAGGAAGGTGGGATTGAGAGAAGAGCCTCCCCGGATGATTTTTACCTCTGAGACGTTTCATAGAGTGAGATACGTTTGGATAGGTAAGTTGGGCCGGAACCATTTAGGGCTTTATAGGCTAAAGCCAGCACTTTGAATGGTGCATGGTAGCCAACTGGCAGCCAGTGGAGCTGGTGCAGCAAGGAATTTGTGTGCTCCCTGTATCCTGCTTCAGTTAGAAACCTGGCTGCCGCCTACTAGACTACTTTAAGCTTCCAAACAGTCTTCAAAGACAACCCATGTAGAGCATGTTGCAGTAGTCAATTTGAGATATATATGAACTGCTGTGATCAAATCTGACTTCCCAAGGTACGGCCGCAACAAGTACACAAGTTTTAATTGTGTGAAAGCCCCCTAGCCACCGCCAAACCTGGGGTTTCAGGCTCAGCGATGAATCCAGGAGAACTCTCAAGTTGTAAGCACTGATTCAGGACCTGAACACCCTCCTTAGCAGCCTGGAAAAGAGTGATAGAGTTAAATGGATGCATCCTAAATCATTAGCAGTATATGCTGATGAGTTGCAGCTGACTCCAATTTCCAGATTTTGTATAGGTGACTGAGAGTATCCTGGTTATTGAGACTAATAGACATGTACGCAAAAATGCCACATACTTTCAAATGCATCCTAGGAATGGGACAATGGTGTTTCCTACCAGCATCACTTTGACAGACTCAGCCACTGGAATCACATAAGACTTCAGAATCTCATAATGAAATCCTGGAGTGACTAGCCTCCGATGTTGTTGCCACTTTGGCCCTTCCAGAAGCAATAAACCTTTCCCTACAAAAAATTATGTTAGAAAGCATAGAAAGAGGGGATTTATGATTATTGATTATCAAAATCAAAAGCATATCATACAGAGAGACTAGAATCTGATGAAAAGAACATAGTGAAATGGAGTGGTATGGCTGTGCTATAGCAGCATTTTCTCCTGACGTTTTCCCTGCATCTGTGGCTGGCATCTTCAGAGGATTGGATGATAGTTAAGCAAGTGGAGTTTATATATCTAAAGATGCCAGCCGCAGTTGCAGGGAAAACGTCAGGAGAAAATGCTGCTAGAACACGGCCATACAGCCTGGAAACCAAACAACACCCCAGTGATTCTGGCTGTGAAATTTTTAACAACACAGTGAAATGCTTCATTTTGCAAGCAGTGCTCTACTGACAAATGTTTGACCTACCATGATCACTAACGCTTAACACTCCATGGAGGATTTCTACACAGTCAATTGATTGTGCTAATGATCCTTTAATTGAAGATTTGGTTTTATGCCATGTCTAGAGCTTGTAATAGTATTTTTGGGACTACTGATCCCAGAACAAATCAGTAACTCTCTCTGGAGCCAAGGTGACTAAACTGAGGCTGTCACACATGACTACTAGCATTCTATCCCAGAATTCTTTCTTTTAGATCATTGGTTCCCAATCTATTTTTTAACCATGGACCACTCTCCAACATTAGAACCAAATAGATTACAAATGAGTTTTGGTCAACTTTGGATTTGGCTGATTCAGAAAACTGCATTGGATAGACCACATCAGCTCTAGTTTCTGATACAGAACATATGCCATCCAGTAATCACCATCTGCTTGCCCACGGAAAACCATATTTAATAATCTAGAGCTGATGTGGTGGTAATAATCTTTCATGCCTCGCTCCTTCCGATATCCCAGTCACCTCGGCACTATAAGAGGGTTTCACAAAATCAGTCACTCCTGTTGCCATGAGGATTTGAGGCAACGGTGTAGTAATGGTGAGGCCGCGGAATGTATTTTTGTTCTTGTAGACCATTGGTGCTCCATGGATCACGGTTGGGAACCACAATTTGAGATACAGAGGTACTGCATCTAGTTTTACACCATATTTAACTGAGCTGATCTCCACTGATATCTGAGGACACAGAGATTGCCCAAAGGGTATTTATTGATAACAAACGATATATCTGTTAATTGCATTTTATTTCTAGTCTTTCTCCCTTTTTCCATAATTGCATTTGGTCTATCTATTCCTAAAAGTTGAAATTGTCAGAATGCGTACATTACTTAGCATTTAAAAAAAATGCTAACAAAATCAATGTCCCAGAATTAACCACAGGTTTACAGTAATTGGGGTGTGGTCGCTAAGTGCTGAGACTGTTGTCTATAAGCTTGTAGCAACCCTGTCCAGCTCCCCGCATAGATAATCTACTAAGACAACAAAGGCTGTTCCGGTACCATGACCCAGTCTAAAGGCAGACTGCACCGGGTCTAGATAATCAGTATCTTCCAAGAACCCCTGGAGTTGTGAGGCAACCACACATTCCAAGACCTGCCCAAAAAGCAGAGATTGGAAACTGGCCAAAAGTTGTTTAATTGGGTGGGATACAATGATGGTTTTTTCAACAGCTGTTTTATTACAGCTTCTTTTAAGCTGGCTGGAATCTTGCTTTCCTATAAGGAGGCATTAACCACCACCTTCACCCACCCTGCCAAACCCCCTCTGGCTTCCTTTATCAGCCAGGATGGGCAGGGATCTAGGATGCATGTGGTCGGTTTCACCTCTTCAAGGATCTTGTCCATGTCCTCGAGTTGTACCAATTGAAATGAATCCATCAAAACTGGACAAGCAGGTGCTCGTGTTACATCCTCAGAGACTGCTATTAACATGGAGTCCAAGCCAGAGTTGATCAAAGCAACTTTGTCTGCAAAGAACTGAGCAAATGCTTCACAATGAGCTACCAAGTTGTCAGAAATCCCATCTTGGGAGATTTACCAACCCTCTGACTAATCGGAACAGCTCCGGCAGACGGTTCCTTGCAGATGCAATATTGACTGCAAAGAAAGATTTCTGTGCAGCTTTTATTGCCGTGGTGTATGCCCATAGTTGTGTTCAGTTTTATTTGCTAGGCTTTGCATGCCACATGCACTCTAGTCTCCTCTTTGTTCGCTTCATCGCTTTCAGCTCCTCAGTAAACCAAGGAGGAGGTTTAGCTCTGCTACTTGAGAGGAGACATTCTGGAGCAATCATGTCTGTTGCTCTAACCACCTCCCTATTCCAGAGAGTGACCAGAGCATCAGTAGGATCACCTACTGAGGTGGGAGGAAATTCCCCAAGAGCTATTAGGAATCCATCAGGATCCATAAGCCTCCTGGAGCAGATCATCTTAATGGGTCCTCTACTGCCACAGAGGTTAGGGGGTTCTTGATTAGGCAGTCGATCCATGTCAACGGAGAGATGGTCAACTCCTCTACACCGCCACCTTCCTCCCATCCCTGGCAGAAAATCAGATCTAATGTGTGTCCAGCACACGAGTAGAGCAAGATATTTGAATATCTGTATTATTAAATATTTGTATTATTAAATATATTTGTATTTTATTGAAAGACAGTAAAAGCAAGGATGGATATATATATATATATATATATATATATATATATATATATATATAGAGAGAGAGAGAGAGAGAGAGAGAGAGAGAGAGAGAGAGAGTCTTAAGGCCTTCCTTCCAGACAGGCTCTATATCCCAGGAACCGATTCCAGATTAACTTTTAACTGGATTATATGAGTCCCCACTTCCAGATAATCTGTGCGCCTTTGGATGTATGTTACATTTATGGAAGCTTGTTCAATTAGATTTGTCTTTGTTCTGTCCACACAATAACATTCACAGTAGCTAGTAACCTACATAAAACATAGCATACAAAATCTGCTAAAATCAAAATAACAGATATGAGAAATAATGAACCCATCAGTAAATAACATAATCAGATAAAAGCATTAAAACCAGAACTAGATTTAATATTTAATTATGGTTCCTTTCCATAAAGATCTTGGTGGCACATGAAAATACCTACCAATCCATGGAACCAAGCCATGATAAAATATAGGACATTTTGGATCTGTAATAAAACATACAAAAATTGAGTCGGGATAAGAAAATGCGCGATAATTACATTTCAAATTTTCTTTAATGTTATTAATCATTGCATTTAAGTTATATTAAACAGATATGCATGGAAAAAGACAAAATGCAGTTTGAGTAATACAGATTTAATAGACAAGTTTAATTTAAGAACAAGAGTCACAAATAGAATGTGTGGATGCTATCCTAGTACCATAGGTAGGATGTGGAGGCAAGTGCTTGGGATTAATACAATAATAATACTTACCTCCTCTGTTGTATACTGCTTTGACATATTCAGGGTGGTTGATAGCTAAACCAGCTAAGAACCCTCCATACCATACAGGAAAACATCTTGGAAATTCTTCTGTCCACTTCTGTATACTTATTAGTTCTTTCTGGAGTCCCATCTGCATTGTGGGTTGGTATTAACAGTTAAAATCATGGACTACTACATGTAATTAAGAAACATAATTTGTTGTGGAAAGGCAATAGCATCTCTCAACTGAAAGGACTATGAATAGGCTATAGTTTTTGGTGATGGTTGCTCATTCGGTGATGGTTGCTCATTGATGCTGTCCTTGGGTGCATCTATAAGCTAAACCAGGAAATCCCCACTGGATGGCCCCCTGCGAGGGTCTTCCTCCAGGGGCAAACCAAGAATGGGAAACTTGGAAGTCCCTGAATAGACTCAGAAGCGGAATGGGCAGATCAAAAGACAACCTGGCAAAATGGCACTACCTAAAAGCATCCCACACCTTGTGTGACTGTGGAGCAGAACAGACAACTCCGCATCTGTATGCTTGTCCACTGTGCCCTACCTCATGTACAGAGGAGGAATTGTTGGAGGCTACAGACAATGCCGTTGCTGTTGCCTGTTTTTGGTCAAAAGATATTTAGCTGCCTGCGCGCCTTCTATTTTTATCAGTTTTATACTAATTTATGCAATGCTTTTGATATGAAATAATAATGCAGTTTGACACCACTTAAACTCAATATTGTGGAATCTTGGAAACTGTAGTTATAAAAGGTCTTTAGCCTTGTTTGGCAAATAGTGCTGGTGCCTCACCAAACTACAACTCCCATGATTCTACAGCATTGAGATATCAACTGCATTAATTCTGCAGGGTACATACACATTGTTTGTCGGAAGTAAACAGTAAGAAAATGATTGGATTCTTCTAATAGATTTTCAAAATACTAATGTCATTCGCTAATATAAATCCATTCAAAAGCTCAAAAAATTGCACTGGAGCATTATCATCTGTACTTAATATTATTATTTATCGTGTCAGCAGTAACCAGACATTTGTATTACATTTTTAACAAAAGCAAGCAAACAAACAGACAAAATACAAAGTTTGCAAGCTTGGTAGTTGATTAAATGTTCTTTGACCAGTATCTGGCCACTTGGAGTGCCTCTGGTGTTGCCGCAAGGAGGTCCTCCATTGTGCATGTGGCAGGGCTCAGGTTGCATTGCAGCAGGTGGTCTGTGGTTTGCTCTTCACACTCACATGTTGTGGATTCCACTTTGTAGCCCCATTTCTTAAGATTGGCCCTGCATCTCGTGATGTACTTAAAACTGAATAACTGATTTTATTTTTAAAGCACTCAAATTTGTGAAAGAACCGAGTGTGATATGGCATTTTCAGTGTGTTTATTGAGTTCAGCACCCAAATATATATTTTTGAAAGCTGCAACTAAAAAATTCCCAACTTTTGGTCCTTCAGGATTTTTTTTTTACTTCAGCTCCCAGAAGTCCTTGCCAACTTGGCTAACTGTCAGGAATGTTCGGGGCTGAAGTCCAAAACTCTTGCAGGCTCCAAGTCACATGCTGGATCCATACTGTAAACAGTTCTGGTCACTGAACTTAAACAAAAAGCTGTGCACAGTTCTTTTTAAGGCTGGATCTACACTGCCATATAAAATCCAGATTAAATGCTTTGAACTGGATTATATAACAGTGTAGACTCATATAATCCACTTCAAAGCAGATAATGTGGATTTTCTGCTTTGATAAGTTGGATTATATGGCAGTATAGATGCAGCTTGAGGCAACCAAATGAAGAAGGCGCAGGACAAAATCCCACGAATAACAATATTGCAATAGAAGAAAGAGAAAGGATCCCTTACCATATGGATGTGGCCATAGAGCCAGTGAGTGGGGGGCCCTGGGAAATCCCTCAGCCCCTTCAGCAGTTTCTGCCTTGTCTGAAACAGTTGGATGGCCTTCAGAGCCACACAGGTCAGGATCAGAGCAACAGTGAGCTGGAAAAGCTGAGCGAAGTTCCATGAGGCAGACATTAGACTCTCCATGGCTGTTTTGTTTTTGTGCACGAATATTTACAGAGAAGGATCCTGTTTGTCTACTCTGTATCTAAAATCAAAGCACTAGAGCAAAGGCTAGCTCTGCACAGTATTTGGGAAATTAAGTGGTTGATAAAAACTCCACCCACAATCTCTTATTTCACTCCCCTTTTATAAAGCTGAACTGCAAAATCACAAGATTTTCGTGCCACTTTAGCTGCCAATGCTGTCAGAGTTGGCCTTTGGGACTTTGAAATTGCATGAAGCTTATGCTTTAATAAATGCTTGTATTGTTTGGTTCTGGGAAGGATGCCAAAGTACCTTGGAATATGCTTGATGCTAATACAAGGCAAAGGGCACATCTATACTGTGGAAAGAATGCAGTTTGGTACCACTTTATCATAGTTCAATGCAATGGAGTCATGGAAGTTGTAGTTTGGTGCATTCCTTGGCGAGGAAGGCTAAACACCATGTAAAGCCATAGCTCCTAAGATTTTGTAGCACTGACCCCTCTTGATTAGTGCTACAAAAGTTGTCTGGAACTGCATTAATTCCACTGTGTAGATGCACCCTACATCTGATTCAACCTAACAGATCTTGCTGTTCCTTGAAGCTGTAAATATTTGCATTGTTTTGTTCTGGGAATGCAGTCAGAGTTCCTTGGAATGTGCTTGATGCTGATTTTGGGTCAAAGCCAGATTTCTGGCTGTAGAAATTTTGATGCCAGTGAGGAAGCTTTGGTGTGAGCATTATGTGACCAATCAACTAATAACTGAACAGGTTAGAAAGTTTTTAAAAGACTTGCAAATGGATATTTGCTTTGCAAATTATGGCCAAGCACCCTTTTCTGCACAGACTGTGAATAAGGGCTTCATTTTCCTTTCTCCCTCCCTATATATTCATTGGCTACAGTGCTCTAGGACCAAATTCAATGTCCTTTTGCAGGACAACACAAGCCTACCTCAGTTATCAAGGTCTTTCATATACAGTCCATTTTACAAAGGCTTTGTAGGATAATCCAGCACCTCCCCCCCCTTCCCTATTTTTGCCTTTTTGCAGTACTGCCATTAGGAGAATGAGGAAAGAGAAAGCACATTCATTGTTAGTTTGCAACAGCATGTTCTGCAGGAATAGCAGGCAAAAAAGTTCAACCTTGGAAAGAATTCTGCTCTTAGCAGGCCCGTAGCCAGGATTTCAATTCGGGGAGGGGGCCTGAGTTTGATTCGGGGGGGGGGCTGAGTCTGAGTGAAAGAGGGTCTATCCTAGCAAACCTTTTGTATCATTACCCCAATACCCCCATGCATATGGGATATATTGAGCATGGTGATCAGATCATGATATGAATAAACACAACAGTTTAAATAATGCACCAGTAAGGCCTTTTCGCAGACCACCATGAGAATTTCGGGGGGAGGGGGGGGTCTGAAGCCCCTCAAGCCCCCCTCCCCGGCTACATGCCTGGCTCTTAGGGTGATCTAGGTTTGCTTTAAATGGCAGAGAGAAGTTAAAATAGAGTCATATGCCGTATATACTAGTTTTTCAGGCTGTTTAGGCTGAAAAAGCCCCCCTCGGCTTATGCTCAAGTCAAGGTTATTTATTATGTTAAGTTGTTGTTGTTGTTATTACATTTATTATTTTATTCTATTATTGTTGTTGTTACATTTCCATTATTTTACTCTATTATTTTTATTTGTATTATATTTATTATTTTATTCTCTGTATCATGATTGAAAGGATACATTAAGCACATTTACATTGAAGAGGGTCAGAATAATGGTTTAATCAGAGTTGGACAGTCTTATATTAAATTACAATTTTATGTTAACATTTAAAAACATTTAACATACTGATGCACCAATTAATGCAATTTTGGGGTATATATATATTTTTAAAAAACATTACCAGTAGCTGCTGCATTTCCCACACTCGGCTTATACTCGTGTCAATACGTTTTCCCAGGTTTTTTTGTGGTAAAATTGGGTGTCTCAGCTTATATTTGGGCGAGCTTATACTCAAGTATTTGTTGTTCATTCGTTCAGTCGTCTCCGACTCTTCGTGACCTCATGGACCAGCCTACGCCAGAGCTCCCTGTCGGCCGTTACCACCCCCAGCTCCCTCAAGGTCAGTCCAGTCACTTCAAGGATGCCATCCATCCATCTTGCCCTTGGTCGGCCCCTCTTCCTTTTGCCTTCCACTTTCCCCAGCATAATTGTCTTCTCTAGGCTTTCCTGTCTCCTCATGATGTGACCAAAGTACTTCAACTTTGTCTCTAGTCTCCTTCCCTCCAGTGAGCAGTCGGGCTTTATTTCCTGGAGGATGGACTGGTTGGATCTTCTCGCAGTCCAAGGCACTCTCAGCACTTTCCTCCAACACCACAGCTCAAAAGCATCGATCTTCCTTCGCTCAGCCTTCCCTAAGGTCCAGCTCTCACATCCGTAGGGTACTACAGGGAATACCATGGCTTTGACTAGGCGGATCTTTGTTGCCAGTCTGATGTCTCTACTCTTCACTATTTTATCGAGACTGGACATTGCTCTCCTCCCAAGAAGTAAGCGTCTTCTGATTTCCTGGCTACAGTCTGTATCTGCAGTAATCTTTGCACCTAGAAATACAAAGTCTGTCACGGCCTCCACGGTTTCTCCCTCTATTTTCCAGTTGTCAATCATTCTTGTTGCCATAATCTTGGTTTTTTTGTTTAGCTGCAACCCGGCTTTTGCGCTTTCTTCTTTCACCTTGATTAGAAGGCTCCTCAGCTCCTCCTCGCTTTCGGCCATCAAAGTGGTGTCATCTGCATATCTGAGGTTGTTAATGTTTCTTCCAGCAATTTTCACCCCAGCCTTGCATTCATCAAGCCCCGCACATCGCATGATGTGTTCTGCATACAAGTTAAAAAGGTTGGGTGAGAGGATGCAGCCTTGCCGTACGCCTTTCCCAATCTTGAACCAGTCTGTTGTTCCGTGGTCAGTTCTGACTGTTGCTACTTGGTCCTTGTACAGATTCCTCAGGAGAGAGACAAGGTGGCTTGGGATGCCCATCCCACCAAGAACTTGCCACAATTTATTATGATCCACACAGTCAAAGGCTTTAGAAAAGTCAATGAAGCAGAAGTAGATGTTTTTCTGAAACTCCCTGCCTTTCTCCATTATCCAGCGGATATTGGCAATCTGGTCTCTCGTTCCTCTGCCTTTTCTAAACCCAGCTTGAACATCTGGCAACTCTCGCTCCATGTATTGCTGGAGTCTTCCTTGCAGGATCTTGAGCATTACCTTACTGGCATGAGAAATAAGGGCCACTGTACGAAAGTTTGAGCAGTCTTTCGCATTTCCCTTTTTTGGTATGGGGATGTAAGTTGATTTTTTCCAGTCTGATGGCCATTCTTGTGTTTTCCATATTTGCTGGCATATGGCATGCATCACCTTGACAGCATCATCTTTTAAGATTTTAAACAGTTCAGCTGGGATCCCGTCATCTCCTGCTGCCTTGTTGTTAGCAATTTTTGCCTGAAATTTACCTCCAATGTTTCTAATTTTCTGGAAGAGGTCTCTTGTCATATACTCAAGTATATGTGGTCTCTATTTCTGGATAAACATGCATAGGTGTTCCAAGTTTGAGGGGTGAAAGTTACTGCAGTCTGAAAAAGAACTCTGAATCGATAACCAGTACTTGCAACACTTATGAAGAAGGTTCCATTGCAGAAACCCAGTTCATGGATGTTGGAAGGGAGGGGATAGCATGGACACCTGGCATTGAGATGGATGGCAGTTGGACTTTTCCTTCACCATGGACTAACCTGCAGTCAAGTAGTATGCAAATATATTTTGGATTTGGATTAAAGGGAGAATTGTCAATATCCAAGCCAGATTCATGGAAGGAAGTAACATGAGGTAACATATTGCAAACATCCATTGGATAACAAACTCCACCAAAGAATTTCAGGAGAGAATAATCTAGTATCTTGCAGGTTTTAGCTAAGCCTTTGGTTGTGTAGTTCATGAGAAAATATGGTTTGCTCTCAAAGAAAAAGAAGTGTCATAATGCTGAAAGGCAAGAGATGAAATAATTCACCCAAGATCCTCAAATATAAAATTTTATTCTTACATATCGGTCAGAATCATATATGCCATACTATTTCTGATTTCTGGACATTGAAGAAAGCTGATAGAAGATAAACCCATCTGAATTGTTATGCAAAAAGAGAGAAATGTGGATACTATGAACTGCCAAAAAGACAAATTAATGGACTCTAAAGTAAACCAAGCTTGGACTCTTAACCATAAGCTAAAGTGACTACACCATGTTTGGGACATATGAGACTCACTGGAATGATTTATCAGAGGAGACAATGCAATTCAGTAAAGTGGAAAGCAGCAGGAAAGAGGAAGACCATATTAATTCATTCAGAAATGCCATGACCCTGATTTTCCAAGATATGAGCAAGTCTAATGATACCCTGGACTTATGGAAGTACATGGGGCAGTATATAAATGTAATGAGCTTTCAATATTCATTTAAGAGTACCAAAAGTGCTTCAGCTGGGATTATAGTACTGTATATCAAAGATCAGTGGATAGATTTCAGCTTCAGGTGTATTCCATTCTTGGATCGGGTAACAGTCTGTGGGATGGGAATGGGGGGCTGGGAATGGTCAGGAAGAAGTTCAAACCGCTGAAGTGTCAAGGCAAGAGCAACTTTCATCTCATTCATGGCAAATTGTTGTCCAATGCAGTTCCTGGATAGAATTAAAAAGAAACTTTACATTTTAAGCAAAAGAGGATTCCAGAAATTGTCACAGCAACTTTTCTATTGGCTTTCTTTTTGCTACCATCTAAAAACATTATTAATCTTCAATCCTTATTAGTTTTTGAGTCTCTATGGGTTTTTTTTTAAAAAGAAGTGGTATGGTATAATGAGTCAGGACTACAGGGCTCCTAAGAAACCAGGGTTCACATTCCTGTTCAGCCATGGAAACCAGCTTGGTGAGTTGGGAAAGTTATATTCTCTCCGCCTAAAAGGAGGACAATGGCAAACCATGTTTGAAGAAATCTTGTTAAAACTCTAGGATATGATTGCCATAAGTTGGAGTGGACTTAAAGGCACATAATAACAACAATGCGCTGTTTTATCTGGGCATCTTCTTCCTATAATCCTGTTCTGCAATAGCTTATATTACCTGTTTATAGTATTATTTCACTATATTAATATGAAAGTCACTTTGAAGAGTGAAAAACAATTTAAAAACATACTAAGATAATATGTTAATCCACAGATATGGATTACAAATATCCAAGTGTTTACAAAGTACTAATAATGTTTAAATATCTAATATTGATTGAAACCTATGTGTAATTTTATAACAGTGCAGAATCCGAATTCCTTACCTTGGCCCAGCAGCAAAAGGAAGAAAGGCATAGGGGTGGCGACGACTTGCATTTTCTGGGGAAAATCTTAGAGGATCAAAGACCTGTAGCCAAAAATATGTATACATCTTTAGACAAAAAGAACCACGTCAAAAAATAGAATGCTTCAACTGTAATTCCACACACACTTAGCTGGTAATAAGTCCTATTGAATTCAAAGGATCTTCAGATTTGGGCATATCAGGTATTTGTGCCAAATTTGGTCCAGTGAATGAAAGCACATCCTGCATATCAGATATTTACATTAAGATTTATAACAGTAGCAAAATTACAGTTATGAAGTAGCAACATTTTTTTTAATGGTTGGGGGTCACCACAACTTGAGGAACTGTATTAAAGGGTCGCAGCATTAGGAAGGTTGAGAACCACTGGTTTAGATTAATATAAACTTGACCCACAGCCCCCAAAGCTATTATCCTAACCATTCCTCTCCACGTCATGCATATTTTATCTTTTTTTTGGAGGGGGCGGGGATTGATCTCAGAACACATTGAAATTGACCATCCCTTTCCTGTCCCATCACTAAAAGCATCCAGTCTCACAAGGAAGATTTTACTTTTTTAGCTTTTTAGTTTATAATTACCTCAGGATTGTCCCAGACCTCAGGATTTCGGTGAAGGTTATAAATACTCAATATAGCAAAAGTTCCTGTGAAGCAAAGAGAGAAGCATTGCTTAATGAGGAACACAGAAAACTGATAAATACATTCTTCAATACTACCTGATCTATCAAAGCACTATCATTTGTATTGCTTTTCATTATATATTGCTTTTCACAAAGTTAATCTAAATGAGAGCTAATCTCTCATTAGGTAAGCATGAGAACTTGCTATGAAGGTGCTAAAATTTACTTTATTACTGAATGTTTATCACTGGATGGATGTGATGAGAAAATATTGGATGTAGATTAGAAGGGGATGGGAGTTAGAGAACCAAGAAAATACCTCTCTTTTTTCTAATGTCTGTACCTTCAACCCAGGGAAATGGTAAAACTGAGATAGGAATGAGGTGGGATGAGAGAGCAGCAATGTGATTCTGATACAACCTGCAATCTTCTTCTTACATACAATGAAGTAGAAACATCAATGTAACTAGGCTCAAGGTTCATGTGGGGCTAATAATTGAGTAGGTGTTATCTACTTAACAATCTACATTAGTTTACATCAGTGGTTCCCAACCTTTTTTCGACCAGGGACCACTTTGACCATTCTCCAACATTAGTACCAAAAGGGTTACGAATCAGTTTTTGGTCAACTTTAGATTTGGTTTGGTTATTTGGGGTACTGATTCAGAAAATTATATTGGATAGACCACATCAGCTCTAGTTTCTGATACAGAACATATTCCATCCTGTAGTCGCTCACCCACAGAAAACCATATTTAATAATCTAGAGCTGTGGACCTTATTTTAAGTCTCATGGCTATAAATTGAGAACCACCGGTTTACACTGTGCGATCAATGGCTTGACAAAATTTATGAAAAGATATTCAAATGCTACACTCACATATAAATACCCAGTGTTCCTACCAACTTTGTCGGTAGCAATCACACAAGAATGGGAGTTACCAAGAGACAGAAATAAAGTTTGATAATCTAAATTGAACTGGAGCATAAAAGAAAAAAAAGAGCAATACGTGTATCCATTTAGAGATTGGGGACTGAGGACATCCTTTGCTGATGTGTCTATAGTACACCTAATTATTATGAGGTTGTTCAAACCACTTTTTCCTTCATGCTGTAGTTTTATGATATCCGGACACAATAAATCTTTCTGGTGCCTAGGATCTCAATAACAATGAAGCCTGAATGGGCCATGAATGCATAAGCATGCAATAAATGCCCATGTATAAATCAAAGGTAGATAGCGTCCAATGAAATTTGGGGGTGCTTTTCTGCTTTTAAATGCTACCTAGAAGAGGGAATTCTTAAAGATGCTGTATGCCAAACAATGGGAAAGCAAGCAACACAGAGACATTAAAGATATAGAAGCCACTTCAGTTTTCACTCTAGCAACACTAGACATATGTATATTACTATTATATCCTCTTCCTCCTTCATCATGTAATTATTAAAGGCAGTCCTTCAAAGCACTGAAGATTTTTATAATTAAAAAGAAAACGAAAATATACATAAATGCAATCTGCAAAAATAAATGTGAGGAAGAGACCTTTTGGTATTGTTCTTCCATCTGGAAATGTTACTGGCACATTTAATTCTCGCCCTATTTGGTATACTGGTGGGTAAAGTCGAATGCTCTCTTTAATGCACATGGTGACATATGGCATTTTTCCTAGGTCATCCCTGAAAGACAGGGAAAAAAAATTAAGCTCATCTCACAAATGTTTATTTTTTCAAAAAGTAAAAACAAACAAACAAAATTGGATGTACTTGCTGAAGTTCAGACTTCAGGTCAGACATCATCCAAGTTTGAATAAGGTATTGTTAATGTGCCTATATGTTAGACACCATAGCAAATGAACAAAATCTGTTCAGTACAAGTCGGGGAATATTTTCTGTGAGAGAGAAATCATGTTTCTCACTGTTGGAACAATAATCTATAAGCAAATTTCAAATGAAATTTGGAAGGACTCTTGTTTTACATGGGTGCATCTATATTGCAAAATTAATGTAGTTTGACACCACTTTAGTTGACATGGCTCAATGCTATGGAATCATGGGATTTGAAGTTTTATCCTTCTCTTCCTAATAGTGCTCATCAAATTATAACTGTCATGATTCATAGCATTGATCCATTACTGTTAAAGGGGTGTCAATCTGTAGATGCATCCTGTGACAGAACATAGACCCAACATATAGATTTCTTGACCACCCCACAACACATGTTGCTTATTATCCCATGCACATGCTTCTAATATTTGGTTTATATAAGGAAAGTAGATGTTGATATGAGAATAGACCATATCATACCAATTTAGAAGTTCCTTTGAGACTTGCACGCAGATGATGATGTGTGTTCCTTTATTCAAATTCATATTTAGCTGACAATTTCTAAGTGATTTGCAAAATTTGAAACTAGGATTGTTTAATGTTTAAACTCAGTTCTTAAAAGGAAGTATCATCACCCATGCTGAATTCTGCAAAGATAACTTGCTACCATTGAAAGCAAAATGTTCTGTTCCTAGTTGAGGTTATCCCCATTCCATTTCACAGGTTAAAGTGAAATGGAAATTATCCATGAGATTTATTACCTTGTCACATGGCCGCCAGAGGTGTTCTGCTTCATCGAGGGGGAGTGGGGAACCTGGTGCCCCATGCCCTGAATTGCCCAGCTCCAGCTGAGGGCAATCAGATGGGGGAAGTGTGGAGCATGCGAAGAGTGCACAGCTTCCCCCTATGGATTTCAGTGGCAACACGGGAATCCTCCCATGTTGCCTTGGTGGTGGCAATTCTGCAGGCCATTACCTTTAAAGCCCTAAAGAAGTTCTGATCCAGACTATTTGCATGACTGCTTCTTCCTCTATGAACCAGTTCGGGCCTTAAGATCCTCCGGGAGGCCCTTCTTTGCGGTCCCACCACCTTCACAAGTGCGGTTGGTGGGAATGCAGGAAATAGCCTTCTCGGGGGTGCACCCTGGCTCTGGAAAGCCCTCCTGAAAGAAATTAGACAGACTCCTTCCCTAGCTTCCTTTGGGAAAGAGTTAAAATCTGGACATGGAAGCAGACGTTTAAAAATGGTTGATTACAATTTTACAGTGGTTGTGGTTTTTTTATCTGCATCAGTGCCAACTGATTTGGACTGGTTTGCCTCTCTAATGGACAGCATGTTTTAATCCAGCAAAATTATGAATTTGTGTCATTTCCCTGGTGTTTGTTATGTCAGTCTTCTTTTTTATATATTGTTGTTAAATGTTATGTTATTTTATTTGTCTTTTATATTGTGGGGTTTTTTTTGTTTAGGTTTTTTATATTACTGTTTATGTATCATATTGTAATTTTTTTTAATTTGTGCTCTGCACCGTGTTTTTACTTCTTTACCCCAAGTCCTGTTTGGAGATGGGACAGGATATAAATAAAGATGATGATGATGATTATTATTATTATGCACTGGCCCACTATCCTTCACCCATGGAGCCGCACTAGTATTTTCTGATCGGAGCTGGCTGACCTGTGCTAAACTGGTGCATGCTGCTGATTTTAGCCACATGTGAAGAGGTCCTTAAGCAGCCTAAGGTCTGTGATCAAATACATACTTAAGAAACCTCAAAATACGTCAATAATATAACCCAGAAAATGTATACAGATAAAGAGCAAAATGAGATCTTACCATTCCACATGCCCCTCTTTGCCAAAAAGTTCCATGATCTCCTCTCTGCATCTCTGCTGATGTTCAGGATTCTGGGCCATACAATAGAAGAGCCAAGAGATGCCACTAGCTGTGGTATCATGACCTTCAAACATAAATGTGTCCACCTCAGCACGTAAGTCTTCATCTGACAATGAGTTCCCATTTTCGTCCTAACCAAACAAGGACCACAGGGTTTATGTTATTGATAAGATCTGTTGTAACTCTATTAAAGAAAGCCTGCATGCTTTGCAGCTTCCCAAACTGAATATAACCTAATGTCTTTCATTTATAAGATCACCATAAGTTAAAGACAATTTGAGGTCATTTAGCAACCCAATTTACATCTACACAAGCAGCAAGGACATGATGGGGAAAGGCCAAACTGCTGTTTTTTAAAATGACTCTACTTTTTACAGAACAAATGGCAGCTGTTTTGAAATGTTTTGCCTATCTCATAACATTCGTATTGAAAACACCTGGCTGGAATAATATAAGTTTTATTAATTGTTAGATAATGAAATCTGTATTAATTGCCATTTTGAACTGTTACATCTGTTTGAATTCTGTTAGTTAAGAAGTCAGGAGAAGGGTGGAGGAAAGGTTAAGAGTGCATGGACAACTTTACAAACTAAGGGACATTCAGAACTCATTCAAGTCAAGGCTGAATTCAGCATGAAAAGTAATTTTAAAGTGGATTCATTTTCTAATGTGATGAGGTCCAAAGATAATGCAAACTGAATGAACAATAGGCTTCAGTCTGAGAATTGGGTTGAGAAGAGGCAGAGCTGGGAGGAGCAGGAGGTAGAGTTGAAGGAGGAGTATGGGTGGAGTGAAGAAATGTTAGCGTGCAATGTGTGTCTGTTTGAACATGTATGTAAAGCCATCCATTTTGTTAATAGGTGTGGTGGTATTATGACACTACAGAACCCCCCCCCCTTTTTGCGGGTTTTTGCTTCTGCAGAAATAAAGCTCCTATGTTTATAATAAATAAATAAATAAATAGATAAATAAATAAATAAATAATAAACTTTATTTACATCCCACCACCATCTCCTGAAAGGGGCTCAGGGTGGCTTACAAGGCACTCCAAGTGAAGCACAACAAAAATGGTACATGAGTATAAAACAATATCACACAAAATGATAAAAACATCTACTATCAACACATATAAAAATAAAATAACACAATTTTTAAAGCACAGACCATCTATAGTTAATACTAGCCACCATCAATTCACAACTAAATTTCATCAATTCACAACTAATCTCCTCATTCCTGATCTTAACTGGGAAACAAGATCTGAAATAAATGTATAGAAAGGCCTGTCATTTCATCATTGTTAGTCCAACCAGAGCAACTCACTGAATCAATGGGATTTACATAAAAGTCAATTCACTGCTTGATCATTTTTTCTGCTGTAGCTGGGACTACCAATAAGGGTTTAGTCTACAACATATAATTACTCATACTGTTACAGGCAGTCCTCAAGTTACAAACATGAATTTAGGACTCATAGTTAAGAACAGGGCGAGACAACGGGAAATGAGAGAAATCTTTCCCCCAGGAAGGGAAACACTGGTGCAAGAATTTCATGGGAAGTTTTATCACCAATCCTTATTTCCACAAGAAGCAATCCCCCCCACCCCAAATCCAATTCACAAAGGGACAAAAAGTAAGGTGACATGTGCTCAACAGTGGCACAGACAGCAAAATAAACATCACAGCAGTCGCAACTTCTCCTTATGCTATACAAGACACACACACACACACACACACATCTGGAGTCACATTTAAAATGTACCTGTTCTGTCTTACATACAAATTCAACTTAAGAACAAATCTATAGAAACTATGTTGTCTGTCGTACTTACTTAAAAGTGTTGAGCAATTTTTTTTTAAGTGTTAGGAAATTTTTAAAAAGCGTTAGGAAACCTTGCTATGTTGAAGCTGTCTGCATTGCTGATTAATGTCTTGGCCTCATTCAAGAGGCTAGCATTGACCCTTAAAATCCCAAAAAGCATTTTACTTGTTCTGGAAATATTCTTTACCTTTGCACAAATAAGAATATCCAGGAAGTCTAAACGCCTCTTCTTCAAGATCTTCTCGAGTTCTTTCTCATTCTTAAGGGACTCCTTTCTCTCCCTTATAACATTGTCTGTAATAGATGTAAGAAGAGAACAAGAACATAAGAGTTAAACAACATTTATTAATAATTAATCTGCCGTGGAATTAAATGTATCCTTCCAAGCAAGAAGGCAGGCTGGAAGAATCAGAAACTGCCACCCACTTCCTCAGTCAGCATGTAAGTTTTATAGCATTCTATAATGCATATGTGATTGGCTATACAAGTGATGTGGCATCTATCTAGGCTTCTATTTCCTTGGAGACACCTGATTTATAAGAAATCACATGTTAGCCATGATACCCGCAAGCGTACTTATATTCTTTCTAGCACTGCCCTTTAGCAAACAGTTTGCCACTCCCACACTATTGAGCAAGGCAATGCAAGAAGAAAAAATATTTTTATGCATCTCCATTAAATCTATTAATTTTATTCAAAGAAAAAAACTTGCCATCACATGAACAAGCAAAGACATATGCAAGGAAACAAAATACACCAAACAAAAGGACAATATCATCCCCTCATCCCCACAAATACATATTTTTCTTAATATATAAAACACTAACTTACAATGACTAACAAAACTACTAAACTTCCTAGGAGAAGAAGAAGGAAACATAACATCTGCAGGAGGGTAACACACAAAACAGTTTAAGTACATACACCAAAGAAGGAACAGAATGAAAGGAAAATAGTGCAGTCCTCCCCTTGCCCATTTGAAACTTCAACTTTTGCAAAAGTTATTAATACAGCACCACCTTTTAAAGAATTCCTAGACCTGCCATTTCAACTCTATATTCAAGTTTGTCAGATATTTCCCATGGAGCTGTGTTGGAGAACTTTGAAATTCTTAGAGATAATTCTTTAATTTTTCCAGCACAGTTCTTGGAAATTGTGATAAATCACCTTCCTTATCTCAGCTGCTTCGACTTTCCAAATTCTACTTGAAAGCACAAAGTGGTAAAGACACTGGATTTCTTCCATTCAGCTTTCACTTGAAAGTGTCACTTATCTTTATTTTACACAATATATACAAGACAATCATCAATCACGTCCACTCACATCACAGCACAGTGCAAGAAGCATATTCCTTTCTCATCAGAGCATCTTCATCTGGGCAGCACAGGAACCTCCAAAAGTTACACTCTACCAACACTCTGTACTCTGGTTTCTCTTCAGATCGTATAAATCTTTCACCTTTTACCAACACTACACACCTCTGTGTTTTAACCCATGCATTTCTGAAACCATACAGTTTAAACTATAAGCAATTTTCATACTAGAAAACATTACATAACAGTTCAATGGCCAAGCTGATCATAGAATTGTACTGGAGAACCAGTGATTCCTAGAGAAATATTTTCTCAGATAAAAAAGAGTGTGTTTTATTTGTAGGTTTCCCAATTTTGTGGGAATTTTTTTAACCCCAGCAAATGTGGTGGGCTGGTAGAGTTGTGGGCAAACCACAGTGAATTAAACCAAAATTCTTGCCTTTATCCTTCCTCTGATATTTTTATGCCACTTGATACTTCACAATTCAGCAATGTTCATGTAAGTTCCAGTGGTGGAGGGCAAAGGACCATCCTTATAAATCTTACCTGTGTGATGATGGGCTACTTTGCAAGCATTGTAAAATTGGCGCCCCTGGGAGCTAAACCAGTAGGTGAAGTCATTGTGGAGCAATGGCGACTTCAACCTCTGATCAAACAGGTTGGTGAGGTCATAGACGGCCTTAATGTAGACATTATCCCTGCAGACAACAACAAAGTAGAAAACAGTAAGACACAAGAAGCAAGCACAATCGTAACCAGGAAGACAAACCAAAAGTAAGCTCTATTTAAAAAACCTCAGAATACAAATGAATAGAATCAGATTTAAAGTACTCCATCCAGAGGCGGCCCTAGGTAATTTTCAATGGTAAGCAAACAGTATTTTGCCCCCACCCCCGCCCCCAACCAATCACTGATATATATTTTCTGTTCGTCGTGGGAGTTCTGTGTGCTACATTTGGTTCAATTCCATCATTGGTGGAGTTCAGAATGCTCTTTGATTGTAGGTAAACTATACTTCCCAGTAACTGCAACTCGCATATGTCAAGGTCTATTTTCCCCCAAGAGCGCCCCTGGGCAAAATCAACTATACTGCAAATGCTTACTTTGTGTAATGGGTTGAGCCGCCCCTGGCTCCATCATAACAGCAAAACTGTGTTATATAGCAAGCAAGGAAGCAAGCACATTTTATCAATTTTATCTTCAATTCTTCAGACCCAACAGGGAGAACTTCTGGCCCACAATCTGAATTTGGCCTATAAGGTTGCCCATCTAGCTCACTCCAGCAGACAAGTAGTGATAAGAGCTTTTCCAGAGTGAACCCTGAAAAAATCCCGTCTCAAAAAAATGACGTTGAATTAATTGCTGATTAATTGTCCTCGGTAAATCATACCCTCTAACATTTTACAGATGAAAACTGAGACACATGGTCAAGCAACATCTGAGTGTGATCAAGACAGCAAAAAGTATTGGAAGAAGAACACATGAGGTATGAAAGGCCACAATCATTTGCTTGCATCCAATTCTCCTCAGAAGGGCAAGACAATCTGTGTTCCAAAAATCAAATTATTTTACAAGTTTCATGTAGAATGGCAAAAACAGGGGATGAGCATTATGTGTCTGCTAGGCTACATCGTGGCTCTCAAGAATTGTTAGCCTTGGAAGGTATTGCAGGGGAGCTTGCCAGATACTGGGAGAGTTTGTTTCTCCAACAAGACAGGTATATATTCAGTCACTTTGAGTTTTCTAAAGTAATAAGATTAGAAACCAGTGGTAGAAAATTGGAGGAGGGTGCAAAATTACCTCCAAGTCTTCTGAATTTATGTACAAAGTAAGAGACCTTATTTTCAAGAGATTTCAACTGATACAGTATTGCTGAGGAGAACCAGAGTGTTATCTTGACCTGAATGCTGGACTAGGGCCCCATCTACACTGCCATAAAAAGTCCAGATTATCTCCTTCAAACTGGATTATATTGCAGTGTAGACTCATATGATCCAGTCCAAAGCAGATGATCTGGGATCAGATACTGGATTATATGGCAGTGTAGATCCAGTCTAAGACACAGTGAGACCAGGATTTAAAACCTTGTTCAGCCATTTGAAACTGGGCAAATCACATTCTTTCAGCCTTAGAAGATGTAAAGCTAACCCCTCTCAGAAGAATTTTAGCCCAGAAAACCCTGTTATAGGTTTAGGGTTACCATAAGTAAAAAAATAACTTGCAGGCACACAACAACAGTATTACTGAAATAAAGAGATGTGTTCCCTGCTGTTGGGGTCCATATCATCCCTTCCATGATGCTTCCCCGCTGACTCCCGCTTCCTCTTTGGCTCCTCTGGACTCCTATGCCACAATGTTACCAGCACAGAGCTCCATGGTGTCCCACTGGAAATAGATCAGCATCTTGTGGTGGGCTCTATGCTGGCAGAGGAAAGCAGTAGGAAGCATACACTTCTCTCCCTGCATGTGATGAGGTCATCTGTGATAGATTTCCCTTAGAGTCAGGGCAGCTCGTCCATTATGCGAAGTAAGCGGTCGCAGAACACTTTTTTTTTGCTGGGAGCGCAGAGGCACCTCTGTAAATGCCCCTCGACCACCACTTGAGGAGCGCCCCCTCAGCTCACAACAGCCCTAGCAGTCCGGGGGGAGCCTCGGCTTTCTTGCCTCACTGCCGGGCGATCCTCTTCCCAAAGGGGCCGGGCCCTTGAGCCTTGCCTAGCCCCTCTCGTTCCTGCTCCACCCGGCCATCGGGTGCGTGAGCAGAGCCGGCGCTCAATTGTTCTCCGCGTTTGATCCCTTCCCCATGACCGGCTCCCTTTCCTGATCCCCCGGCGCTCCACCCACCTCCTCTCCTCTCCGCAATCCGCGGGTAGGCCAAGGGGCGGAGCCGCCACGCCTGGCCTGCTTTGCATCCGGAGGCATGTCTGAAGACCCCAGCGTGCACACCAAAAGTCGCCTCTTCTCCTGACATTCTCTTCAGCCATTGGGACCAAGAGAGAGAGAGAGCCCCTCCGTCTGGAGGTATCTCCCACCCCCGCTCCCTCCTTTGTTTTTGCGCCTACCTTCAGGAAAGGTGGGCATCTCCACCTCTCTCTCTCTTGGTCCCAATGGCTGAGGAGAAAGTCAGGAGAAGAGGTGACTTTTGGTGCACACGCGGGGGTCTTCGCCTCTGGACCCAAAGCAGGCCAGGCAAGGGAGCAAGTGCGGCAAGTGTAGTTACTGGGATGTATAGTTCACCTACAATCAAAGAGCATTCTGAACTCCACCAATGATGGAATTGAACCAAATATGGCACACAGAACTCCCACGACGAACAGAAAATATATATCAATGATTGGTTGGGGGGGGGGGCGCCAAAATACTGTTTGCTTACCGTTGAAAATTACCTAGGGCCGCCTCTGCTTAGAGTTACCATAAATCCAATAAAACTTGAAGGCACACAACAACAGTATTACTGATATAAAGACATGTTCAGTGAAAAACGCCTTCCACACTACATAGGTTACAAAGACTAGTGCAGGCAAACAGGCTATGTGTATATAGCATAGCCTCCTCCAACAGACTGGTTCAAGATTGGGAAAGGCGTACGGCAAGGCTGCATCCTCTCACCCAACCTTTTTAACTTGTATGCAGAACACATCATGCGATGTGCAGGGCTGGATGAATGCAAAGCTGGGGTGAAAATTGCTGGAAGAAACATTAACAACCTCAGATATGCAGATGACACCACTCTGATGGCCGAAAGCGAGGAGGAGCTGAGGAGCCTTCTAATCAAGGTGAAAGAAGAAAGCGCAAAAGCCGGGTTGCAGCTAAACGTCAAAAAAACCAAGATTATGGCAACAAGAATGATTGACAACTGGAAAATAGAGGGAGAAACCGTGGAGGCAGTGACAGACTTTGTATTTCTAGGTGCAAAGATTACTGAAGATGCAGACTGTGGCCAGGAAATCAGAAGACGCTTACTTCTTGGGAGGAGAGCAATGTCCAGTCTCGATAAAATAGTAAAGAGTAGAGACATCACACTGGCAACAAGATCCATTGCCTAGTCAAAGCCATGGTATTCCCTGTAGTAACCTACGGATGTGAGAGCTGGACCTTAGGGAAGGCTGAGCGAAGGAAGATAGATGCTTTTGAGCTGTGGTGTTGGAGGAAAGTTCTGAGAGTGCCTTGGACTGCGAGAAGATCCAACCAGTCCATCCTCCAGGAAATAAAGCCCGAGTGCTCATTGGAGGGAAAGGATACTAGAGACAAAGTTGAAGTACTTTGGCCACATCATGAGGAGACAGGAAAGCCTAGAGAAGACAATTATGCTGGGGAAAGTGGAAGGCAAAAGGAAGAGGGGCCGACCAAGGGCAAGATGGATGGATGGCATCCTTGAAGTGACTGGACTGACCTTGAAGGGAGCTGGGGGTGGTGACGGCCGACAGGGAGCTCTGGCGTGGGATGGTCCATGAGGTCACGAAGAGTCGGAGACGACTGAACGAATGAACAACAACCTCCAACTTCCTGTTCTGATCTAACAGGAAAGATCTTTATTAATCCTCTACCATCCCACTTTTGCAGATGTTTTTAAAATTTCCTAGTTTCTCTTTCTTCCTCCCACTTTCCCCCTTTGTCCTCAGCTTACTTCCAATGCTGAAAACTGAATGAAAAGTGCAAAGTGCAAGATGTAAAGGAGTCTTGTACAGTAGGCTCAGTCAACTATTGCAGCCTTTTCTAATATCTATGTTCTTCCTCATTAATTACTCTTGCTATGTTGACTGCCCTCTGATGTTGCTTGGCCAAACATGTGCCAGTTTTAACCTGTGAAATATTGGAAGGTGTAATGTGGTCATGGTTCTCACTTTGTTTAAAGAAGACATTGTATACTGACCTTTCTGTTTGACAGTTATTCTTACTGCTGAAGGCACATTTCATGATGGTATCAAGAGTCATCAGACTGACATGTTTGAACATATCCACTGATACTGTAATATTTTTTGATACCTGCTTCTCCAGGATATCCTAATGTTTTAAGAAAAAGAATGGAATAATAAAAAGGAACTCTCCAAAATGATTGACTTATTATTGGACATTGATTCATATACTAGGGCAATGCTATTCAAAGTGGCTGTTCATAGAGTGCTGCTGGTCCCAGAGTCATCTGTGTCTGGTGCCTGCAAAACTTGCAGCTAATAAAGGAACAGTTCTAATCAGTGGGCAAAAATAAGAGACCAACCCCTGTACATCAGCAAAAAAATATTGCTGGTTATCTGTGTTAGATTAAAGAAGTTTGAATGTGAAGTACTGTATGAACATTTGAAAGTTATAAAACCTTTTTGACCAGATCTCAGAGATACTGGTAAGATTGAAGGAACACTGGAAAATACAGCCAATGTTTCCAGTGCACCTCCTGATTGAGACAGATAATCTGTTTCTGATCTGAAAGTGTAATGAGTAGAAGTGCAGAGTTGAAGATGATGATAGAATATGCCACACAACAGCTCTCTCAAGATACTAATGCATGAGAACATTTGCAAGGGAGAATCATTGGGCAATAAGTGTTGCTTAACATTTTGTTCACTCAGTTTTTGTTGTAATTCTGCTTTACGCCCTCTTGCCACAGCTCTGTTGCACTAAATAAGCTTAGCTGGGATCACTAAAGCCTGTGTGGAGAAGCCGTGGAGATCAGGTAGCGCCATTAAGGATTAGCTACTCAGCCCACTGCTGTTTCCTTGACAAAACTAGCCTACCCAGCCATATGGCCACTAGCATGTATTCCACTCATGAGATGAACTGAATACTAGATGGAGCCCATGGTCTGCAAATCTACATAGTACAACCACATCAGTCCATGCATTAATATTCAAGCTTTACCTAACAAAAGCTTTACCCCAGTGGTGCAGTGGATTAAGGTTTGAATCCAGGGAGAGTGCATATGAGCTCCCTCTATCAGCTCCAGCTTCTCATGTGGGGACATGAGAACCCTCCCATAAGGATAGTAAAAACATCAAAAACGTCTGGGTGTCCCCTGGGCAACGTCTTTGCAGATGGCCAATTCTCTCACACCAGAAGCGACTTGCAGTTTCTCAAGTCGCTCCTGATATGACAAAAAAAAAAAAACCCTAACAAGATGAAACACATAAACTAAAGTTACCATCTAATGAAAACTATAATTTAATTTTGATGCATAAACTGATGTTTACGTGGGCCTTTTAAAGTCAATTGATCTCCTTCCATGCCAAATATGGTGGTATAAATTATTTAGCCTCAATGGAGATGACTGCCCAGTTAATGTCACATATCAAGATGGGCCTCAGACTCCAAACAAACATCCTGAAGCTAAGTAGCAAAGGACACTTGCATTGCGACAAAAGAGATCTGGGGGTGAAAGGGGTTATTAATAGACATCAACAAAGCTTTCTTTGGGATACTGCTAAACCCAAGCACAACATTAAAGTGTTGCCAGTTTCCCATGAAGGAAGTGAATGAAACTAAAGTTGTAACTGTGGCAATAAGATTCTTCTTACCAGCATCTGCTTGACTGATTCAACCATAACATTGGTGTAAGGCTTGAGAACATCATAATGGAAGCCTGGAGTCAGCAGCTTCCGATGTTGCTGCCATTTAGGACCATTCAGAATCAACAAGCCCTTTCCTACCAGGGAAAAGGAGAAGGTCAAAAGTATGTAACAAAAGTGTTTATTTGTTTTTTATATACCACATTTTTTGTATAGTACATTTTTTCAAGTGACTTCTGCGTGATTCTATGGTATGCTTCTGCCAGAGGTGACCATGCAATCATGTTGGGGGACCTAGCAAAATAGTAGAGGGTAACCTTTCGAGGAATTTTCTACGCCCTCCAGAGTGACTATGGTAACCTACAGTAGAAGTCACTTATTTCACTAGAGTTCATTATCAGGTTGTTGTGAGTTTTTTTGGGCTGATAAGAATTCACTATTATTCACGGTTTTCTGTTTCCATTCTAAATTCAGGAATGTATCTCACATGGATATTGGTGGTCATACTACAAATATTTTATGGTATCTTTAAAGGTCCAAACTTTTCTAAACAGTATACATATTGAAAACGAATATGCAGCTTGTGCAAATTGGATAAATATGTTGGGACTTCACAGTTTTCATTGTATAGTCATCACTTATATTTTTGAGTTCCAAATAGCAGTTTTCATATATATATGTGTCTACTTCCTTATACAATGATTTCTGTTAATTACCACAATTTCTTATTCTTTAGCTGAATGCTGCATTTCTTCCTGTCTTAGGACATTTCAGCAGGCTTTGCATTCAAAATCTGTGTATGCACTTGTTGTCTGAGGGCAGTGCCTTATGCTGTGGGATGTGGATGTTCATTTTCTTTTGCCTTTTCATTATTCCCTTCTCCAATGCCTCTCCAGGGAAACTGTCACCAACCCATGGTAATAAGCATTGCATGCTTGTATGTTTACTTTTGTGTATTTCTTTTGTTTGCATTTCTCCCAGTATGAAAGCACAAACCAACCCTTAGACCTTTAGCACATTTATCTACTGTATATTGCTGTAGGTTTTTTTAAAAGGTGAGATTACATATCTGTGCTTCTTGTGCGAAATGAAGCATTGAGTAATGCTGATATTTCAATATTTGTTCTGTGTATATTTTAATATTTTTCTGTGTATTTTAATATATATGTTTTGTAGAAATACATTTTAATATGTGAATTTTATATAATGTTTATGATGATCATATGTTTTAGATATTTTGGAACCTTCCTTGAGCCATGAGGATAGGCCGACTAGAAATAATAATAATAATAATAATAATAATAATAATAATAATAATTACTATTATGAGATCTCAAAACCTGGAGGAATGTGGCTTCAGAGACACAGATACAGATACACTCCATACAACTATCTTAGCTACAGCTTGGACTTTTTCACAATACACATTTATAGCATTATGAATATATAAGGTTTGAATCCAGGGAGAGTGCGGATGAGCTCCTTCTGTCAGTTCCAGCTCCCCATGCGAGGACATGAGACAAGCCTCCCACAAGGATGGTAAAACATCAAAACATCTGGGCATCCCCTGGGCAACATCCTTGCAGATGGCCAATTCTCTCACACCAGAAGCGACTTGCAGTTTCTCAAGTCGCTCCTGACACACGCACAAAAAGGAATCTGCTTTAACTTTCATGGTTCCATTTCTATAGAGCTCTAGAATTTACAGTTTTTGGAGTGATTCTTAAAATTTTCTACCAGAAAGCTCTAGTACTCCATCAAATTACAAGTCCCAGTATTCCATAGGATAAAGCAGTGGACGCTTTCACATGACACAGTTTTAGTGCCATGATTTTATCTGCCCTGCCCCTGCTTCATCTTATGAAATCCTAAGCTCGGTAGTTGGGCTTACTGACATTTTTTTAAAATCGTGTCAGAAGCGACGTGAGAATATGCTGCAAGTTGCTTCTGGTGTGAGAAAATTAGCCGTCTGCAAGGACGTTGCCCAGGGGATGCCTGGATGTGTTACCATTATGGGAGACTTTTCTCATGTCCCTGCATGGGAAGCTAAGGCTGACAGATGGGAGCTCACCCCATCTCGCCTACCTTCAGGTCAACAGTTAAGCCGGCACTGAGGTTAAACTTATTACACCACCATGGTTTACTGACTGAGAATTCTAAATCTTTGTTTCAAATTTAGTAATTTCAAATTTAATAATAATAATAATAATCATAATAATTCCACCCTATCTCCCTGGAGGGGATTCCAAACATAAAAGGCAAACATTCAATGCCTGAATGCAACAACAATACATCCATATTTAGCAACCCAACATATAAACACAAACATTATGACTTAACAACTAAAATTAAATAAAAAACACAGCCTGTTATATAAGACATAAGGCAAAACATCAAACATTGAATAGAAGCATCAGTTTAATATAGTATATTTAAGTACTGAGTTCCTAGGTAACCTACACAATAATCAACACAGTTTGACACCACTTTAACTGCCATGGCTCAATGCTTGGAATCATGGATGTGTAGTATTATTAGCTTTAGCTGTCACTACAAATCCCATGATTTCATAACATTGAATCATTACACTATGTAACAAAAATTGAAACATTTTCTGTTCCTAGATTGAAAATGTTATTTCCTGTTTAGTTCTGCAGTACTTAGTTTGAAAATAGTTGTTTTGCACCAGAAATTTTGTTTTTGTGGCTGCCACAAACTGTATTGAATTGGTTGAGACTCTATGAGATAATTCATTGTAAAACTAGCAAAATCTCTTGCAGGGTGTCCTGCAAAAACAAAGAGTTTTTTTTTTTTGCAGTTTAATAAACAGATTTCATGTTTCTATGATGGAAACAATTATAAAATGGCATTTATAACCCAGGAAAAATATCTTGTTACATAGTGTTATGGTTAAAATGGTGTCAAACTGCATTAGATGCATTCTAAGTCAAACAAATGCATTTGTGGTGTAAACTCTCCAGCAAACTCTATTCTAGTAACCACACACCTTCACAGAATACATTGATATATATATAATTAGAAAAGAATTATACATACCAATCCATGGAATTAAGAAGCCATATACTAGAAGAACCTTGGGATCTAAATAATGATATAAACACAAAAAAACAAGATTTTATTATAAATCATAATCTTTTGTGAGCAGAAATACAAATATTTCATTTTCTAAATTGTATTTTGATGCACAACTATGGAATTCCCCTGAGGCATATCTCCCCCATCTCTGTCGCTGGACAGATACAGAACATAATCACATTTCTTTGCCAATTTGAATGTGAGCCAATGTGTTGAAAGAGTAGACCATGAACAACGTAGGATAGCATCGATCAATGTGACTAATTTAGCCACTCCCTCTGTGTTTATGCGTGGAGTTTATTTTATTTCATATCAATAGCATTGCATACATAAGTATAAAACTGATAAAAATCGAAGGAGCACAAGCGGCTAAATAAGTTTTGACCAAAACTGGGCAACAGCGACCGCATTTCCGTAGCTTTAAACAATTATTCTTCTGTACATGAGGCTGGGCATTGTGGACAAGCATACAGGTGCAGAGCTGTTTGTCCTGTTCCACAGTTGCACAAGGTGGAGGATTCTTTTAGGAAGTTCCATTTTGCCAGGTTGTCTTTTGATCTGCCCACTCCACTTCTGAGTCTGTTCAGGGACTTCCAAGTTGACCATTCTTGGTTTCCCCCTGGAGGCAGACCATCGTGGGGGGCCATCCAGTTGGAATTTCCTCGTTTAGCTAATCAGAGGGATGCTCTTTCTGTTGCTGGCAAAACATTAAGGGGAATGGTGGTTCTCATGAAGATTTTCCTTGATTTGAGTCTACTGGGAGGAAGCTGATAACCATGCAGTGGATGGCTTTCACAGTGTTCAACCTTATTTCTCTCACAGTTACCACCAACTTCCCATCACACATCGGAGGGGGGAGGGCAATGTTAGTTAGCTAATATCAACAGGTGTAGGTTTGAGACATCCTGTGATTATTCTGTATGTTTTCTTCAGTGCTATGTGTGGTGTGTGTGTGGGGGGGGGGGGGGGGGGAGTAACACACGACACATCAGTGATTCCCAAACACTATAATATTCAAAATGCTTTGAACTTCATCTTCCTTAAACCTCAGCTGCCTTGGCCAATTATCAGGGATCCTGGGAGCGGAAGTCCAAAAACACATGGAAGACCCAGAGTTTGAGAACCACAGGAGTAGATGAACAAACAAACAATGGATATGTTTGGAATCAATGTAGCATTAGGTTTTAAAATGAATTGTAATAATACCCAGGAAAATCCAGCCAAAACAGATTGGATAGTCCCATGATTCTGAGCATATGTTCATGCAGTTAGTCACATTTTTCTGTTGGCTAGAGGCAAGAGAGAGACTGGGTACAAAACATATGTATGCTACAAATAGAACGTTGCTTGTCTCTGCTTTTCCAGACTTACTTGTCCTTAAATCTTAAATGAAACTAAACTCAAACGGATTTCAAAATATCAGGAAAACAAATAGCCTCATAAACTACTTCTGTGGAATGTCATCATTTGATCAAAGAAAGGAGTAAGAGAATAAATTTCTTACCATTTTTACTAAACACCGCTTTCGCATATTCAGGATGGTTAATGTTCAAGGCAAATAAAAATTGTCCAAACCATAGCTGATGACATTGTGGGTATTTTTCTGTCCAGGCCGCTGTAGTCAGGAACTCTTCCTCTGCTGACATCTACATTATTTGTTTGAATATCAGTAATTAGTTTACAATACATTGTGGGCATTATGTTTGTATAGCTGATCAGCAATGCTAATATTTTAGATAATGTGGCATAAAGCTCAGATTAATGCAGGTGAAGCAGATACAAAGATGAAATGCATACTTAAACAGGGAAACTCATTGGGTGGCATTCTGTCAACAGCAGAGGAAAGCAATTTTTCCCAACAGTAAAAGGATCACCACTATCACCATGTGCATCCCCTTTTATGTACAAAACAACGCACATCAAAACACACACACACACAGACAACGTTGTTCCAGAAGTCACATTACCTTGTGGACATGACCGTACAGCCAGTGTGTGGGAGGCAATGGAAAACATCGGAGAGCACTGATGTCTTGCTGTCTGCGCCAAAACATTTTGATGACTTTTAGGATGACGTAGGTGAGGCTCAGAAGAAGTACTAGATGGAAAATCTGACAGGAATCCCGAGGCAGCCAAGAATTATTTACAGACTCCATTAGTGTGTTCATTCTCTCTGCTGGTTTCACTCTGTTTTTCTCTCCAGACCCGACATCTAATTCAGCATAGTCTGAAATGATTCCTTGTCATCAATGATTCCCCTAGAAATACATGCCACAAGACGTACGCAGTAGGAAATTCACTATAAAACTATCATGTTACCAAAGCCTGTTACTGCCAAGGAAGGCTGGACCTAGGCTCAGCCAATAAAACCCACTCTCTTAAGCTATGTTTTTTTTTCAATGTGTGTAGTTATTCTTTTGGCTCTTGAACAATATCAAGTTACAAAGCACTGTCAGCAGTCAATTGTTGACACAGCCTCTGTTTTCTTGACACATGTTAGCAGATTAAGGACACACAGCATTTGTAGAAATTACCTTTAGGGACTAAAAGGTGCCCCAAAAGGATGCTTTTCAAGCTCTCGAACAATTTTAGTACCACTTGAAATGTTGGAGGCTATATAGCTTGTGTAGGATTTTTGGCCCAAAAAAACAAAAACCTGCAGAAAAGTCTACACTTAATGCAGGTTTTCCCTAATCTATCGTTTTTGTTTCTCTCATGTCAACTTTTTTTCCCCATAGTTCAGTTATTTTACTGTTTTACTCGTTTCCAAATCTAAGGAACTAAATGCATGTTCATTTTTGTATTATTTTCTGCCAATACACAAACTATATAGGCATTTATTTTTTATTTATTTACAATATTTATATGCCACTTTTCTCACCCCTGGGAGCACTCAAAGTGGTTTACAAAAAATAATGGCAAAATGCAATGCCTGACATACATAAGCCAAGTCATAAATCATACAGCATATGACTAAGCATAAAATACAATAGGACAAATTCACCATACGATAATAGGACATTTAAACATGAAGTATAAAAATTAAAAACACCTAATAAAAACATTAAAATCACATGATCCCATCTCCTAGACTGGGCCATTCCAAATGTTGATTGCATATATTCCATATTTGCTTCTTGTACTGCATTACTTTACTAGTACTAGTCAAAAGCTTGGTTCCATAACCATATCTTATGGTCTAAAGACCAGGAGGCAGGGCACTGATCTAATCTCACTGGAGAGAGAGTTCCAGAGTTTGGGAGCCACCACTGAGAAAGCCCTGTCTCTTATCCCTCCCAACTGCACTTGCGAAGCAGATGGGACCGAGAGCAAGGCCTCCCCAGACGATCATAACCTCCATAATGTTAGCATAGCATATGCTATTTTGTCTACATATACCGCTGATACTTGGCCACTATGTTCACAGATTTTGCATTCATGGATTCAATCATCCATAATTTGAACCTCCCCTCCCAACAATAAAATAAAAAATAGATTATGGAGGCCAACTATGTGTGTATGTGCATATTTATGAACAAAGAGGGTCAAATTTCCATGAGATCTGATGAAGCGTCAAAATATGTCTGTCTTGGTCTTTGCTCCATAGTGGCTTGTTTACACAGTCTTTCTCCAGTGGAATGATTCATACTCAATGAACCTTCATATCTATTCTGCCTTCAGTGTTACAAAACTGTGTGGGCTAGATGAAGCATAATATCAGATCCACATCTATTCATTCAATGTAATTTATTCAAGGGGGAACAAGAGCAAAACTGTATGCAGAAATATTGGCAGTAATTATGTATGTTCTTAATATTGGTCATAAATGAAACAGTTGATGATAACACAGACGCCTGCCAATAACCTGAGATGTGATAAAACAACCTGCTAATCATATGAATATCTGACCGAAAGTTCTATTACTTTGACTGACCTTAGAACTTGAAAAGCAATAAATCCTGTTTGAACCGGCTGTTAGTCTTTGCACTACTATGTTGGAATCACACAATTTTGTTGTATTTTCAAAATGTATTAGTCCTCCCCCCTGCCTAACTCTTTAATAAAACCACACTACTGACTGATTTATATGACTTATATCCCATCTTTTCGCTTAGGAGTGGTGCTTAAGAAAGGTTGAAGTGGTATGAATAGAACAAGAATAAAATGGTATACATAAACATACAAAATGATAATGCTATATAATCAAACTTATTTAAAAAACTGTTGAATTGGAAAACAATGTAAAATCACATTTAAATCACACTTTATGTAGTGATCTAAGGAATCATTATTCCAATTCAAAGTGCTATTCACAGACTATAATCTTAGAATCATAGAATCATAGAGGTGAAAGAGACCACATGGGCCATCTAGTCCAACCCCCTGCCATGCAGGGAAAGTACTTATAAGAAGGGATTTCTTTCTTAACTTAATTTGAAATTAGTATCACCTAAATTATCACTACAACTCATAATAGTCAAATCATCACTTCATGGATGCAGACATTTTTTATTTAGAAGAGCATGTACATTCTGCATGTATATATGTGCTAAGAATATCGAGATATCCACTACTATTATTTCTCACAAATAGGCTAGAGTCCTGTTGGGGCAGTATGGCAGCAGAAAAAATAGTTGTGGTAGCACTTCTCAATGATTGTGCAAGTGTGGTTAGTAATACTAACAGGAGCGGATAGTATTCCCAGTAGGCTCAGATAAAAGCAAACTGCCACAGCCTCTTTTAATTTGTCCATTCTCCCTCATTTAAATTGTTTGCCATTAAAATCACACTTTAATATTGCTTGGAAGCACACTTCCTGGTTCCCGTCCATGAAATGTCAGGTGTCTGCAGGCATTAGATAAGGTACTGTATAAAAATAATGCTAAATAATGCTTTCTGGGCTAATCCAGTACATCATCTCTTATTCTTAACCCACAGATCAAAAGAATGGTAACTACAGCAGGCCTGTGTGTTACATAAGGGATCAAGTTCCAGGACCCTTCATGTAACACTTATTTCCTGTAACCTAATTTTTCTTTCCTTAAATGAGCAATGTCTTGGTCTTCCAGGTGAAGCATACTGTAGCATTGTGATGGAGAACCTACAGGTGGCTGGATAAATGTTCTTTCTAGGAATGTCCGGTGGAAGTTGACCATAGAATTGTGCTGGAAGTCTACTTCTCAAGGTATCCCTAGGTCCCTTCAATGCAATTGTATGGTATTCAAAATCCTTCCCATGTAACTAAAACCACATTCAAGGAACTCATGTAATTAGCAGACCTACTGTACTCACAAAAGGTACGTCAGTCTTGTATAGTCTCCTTTTGGAATGTGAGATGTATGTTTCCCCACGGTTCCCCCCCCCCCCCTACAATCATCCCTAGATCAATAATTGGAAATCCTGCCATCAGATATCCCAATAGTATATTGGGATTGGGGGGTGGTGGTTTACATTTGGTGTATTTTAATGAATTTATGTGTTTCTTACAAGACGTAGTACATAGGACAGTATATAAAAATTAATGTGCTGCCAATATTTATTTGAGAGTCCCAAAGCACCACTGCTAACATTGCAGTATATTAAAGATCAGTAGATAGGTTTCAGCTTCAGATGTATCCCATTCTTGGAGCGGGTGACGATCTGTGGGATGGGAATGGGGGGCTTGGAACGATCAGGCAAAAGTTCAAAGCGCAGAAGTGTCAAGGCAAGAGCAACTTTCATCTCATTCATGGCAAACTGTTGTCCAATACAGCTCCTGAGTATAATTACAAATACAAAAGAAACATTGCATTTTCAGCAAAATTCCAGAAGTTGTCACATAAACACCCTTTCTATTGTCCAGTTTTTGGGCTTTTTTTTGTTGCTACAAACTGAAACTGTTATTAGTCCTCAATCCTTTTGAGTTTTTGAGTTTCTGTATTTTTTAGGAAGTGCTATGGTACAGTGAGTCGGGACTACAGGAATAGGACTCCTAAGAAACCAGGGTTTGCATTCCTGTTCAGTAGGGTTGTGTGATCAATTAAAAAAAGTTTCCAAAGTCATTACAAAACAGGGTGCTAGCTCTTCGTTTCTAAATTATTTTTTAAAATGTATTTCGCAAAAATTTCATTACTGTAAAGAGAGTAACGAAATTTCATTATTTCGTTATAGTAATTGCACAAGTGGGGAAACCTCAGGAAAAGAAGGACAATGGCAAACCATGTCTGAAAACATCTTGTCAAGAAAACCCTAGGATACAGTCACCATAAGTTGGAATGGACTTAAAGGAACACAATAACAATAATAATATTGTGCTGTTTTATCTTCTTTTAACAATTCCCATCAGTGATAGCTTATATTTTGTATCTGTCTATAGTATTATTTCAGCATTTTCACTGTATTAAGTGTGAAAGCTACTCTGAAAAGCTATAAACAAATAATGCACTCAAAGAATATATGTGTTCAAAATGTTTACGAAGTAGTAAGAAGGTTTAATTTTTTAATACTGATTGAAATCTATCTATAGATCTATAGGATCACAGTTTGATTGAGTCTGAATTGATGTTTTTATATGTGCATGCGTTTTATTTTATTGCATTTTATATTGTGTTCACTTTTATGTTCATTTTTAGGCACTTTGTGTGGTCTGCAAGCTGCCCTGAGTCCTTTTGGTTAGATGGTGGCAGGATGTAAGAATAAAGTTGTTGTTGTTATTCTATAAGTTTTCAATTCAGTTAAATCGCATGGAAAATACATATGTTTTGGAGAGGAAACTTACATAACAATGCAGAATTGAAACTCTTTACCTTGGCCCAGCAGCAAAAGGAAGAAAGGCAAAGGAGTGGCGACGACTTGAATTTTCAAAGGAAAATCTTAGTGGATCAAAGACCTGTTGAATAAAATAAATATCAGAGTTAGTGCGAGACATTTTTGGACAAAAAGAACTGCACTAAAAATGGTTTGTTTTGATTGTAATTCCATACACACTTAATTTGTTATATGCTCCACTTAAGTCAATAGATCTTAATTATAAGTAAGTATGCATGGGACTGCACTGTTAACAATGCCCCCCCCCACCTCCCCAGGAAACAGGTTTAGACCAAGGATCTGTGCTGAAGTATATCCTGAAGAAATATTTTTCATATTCAGAAATGTTAAGGCTAATGCAGATTTGACGCTATTCAATTGAATGAAATTAATTGCACAAATACAATTAGTTGGATGAATGCAATAAACTGCATGGTGTTTAGCATATAAATAGCAAACACAAGTCAGTCAGTGGGCGATGGAGGCAGCGATAATTTAACCAACATATTTTTTTGCACTCACATGAGTGTGCATGTATACACATTAAGCCACATAGGCAAGACATACCGGGATCTGAACTATAGTCCTGGCCAAGAATCAAGGGGGCTGCAACTCTCCTTTCTGCATGCCAATTTTCTAAAGCAGTGGTTTCCCAACATTTTTAGTAATAAAACACTTCAGAAGATTTCCCCCCCTACAGAACACACCATAATTTATTGCACAATTGTCACCACTACATAATACTTGCACCCCTCCCCCCTTTTGGGGTACCAAAATTGTATTTTTGTTTTTCTCACATAATATATGAGCCCCCATTTGGGGATGATTCTCTTTTACTTCCTTCTTTCTCTGAAAGCAAAGCAGTTTAACAACTATAAAATGAAGGTCTTTGGAACTCCAGGCTTCTTTCCTCACTACTGCTTCAGAGGCAAGGCAGTTTACAAAACCTGGAATTGGGTTCTTTGGAGAAAGGATTAAGGAGAGAAGATCTGAGTTCTAGAGACCTACATTTCAGGTTTTTTAAACTCCTTGCCTCGAAGGAAAGAGGAAGGAGAGAAGAGTGTTACAGTTTTTAAACTGTTTTGCCTTTGGAGAAAAAAGAAAGAAAGAGAAGGAGAATCAGCCCCAAATGGCTCTGCAGTTTAAAAAACCCAAACAGAACAGAAACAGAGCTGTTTGTTTGAGACTGGATCATTTCTCCTCCTTTGCATTTTATTTTAAATAATGACAGAAAATGCAGAATTAAAGGCAGATGTTCTTTCCTCACATAATAGTTGCACCCCCTTTTTGGATAAAAAAGGGGAAGTGTGACTATTGTGTGATGAAATATGGTATGTCTATCCCTGATTTTTACTAAGGAGCAGCATATATACTCACTGTTGCATTTTGTAATGCTATTAATTACAAATACTCAGTGTTAGCTTTTTGATTTTATGAATATTTCCATTAGAAAACGCATACCCAGGGAACACTACATGCATATTTTTCATTCTTTGCACCATAACCCCTCAAAGAGTAGTTTTAAAGTTGAAAGCCCATTGTAGAGCAAACATACATATGTTGACTTTTAGATGTATAGATTGTGAACCCACAAAGTTCTTCCTTCTTTCATCTACTCCTTTCCCCTGAGTTTTGTGTTTACATTACTAGGTTTGGAAATAAAAGGAAAATATACCAAAAACATTTATTTTGGTAGAAGGGAATACTGTATTCACAACTGCTATAATAAATAAAATAGTTTGATTTTTGTACTTAAAATAGTTTTGAAATTGGACTTTATGTCAGACAGCCGAATATGTAAATCCCAGGGCAGCATCCAACTTACTCCTACATTTGTTTTTAGTTTATGCATAAGATGAAAAGCCTGATTCATATCAGCAGTTAGATACATAGGGGCAGGGCTGTAGCCAGAAAAAAATTTCGGGGAGGGTTGACAATTTTGGCGGGGGGGGGGGGTTGAAAATTTCGGGGAGGGTTGAAAATTTCGGGGGGGGGGGGTTGAAACCTGCCTCCTAGCTCACGCTGAAGCAAAGAGCACAGCAGGGGGCAGAGCAGCCTTCAATAGCCTGCAGCTCCGCCCCTGTCAACCACCTCCACCAAGTCTGGCCTCCTTAATGAGAGCATTCAACACACACACACCCAACTTGGTTGCTTCGCTACATTGGCTATTGCTGCAAGTAATGACAGTGTGAATAAATTGTCAATATTTGTTTGAGATAGTGCTTAGGGTTCTGGAGGGACTCTTAATTTTTGGCATCTCATAGACTTAGCATGGGGATTTAGTTAACCAGTTAAAATTCATGAGTAAACCAGGTTTTTTTAAAAAAATCTGAAACATTTCGGGGGGGGGGGTTGAACCCCTAAAACCACCCCCTCGCTACAGGCCTGCATAGGGGAGCAGCACTCAGATAGCCTTTCTGGTTGCTATCTGTCAGCCCTATCCAAAAGTGATTTGGTGGCAAAGATACATATTTCATTTTTTTAAAAACACTGAATTTCAATAATATCTTCACATTCTAGCACACACTCAATCAACACAGCAGGAGGAAAGGGGAAGTTAGGTTCTCCACCCCCCCCCCCCCCCCCCCCCCCAGACTTTCTTAAATTCAGTACACAAACTCCAAGATTCCTTTGAGTAAAACAGCAGCTTTCTATGTTCTTGTTGCCTGGCCATAACCTTTTGGTCGCAATCTGATGTTGCTTGGCCACACTGCATCCCAGTATTGATCTGTAAAATGTTGGCAAGTTTAACCCTTGAAGTCTTCCAACTCTGATTTTGTGATTCCAGAAGTGAATATGAGTAAGATATGCTACCCAGAACCATATCCAATCGATGGAAGTGCAATGTACATAATTCACAATCTAAGGACAGAAAAGAGATCATGAAAATTGGAAGGAACTTACAGCCTCATCAGAAAGGCCAGATGAAGCATCTTTCTTCACCTGGCTTCCACGAGAAAACAGAGGTGCTTCTGGGTGAATCTGCCCCCCCCTCGCAGCTCCTTCTTGCCGATGTTTTCCCCATCACATGTGGAAAGTGTTGCTCTCTCGGAGAGGTCCTGTGCTGGCTCAAATTGAGCCTGCACAACACAAGAAGCCTCCCATGTTAGGGAAAAGGGTCCAGCGACACTTTCGTGCTAGTTGGGTGTGGGGCCTCTGTTGGAAGTTGCACAACATTGTGGGGCTCTGTTCTGAAGATGGGGCAGAAGTGTCCTAGGGATGGTGTTTAAGGTAAGTATTATGAGGTCCCTAGTGGTCAACAACTCAATGAAATGTAGCCAGATTTTCCTTAGATGTACACCAGAGGTGGCAAAGACAGTTACTAGACTATGTCTAATATCTTGCAATCTCAAAAATATAAGTAATGGAGTTGACTCATAGTCTATATTCTAGAACTCAAAGCATCCAATTTCCCCAGTCACACAATAAAGACTTTACGTTCTTAGCTTTTTATGTTTTAGTTTATAATCACCTCAGGGTTGTCCCAGAGCTCAGGATTTCGGTGAAGGTTATAAATACTCAATAATGTTAAAAGCCCTGTGAAGCAAAGAAAGAAGCATTGTTTAATGAGCAGAACCAAATATTAATAAATACATGCTGCAGGGTTGCATGACCTATCAAGGCACTATTCATTCATTATACCTTGTTTTGTGCAAAGAAATTCAGTGTAGTTCACATAGCTGCAGAGTGATCTACAAAATTAGAAAAGCATCAGAAACTGTCATGAAGATAATAAAATTTACTTTATGACTGAATGTTTATCTCTAGGATACCAAGAGATGTTTGCCCCACAGTTATGACATAACCACCTTGGATTTTTTTCAGGCCACTTTACATCGAGCCTATTAAATTGGGACAATGGATGCACTCATTTAGCCAGGACATATTAATCAAATAATTGAAATTTCCATTTTTATCTTTCCTTATTTGGATTTATGAAATGCTGCAAATTGCATAGATATCTGTTAAAATAGAATGGTGCCAAAGTTCAGCTGTGATGATAGACAGATTGCAATTAGAGTGAAAGGGGATGGGAGTTAGGGAACCAACGAAAACTACCCCTTTCCAAAACTCTTTACCTTCTGCCTATGAAAATCAAATCATATGACACATCTGAGATAGGAATAAGGTGGGTTGAGAGAGGTATTTTCAGCATCAAGGTGAGAGTAACAATTGTTAGCAGAGAGAAATGAGGTGAGTGACTGTGAGATGGGCATTTAAGAAAGAAAGGACATCAGTAGTCAAAGAATTAATCTTTACTAACAAAATTCTGTTACTGATAGGAAAGATACCTATACTTAGCCTATTCTACATTCTAAGCAGTTGGAGTGGATAGGTTCAGGAATAGAAACGAGAAGGAGGTGGGGAAGAGATTGAAATATCCATCTATGTCATACACAGCAGAGGCAGAATATATTACCATAAAAGAAAAAAGGTTCAGGTTACCCCAAGCTTTCTAAACCCCATCTACCCACCGTGATTGTACACTGTTCTTATGCAGAGAATTATTGCAGTCCAACAACAATGTGATTCTTATAACCTCCAATTATTTCCTTGTATGTAATGAAGCAAAAAGATCACACAACTAGACTCGTCCTGGTTCGTGTGTGCTAAGAATTGAATACGGCGTGTCACTGTTTACTTTACAATATGCATTAGTTTAAATACATTATACCCACACATGAATGTCCAGCATTCCTATCAACATTATTTGTAGCAATTGCAAAAGAATGGGAGGTATCAAGAGACAGAAATGAAGTTGGATAATCCAAACTGAACTGGAGTATAAAAGAAGAAAAATTAGCACCTTCAATATGACTATTCATTTAGGGATTAGTCGCTGAGCAATGTTTTGCCTTCTTGGGCCAGGACATCCTGTGCTGACAAGTCTCTAGCACACCAGATTATTTTCAGGCAACAGAGTTTGTGAGACTTTAAAAAAATGGCTGGGCAACATAAATCTTTCTGGTGCCTAAGATCTCCATAACAATGCAGCCTGCATGTCCCCAATTTCTAAGGCACAAGCATATAGTAAATTCAGAGCATGTCATTTTTAATGAAAACTCGGGGTGGCTCCTATTCTTTTAATGGCTGCGCAAAGGAGGGAATTCCAAATGATGTTACTTACCACATAACAGGATAAGCAAAATCTGCTAAAATTCTGTCTTCTGCACATTAAAGATATATCAGATCTGGCAACTCACCACATATGTACATGGAGTTTTCAAAAAAAATCCACATTTTTATATTTTTGTTACAAATGGTGAAGGAAAGAGTAGTACTAATAGGTTGTGTCTGAAAGTATCATATGACTAGTCCGTCTGGAAAATTGTCTGACTTTGCAGTTTAGTAAAAAGTAGCACAGTGTGGTGAAAATGGCTGTGAAACTTATAAATTCAATCAAAGAGGAGCAGCATTCCATCATATGTGTTTTGTGGACAGAAAATGTGCTGGAAACACAAATGAATCTCTGCATGTGTGCTCAGTATGGGGAGAAAGTTATCTCTCATAGAAGCATCAATGAGTGGATTAAAATGTTGAAAAATAGCCTACTAGGCTGACAAATGCAGAGTGTTCCAGACATCCAACAAAAACCATGCCCACGAGGAATGAAGATAGAATCCTGGAACTGAAAACAGAAGAATCATGGTCGAAGAGAAGCTGAATGTGACTGTTGGATCTGCCTATGACCTGATTCATGCCAGCCTTTGTTCAATAAAGCATGTGCCAAATGGGTGCCAAAGCAATTGACAGAGGATCATAAGTTCAAGCAGCAAACAGAGAAAGCAGCAGTGAAACAATGGCTTTATTCAACCAAAAACATTTTTTGCTGATGACATTGAAAAGTTGAAGTACATCACAATGAAAGTTGACTATGTAGAAAAGTGATGTGCTTTATGAAATTCTTAATAAATAAGTGTTAAGAAAAGTGCAGAGCCCCTGTAAATTATTACCAAATCTTTTTCATATAATTATTCGAGATAGTCCCTCAAAATATTAACGAGAAAAGGAAATACATAAATAAATCCAAATCTGCAAAAGATGTGTGGAAGACAGACCTTTTGGTAGTGTTCTTCCATCTGGAAATGTCACTGGCAAATTCAGGTCTCGTGCTACTTGAGGGACTGGTGGGTAAAGTCGAAGGCTCTCTTTAATGCACATGGTGGTGTATGTCATCTTTCCTAGGTCATCCCTGAAAGGCAGGAAGAAAATATTTTTTTAAAAAACCCCAAAAGCCAAATGTCATCTACTTGCTGAAGTTCAAATGAATCTCTCTCTCTCTCTTTCTCTCTCTCTCTCTCAGATATAACCGCGGAATGAATAAAGCGTGTTGCTGATATGTCTGCATGTTAGACACCATAATGGAAGGAAATATTTGAGATCTGTTCTGCACAAGTGAGGGAATTTTTTTCTATATATAGAAAATCACATTTCCCATTGTTTGAGCAGTCAATTTTAATTTCAAACCAATTTTAATGAAATGTTGGAAACTGAGTTATTTTCAGTGCTCATAAGTTAAGAAACAAAAGTACTGTATGAATGAGCATATATCTTCCATTTAGATTTCTTCACCCTCACTAACATCTGCTATTAATGGGTTGCTGTGAGTTTTCCAGGCTGTATGGCCATGTTCCAGAAGCATTCTCTCCTGAGGTTGGCTTCTGGAATGTGGCCATACAACCCGGAAAACTCACAGCAACCCAGTGATAAAAGCCTTTGATAATACATGCTATTAATGTTTTGTTTATATAAAGAAAGCAGCTGTTGATACAATATAGTTAACCATAGCAATTTAGAAGTACCTTTGAAAATTGCAAGTAGATGGTGGGACATGTTTCTTTATACAAATTCCTATTGAGATGGTAATTTCTCAGTGATTTCCAACATTTGAAACGAAGATTGTATAATTGCTAAACTCAGCTCTTAAGAGGAAGTCTCACAACCCATGCTGATTTCTGCAAATCAACCTGCTAGCAGTGAAAGGCAAAATGTTCAAGAAATCTTGTTCCACCTATAATATCAGCTATTTCATTTCTTCTTAGAATAAATAACTCTGATTTGACATTAGATTTTTTAAAAATGATATAGTGTTTTCAATATAGAAGTCAGACAGTAACTGAAAGTATAGAAAGAAGAGCAGAAAGTAGAAGTCATATACTAATTCTTAGCTGAACATCTCTCCTTTCTATTTCACATATTAAAGAGACTATCTTTGAGATTTAAGGCCAGTGATCATATATATCTTTTAGAAAAATCAACACTTTGAGAAAATGACTCAGAAAACGGATAAAGAGCAAAATGAGGTCTGACCATTGCACATGCCCCTCTTTGCCAAGAAGTTCCATTATCTCCTCTCTGCATCTCTGCTGATGTTCAGGATTCTGGGCCATACAATAGAAGAGCCAAGAGATGCCACTAGCCGTGGTATCATGACCTTCAAACATGAATGTGTCCACCTCGGCACGCAAGTCTTCATCTGACAATGAGTTCCCATTTTCATCCCAACCACACAGGGAAGAGAGGATTTGTGTTATTGATAAGATCTGATGCACTGAGCTTGATTTAAGTCCAACATAAGGAAAAATCATTAGTAACTTCTTTAAAGCGGGCTTTCATGCCTTGCAACCTACCAAGATGAACATAATTGACCTCATGTTTTTTTTGTTCAAAGGGCCACTTGAGGGTATTTTGTAACAACAATAACTTGTAAATCTCAGTCACAGGAAACAGCAATTCTTCCTGATAGGAAAAGGGATTCCTGAAGCTGAGCAAGTGTGCAGCCAAAGGTCTGCTCCTTAAAGATACACTCTGCTTTTTACAAAATTAATGGCAGCTGTTTTGAGATGTATTGTCTATCTCGAAACAATCCTGTTGTTAATCTAACTAGAACAGACTCACTGAAGCAATAGGATTTACATAAGAGACAGCTGATTCCTTGATAATTGATACAGTGAACGTACTGTAGTAGTTAAAAACATCAGTAAGTTATCAGCTACCATTAGTTCTAACATTACAAAATTTTTATAATTCTTTGGAAGTTGCTGCAAAATGTTGATCACCTTTTAATAAAATATTTGGAAACATGGATAAGTTTCACTATTTTTAGAGTTGTACTCATTGCTAATGAATGTTCTGGCATCATTCAAGAAACTGGTATTTACTTTTAATGTTTTACATGGCATTTTACCTAACATGATCTTATCAGACGAAGGATGGAATACTGCTTTCCTGTATGCACCCTGCAACTTTGGGGGGACCGGATACATCATGCATGCACACAATACTGATCACTCCTACATGCACAGACTATGGGTCTCTTGCTTGGGGCATCTCAGGATTGTTTCATGAAAGTTGCATAATGGACATGGAAAAGAGTCAATGCTTGAAGAAACTATTTCAGCTCAGTTTACAATGCTAGGTGAAAAAATAATTTTGTTGGCTAGGAGACATTGCTGTAAATTTTTTACCTTTGCACAAATGAGAATGTCTAGGAGATCCAAACGTCTCTTCTTCAATATTTTCTCAAGTTCTTGTTCATTCTTAAGGGACTCCTTTCTCTCCCTTATCACATTGTCTGTATTAGATATAAATAGTAAAATATGAGTAAAACAGTTAAGCATCATTTCTATGATAATCATGTATTTTGCTCAGCTGAAATAATAGATTGAAATTTTCAGCAATTCAAGGAAGTGTATTGTCAAAGTCTATCTTCTGGGAGGGAAGAAAGCTTGTTACGTTGGTTGAAATTAACCAGGAAGGGATTGAGAAGAGGACACTCTGACTAAATGTGAATCAAAAGGAAAATACAGTTGAAATGTCACTGAAGTGCTAACAGCAAATAGTCTAATCAGGAAGAATGTGAAACAAATATACAACATCAAAAAAAATGCAACTGAACCAGTGCAATATAAGTCTATGGCAGAAACTGGGGAATTGACTCAGGATTGTTACAAGAAATCCATTTGAGAACTGGAAAGGATAAAGACAAAATATGTTGATCTCAACGTTTTTAGAAGGGCCCCTAAAAGCTGGTTCTCATGTGTAGATGTTAGCTACCATCCATTATAAGGCTGGGACCTCAGAGTTGCCCTTTCCTAGACAAAGAATTGATTGACTTCTTAGGAGAAGGCAGAAATAACCTCTGCAGAAAGGAAGGAAGAATACAGATCGAGTGCAAAGAAAAGAGAAGGAAAGAGAAAAATTATACAATCGGACCTCCACCTTTGAGGGTTCAGACTTCACAACCTCTGAGGATGCTTGCCATAGATGCAGGCGAAACGTCCGGAGAGAATGTTTCTAGAACATGGCCATATAGCCTGAAAAACCTATAACAACCCAGTGATTCCAGCCACAAAAGCCTTCGACAATACGTTAAAAAGTGGAAGTTGATGATAGAGGTACACTGGAGGACCTGGAGATTCCTAGAAAGGTGTTCTCTCTCTCTTTTACTTCTAGGCTTTCTTCTTTTATGGACTCGCTATACTCCTAATCCCAGCAAATGTGGCGGATTAACTCTAATTGTTACTTAAAGGACTTAAAGACCTGGATGTTCAGCTGTGCTTTTGACTAGGCAATTCCCTGGACAACTGGCCCAGTTAAGACTCAAAAATCTTCTCCTCAAGCACTTTACAATGTTTATCCAAATCCTTAATGGTAAATTGCTCTTATCCTCATCGCTGCTATATGGTATTTGCACTTTACCCATTAGCTCTATCCTCTAATGTTGTGGCACCAGTCCGCCCGCCCATGATGAGACATTGAACTTTGCTTTTGGTTGTTTGGCTTTGATGTTTGTTTTATATACTTGTTTATTTGTTGTTTATTTCATTATATTGTTTATGATAGCATTTTGTTGATATGCATTTTAATGTGTTATATTTTAACTGTTCTGTTGGGCTTGGCCCCATGTAAGCTGCCCCGAATCCCATTGGGAAGATGGAAGCGGGGTATAAAAGTAAAATAATAATAATAATAATCATCATCATCATCATCAAAAACACAGTGGATTAAACCAAAAAAATATTAACTTTGTCCTTTCTTTGGCTTTTTTGACCCACCTGACATTAATTCAGAAACATTCATGTAAGCTCCAGAAACATTTAACCCACAATGGTGCAGGGGAAAGGATCACCCTTATAAAACATACCTGTGTGATGGTGGGCTAGTCTGCAAGCATTGTGAAACCGACGTCCCTGGGAGCTAAACCAGTACATGAGGTCATTGTAGATCCACGGAGACTTCACCCTCTTATCAAACAGGCAGGTGAGCTCATAGACAGCCTTAATGTAGGCATTATCCCTGCAGACAACAAGAATGTTCAAGACAATAAGACACAGAAAGCAAGCATAATCATATCAAGGAAGACAAACCACAATTAAGTCCTATTGAATACACATATGGTTAAGATCACACTAAGGGTCTCATCAGATGGAGGTCCAGAAGCTGGATGACAGAAGGGGCAATCTTGGGGCAGTGGGGGAAACTGTGGGGCATCTCCCAGCTTCGTTCCCTTACCAGGGTTAGTCATGGGCTACCATCCCATGATGTTTCTTGGCAGTTTCTGGCTTCCTTTAGTGAAGATACAGGTAGTCACCCATATCCTCAGGGCTTCCTCTGAGCACACAGCCAGGATAGAGCCCCACAGGAAGTAACCCTGTGTCGTAGAATGGGCTCCATTTCAGCTCTGTCTTGCTGGCGCACCAGTATAGGGGGAAAAACCAATCTGATGAGGTCCTTAAAGTATTCCAGAATTATAGTAGAACTGTGTTACATTGTAAGCAAGAAAACAAGCACATTCAACATTTTTATCTTTAATTCTTTTGACTTGCCAATAAACTGTAATTGGCCCATCTAACTTACTCCAGCAGACAATTAGCAATATGAAAAAATATTGAATCAATTCTGACATCTCCTCACAATGAAACATGCCCTCCAACATTCCACACGGCCAAGCTACATCAGAGTGTGGTCAAGATAGCAAAAGTTATTAATGAGGAGGAGCACATAAGGTAGAAAAGACCATATTTTTGTCTTTTGCCTAACCCTCTTGCAAACAGCCGGTGTTGTAAAAATCAAATTGTTTGCAGAAAGTATTACAAAACTCTCCTGTAATATGAGCAGCATGTCTCTGCATGGCTACATCAAGGCCCTCACAAATATTCTGTTCACAAAAAGTTGAATTGTTGCTTCTGAAAGCTTTCTGTAAGATGTTGGGAAGTTTGTATAACCAACAAAATAGGAAGTGTATTTCCAGTTTTGGAAAAAAAATGGAACTGGAGGTAGAAGATCAGAGAAGGGGGCAAAATTATCTTCAAGTCTTCCAAATGTATGTAGAAAGTAAGATAAGGTAGGTCTTATTCCAAGTGATTTTAACTTCTATGGTTTTGCCCACAACAGAACCTATGTGGTGGTTTGAAAGCTGGACTAGGGCCCCTGCCACACAGCTGAATAAAATCCCACATTTTCTGCATTGAACTGGGATATATGGCAGTGTAGACTCAGATAATCCAGTTCAAAGTCCGTTTCTGCCTTGATATTCTGGGTTATATGGCTGTGTGGAAGGGCACTAGGATGCAATGAGTCCTTGAGTTACAAACTTCTACTTACAAATGACTCCTAGTTACAAATGGGGGGCGAGACAACAGGAATCGAGAGGAAATCTGCCCCTGGGAATGGAAATTCATTCTTGTCAGAGTTATCATGGGAACAAGCACTTCACTGAAGTGTTGTATTGCCTTTAGATACTAGTTTCCCCAGAAAATGCACTGCACTGAAGTTTTATCACCAAGCCTTGTTTCCACAACAAGCCATTTTTTTTCAAAATCCAATTCTCACAGGGACAGAAAGTGAGGTGAAATCTTTTGAACAGGGGCACAGACAGCAAAACAAGCATCACAGAGGTGTTTACGAGCCCACATGATCCCTTCGATCTTCTGGAGAGGCCTTTCTCTCGCTCCCGTCCCCATCGCAAGTGCAACTTGTGGGGACGAGGGAGAGGGCCTTCTCCGTGGTGGCCCTTCGGCTCTGGAACTCACTCCCCAGAGAAATTAGGCAAGCCCCCACCCTGGCAGTCTTTAGGAAGAGTCTGAAAACTTGGCTATTCCAGTGTGCCTTCGATGAATGAACAATAATCCCTGACCTTTACCAAACCCTGCATAAAATGCCCTCAGAAGCACTTTATCCCATCTTCTAGTGCAATTAAACCTCATTTTTGTCCCTCTGATCCTCTGTTTAGATACATTACATGGCCTGCTCACCCAGTGTTTTTGAACTTTTAATCTTTGCAACTTGCCCTGACCAATGCCCACTGTGATTTTTTTTGGTGATTCAATTACTGTGATCTTATATTGTTTGGTGTGTTCATTTGTATTGTTTTCTGTATTTTTTTATTTTCATTATATTTTGCCATTTGTATTTTATGTAGTATATTTGCTCTGTTGTACTGTTGGGGTTGGCCTCATGTAAGCCGCCCTGAATCCCCTTGGGGAAATGGTGGCGGGGTATAAATAAAGTTTTATTATTATTATTATTATTATTATTATTATTATTATTATTATTATTAATTAATTAACTCCAAAGCTTTAAAAATAGCTGGAGTTACACTTTAAATGTATTTTACATACAAATTAGTTTTAAGAACAAGCCTCCAGAACTGTTTGTACTGAATCTGAATCTTTACTCAGCAGTTAAAACACATTGGGTGATCCTGGGCAAGTCACACTCTTTCAACCTCTAGCAGAACAAGTGTTGTCCAGAAAACCCATGATAAGTTCATGTTAGGGTTACCAAAGGTCAACATTAATTTTAATGCACATAACAACAACAATATTGTTGAGCTAAGAAAATATTCAATGAAAAGTTCCTTCTACACTGCACTAGGTTGCAGAAGTTGATGGAATCTCATAGTTCCTTCTTATCCCAGTTTCTCTCTCTTTGGCCCCATCGACACTGCCAAATAATCCAGTTTCTGAATGAAAATTAACATCATTGGATTATAGGGCAGTGTAGACTCATATAACCCCCATTGCTGCAAACTGAATTCATGTACTCATGAAGGGGTGATTAAGGAGAAAGGACAATCTTCCTTACCTACTCAGCTATATAAAATCCAGAGTATTTACTTGAAACTGGATTATATGGCAGTGTAGACAAACAATCAAAGCAGATAATCTGGATTTTATACAGTATGGTAGTGTAGAAGGAGCCTTCCATAGAAGGTACAGAGAAAAGTTTCAGCTTCTCCTAACATCATTAATAACTTTTGCCACCTTGACTGCCCTCCGATGTTGTTTTTAATCTATGAAATTGGAGAGTGTAATGTGGTCATCGTTCACATTTTGGCTGGATCTACACTGCCCTATATCCCAGGATCTGATTCCAGGTTATCTGCTTATGCCAGATTATCTGGCAGTGTAGACCAATATAATTCAATTGAATGAAAATAATCTAGGATCAGATTCTAGGATATAGAACAGTGTAGATCCAGCCTTTGTTTAAAGAAAACATTGTATACTGACCTTTCTGTCTGACAATTACTCTTACTGCTGAAGGCACATTTCATGATAGTATCCAGAGACATCAGACTGACATGTCCAAATATCTCCACTGATGCTGTATTATCTGTAGATACCAGCTTCTCCAGAATAACCTAATGATTTAAGAAAACAAATGGAATCATAAGAAGGAACTCTCCAAAATTACTTACTTATTATTGTACACCGGGTCAGATTCCAGGGCTGTCGTGAAGTCTCCACTTCTGATGTGTGCAAATGTGTCAGGAAATATAGGTACAGTTGGAGTCAAAGGACCCAAAATAAGATCCATGCACATAAGCAAAAAATATTGTTGGCTTTCTGTGTTATCTTAAGGAGTACTATTCCATGGGCCTCATTACACTTACCTTTTATTGTGTTCTAGGAATCTAAAGCCAGTCCAATGATGGGAAGACATGCTACAAACCACACAATGTCATTGGACTTCCTGTTGAAGCCTCCAACCGGAGTGGAATCATTCTTAGATGCTTCCCTCCTAACACAGGAAGGCTCCTGTGCTGTACTGTCTCCAATGGAGCCAGCACACTTCAGCACCACTTTGAGGACACTTCCCCTGTGTAATGGGGAAAGTGGCACTGCTTGGGAGCGGCACATGGGGTGATTGAGCTGCCCCATATTCCTGCTGCTTTGCCACAGAGACTGGCAAAACAGTATGGGGAGGGGGGTGTCTGTGTGATGTTGTCATATTATAGAATGTAAGGTACTGTACAAACACTTGAAAGTTATAAAGTATTGGACCTCATCACTCTTACCTATTTAAGTGTCCTAGGATGCTTGACGGGCAGTTGAGGGAAGGATGGGCATGCAGCCCATCACAGGATGTCCCTCAACTTCCAGCTGAGGCTCTGCCCTCAAGCAGCATGGAAGCATCCTAGGACACTTCCTTGTCAACATGGCAAGGCTCCCGTATTGTGCTGTATTCAATAGAGCCAGCATACTTCCGCCCTGGTTGGACAATGCTTCCCCCATGTGATGGGAGGATTGTTGCCACACCAAAGTGTTGCATGGGGCAATGCAGTTAGCCAGCTCACCAGGCATTCTGCCATGCTTGCTGGTGAAAAGGCATGAGGGGTGGCATGTGATAAAGTCCTCTGTTGAAGTGACACTGGAAAGCACAGCTAGTGTTTCATTTGCAGCTCTTGTTAAGACAGACAAGCTCTTTCCTATTGTCTTTCTGGCTTCTATACTAAACCCATAATTCTCATAATACTGAGCACAGAAGTAGAGTTAGAGTAGCTGACAACATGATTTCTTCTGAAGATACTAATGCATGAAAACTTTTTGTTGTATCCCCTCTTAACACACACAAATTGTTTATTTTGGAATACTAAAACCTGTAGGAAGAGCTGTGGATATCAAGGAATGCCATTTAGGATTAACCACTCTGTCAACTGCCCACCACTCTTCCCTTGTGGATGATCTCCCCATGTGGGAAAGATATTTGCAAAGATAATAGTTAGGTAAGTGGGAAGGAACTAGCCCACCTGGCCATTTTCCCTATACACATATTTTTAATTAATGGGTTGAGGTCATCTGAACTCTACTGCTATCACATATCTCTAGAATACATCATTTTTTTAAAAAAAAATCTAAGTTGTCCCCACACTCAAGCTGAAAACAAGATGGAGAGAGTGGCCTACACATCTACAAAGTATAGTTATGTCTGTCCATGAAGAGTGATATCCAAGCTTTACCTAACAAGATGAAACACACAAAAACTAGTAAAAGATTCACGAATCTTATAATTTAATTTAGATGCACAAAGTAATGCTTATGTTGGCCTTTAAAAATAATTGTCTTCCTTCAAGGCAGGTATGGTAGCATACATTCTTTGATTGCAAATGAAACACCTGCCTGGATCATTTCACAAAGGAGATCTTGGGTTCAGTGGAAGAAGTAAAAGTCATCATTGAAGCTTTACTTGGGTTTCTGCTAAACCTAACCACTACATTAAAGTAGTGGCGGTTTCCCATGAAGAAGTGGACAGAACTTGTAATCACAGCAATGAGAATGCCTACCAGCATCTGCTTGACTGATTCAACCATGACGGTGGTGTAAGGCTTGAGAATGTCATAATGGAAGCCTGGGGTCAGCAGTTTCCGATGTTGCTGCCATTTAGGTCCATCCAGAATTAACAAGCCCTTTCCTACCAGGGAAAAGGAGAATGTCAAAAGCACAAATCAAAAGTATATGTTGTTGATTTTTGAAGTACAATCCACATACCCATGGGATCGGCACTGGAGGTTTCATGTACTGACATCTAACAAAACATGTTATTTCTGGGAATTGTATAGGTTATCCAGTTGGTTTTGTGGTACAGTTCTGCCAGATGTTACCATAAAATCATGTTGTAGGACCTGACATGTTTTATTTCTCCAACATTTCTAAGGTCCCAATAGCAACTCTATGGTAGTAAACCCCCAGTCTGGAGACTGCCAAAACTATTTGAAATCATAACCCATCATATTAAAATGTAACTTAAGTAAACACTGAACCAAGCAATAAGGGGCACATCTACACAGCACATAAAACTTGGGATTTCCCGAGTTAAAAAGAGGAGGGGTGGCTACATGAAGTTAGCTCTAAATGCGTGCTGATTTATTGCAACAGATGAAAAACATGGGACAAAAAGGTTCCTCTTTATTCCAATTCTGCCTGGGAAAATGCAAAAATTTACATCACTATGTAACCCTGCACTTGCAAAAACATGTGATTTCCTTCCCTCCCCCTCCCCCCATGGAGACTGGTCCAGCACATGTATTCTTTTTTTAAAAGCCTGAAACAGCTGATCAGCTGGTTGGGCTGTGAAATGGACACACGGCTAATCTAAAGGAAGCACCAACAGAGAGCAATTAGATCTCTCTGAAACTCTTTTTTAAAAAACTGTATAATATTAATCAGAGCTTTAATAAACAATTGGGGTAAGGAAGAAATCTGGCATTAAGTACTGAATCTCATATGCGCACACTTGAATCTGCTTATATTTATATTGAGATATTTACATGTATGCATATACGGTCCACTGCATAATGGAGTGATTTAAAAAAGCCAACATTCTGCTGCATGTCCCCTATCCTTCCCCCATCTTGTTCTGATACAGAGGAAGCCTGTGAGGATGGTGGGGGGAAGAAATCCCAAGACCCACAGGTCAGTGTAGAAACATGCTCTCAGGTCCCGGGTTTTTTAGTCCTCCCTTTAGAACCTGCATTTTCATGCTGTGTGGAAACACCTTAGGTCTTCTAAGAATTTAAATCCTGGAACAATGTGGCTTCACAGACATCCTCCACACCAATAGAAGTGACTTAACAGGTGTGATTACATGACGCACTGCCCATTTCACCTATAACCTATAGGGACTTGTATGCAAAACATATGCAGCCAGTAGCTTGTGTAAGATAGATTCCAAATTATCTTCACCCATAGCGCTTTTCTTGGCATGTGGCAGAGGGACAGCTTTTTTTACATATGATCATACTTTCCCATGCATCTTGTCAGCTGTGTCCCTCAGGGTGTGTTGTGGGGATGGGGTCCTATTGATTCTCCTTTGTTTAATCGTCTGGCAGTACTCATTCATCTGCCAAGTGACCAGATACAGGAACTGCAAATGTGATCTAGTTCTTCTGTACCCAGTATGTATCCAGCCCTCAAAAGACATGGATTACCTACAGGAAAGGTATTTCCCACTTTCAGTATGATATGGATCCTTGGACTCTTTCACATTAGAGTTATAGCAGTATCAGTTAACTTTCGTTGACATGGTTCCATTTCCTCTGGGGATCCATCTTGGCATTTGCAGTTTAGGAATCAATATTTAAAACTCTTTACTCAGATCTCTAGTGCATTATCAAGTTAGAAACCCCAGTATTCCATGAGATAAAGCACTACATAATATTAGTACCATGATTTTCAGTGTCCTGGATGCATTCTATGGGATCTGGAAGCTTGTGATGAGAATTCCAAATGTGTAATTCAATTTTAAAAATGCAAATTTAGTATGGCAAATTTAAGCATCTGACTCCCAGGCAACTTTAACTGAAAGGCCCTAGTCAAACAAACCATCACATTTCTGTAGATAAGTCTGAAACACAAAAACATATGTCCATGTCTGATGTCACAAACATGACAGAGAGTACAGTGATTTATGTAATTAGAAAAGAATTATACATACCAATCCATGGAATTAGGAAGCCATATATTAGAAAAGATTTAGGATCTAAACAATGGTATAAATGAGAAAGAAGAAGATCATTACATGATACAGTCGTTTGTGAGCACAAATATAAAGGCTCGTTTTCTAAACCGTATTCTGTTGCCACAAACTGTGGCATTCTCCAGAAACATGTCTGCATAAGTTGACAGACATAGGGCATAACCACATTCCTTTGCAATTTGAATGTGAGCCAATGTGTTAAAAGAGTGGACTATGAATACAATAGCATAGAATGGACCTGCACAACGTACAGCTCATAGGATGCTTGCTGCCCACCAAAGCATTTCAGGTAACCTTTCAAAAGTGCAAAGGATAGAACAGAAAGCAAAAAATGTAGCATGTGTTTGCTGGAGAACAGGATTGTTCTCAGGATTGTTTGTGGCAGGAGAACATGGGAACTGTCTGAACTGAGAGGCATGGAGAGAAACAAGGCCCATTCCTTTTTATGCACCAGGCTGCAGAGAGGAGCCTTCCTTTCTCCCTGCTTTGCTTGTGCATGACGAGCAACGAAAATTCCTTCTGGGGAAATAAATCAACCAACGGCAAAAACAATGGTGGAGGAATGAGCCAATCACTCACACCTGCAACCTTGGCAGGGGGCTCACTCTCAACAGTGCATTCCACTGTTGCAAATGGAAACTTTCATAGAATCATAGAATCATAGAGTTGGAAGACATCTCGTGGGCCATCCAGTCCAACCCCCTGCCAAGAAGCAGGAATATTGTATTCAAAGCGCACCTGACAGGTGGCCATCAGCCTCTGTTTAAAAGCTTCCAAAGAAGGAGCCTCCACTACACTCCGGGGCAGAGATTTCCACTGCTGAACGGCTCTCACAGTCAGGAAGTTCTTCCTAATGTTCAGATGGAATCTCCTTTCTTGTAGTTTGAAGCCATTGTTCCATGTCCTAGTCTCCAGGGCAGCAGAAAACAAGCTTGCTCCTCCTCCCTATGACTTCCTCTCACATATTTATACAGCTATCATGTCTCCTCTCAGCCTTCTCTTCTTCAGGCTAAACATGCCCAGCTCTTTAAGCCACTCCTCATAGGGCTTGTTCTCCAGACCCTTGATCATTTTAGTCGCCCTCCTCTGGACAAATTCCAGCTTGTCAATATCTCTCTTCAATTGTGGTGCCCAGAATTGGACACAATATTCCAGGTGTGGTCTAACCAAGGCAGAATAGAGGGGTAGCATGACTTCCCTGGATCTAGACACTATACTCGTATTGATGCAGGCCAAAATCCCATTGGCTTTTTTTGCCACCACATCACATTGTTGGCTCATGTTTAACTTGTTGTCCACAAGGACCCCAAGATCTTTTTCACAGAAGGAATGGGTTCCTTCTCCATCTTCTCTCTTTTAAATCCCCAAAACAGATCCATTGTCGGCCCCACTAGCCAGCAATTTAATTGTCATCTGCTCAACAGAAAGGTGGTGTCGGACTTCTTCTCATCTACATAGAGCTTGCAAAACTCCTGGCATCCCTAAACTACTGTGGTCACTGATCTTGCTGCATGGAGGATTTTAGAAGTTATAGTCCAGAAGTGATTTACCAGGGTCTGTTCATGTCCAGGTTCTTCCATTTTGGTGTAATAGGATGCATCTACACCATAGAATTAATGCAGCTTGGGACCAGTTTAACCACCATGGCTCAATGCTTTGAAATCATCAGGGTTGTATTTTGGTGAGGCACTAAAAACCTATCTATGGCCCAAATTACAATGCAGTCTGAACCCAGCCACATGCACAATGGAGGGCTTTTTATATAGCAGCACCAGAGGCACTCCAACTGGACAGCTACTGGTCAAAGGACATTTAGTATAATGCCAAGTTTTTTTAAACTTTGTGTGTTTTAAATACATTGCATCTGTAACCTCAGTTTGCTTCTGATACAATAAATAAATAAATATGGCCCAAAGACATTTAACTTATTTTAGTTTTGGCCGCTTTTACTGCCAGATTGTTCAGGACTGATATAGAGCAATGTGACTAAGGACTTCATCAGATGTAACTAGGGAAAGGAGAGAAAATTGTCTTAATTGTGTGGAATCATCTTTGCATAGCATTCCGTCTTTAAAGAAGGTGGATAATTTACTTACCTCAACCACACAGGATCTCATCCACCCAGCTCAACCATTCATTTAGAGGAGAACAGGAGGTATCATTCTATATCATTTCTCTCCAAGGGTTCCTATGCTCCCCTCCCAATGCCTTTACTCTCAAGGAGACAGGAGACATTATTCTTAAGGCAGACACCATTTCTCTCCATGGGCTCCTCTGCTCTCCCTCCCAATCCACTTACAATCGAGGAGGCAAGAGGTATCATTCTTAAGACAGAGACCCTCCCAATTCTCCGAGCACTCTCCTTTCCTCCTAATCTCATTACTCTCAACCGCAGAAGTCAGAAACAAAGTTTAAAAGATAGCAGTAGCACAATTTTGAAAGCCAAGATTACTATGAAGGACAAATGACAGGTGATATCTTGACATTTCTAATTAATTCATTTAATTAATTTTCTAAAAATTGCTGTGCCAGGCTTATAAATCAGGATTTTGGGAGAGAAATGTCAATGCTTGGTATGAGACTGCCTATATGAACGCCCATTATTCCATGTTACTGAAGAGACAGGCAAATCTGACAGATCCCATCCTGCATGTTTCCCCCCGCTTTCTCCCATTTCCGCATGAATCATGAGCTCAGAAGACAATTTTTCTTTTTCTCCCACTACCATTTTTAACACTTCTAAAACAGTTCCCTGACAAAGCAACATGGATGACAGGAGGAAGTCCATCTGTGTCTTGTGATGCTTCATCAGGGAACTGTTTTAGAAGTGTTTAAAAATGGGGAGGGGGGGCATTGCATGTGATAGGGCCCTCATTCAGCTGCCCTGTGTTTGTGCTGGCAGGAGCAGGAAGGGAGATGAACTAACAAAGAAATGAATGTGTCTGGCATCAATGTAGGTTGTCTGAGGTTAAATCATTACTATGGGACTTAACTGCTGCCATAAACATTACATTTTAAAATAAAAATTTAAAATATCCAGGAAACCTCTGCCAAAAGAGATTTTATTCCAACACTTATTCCATCAGCCTACTTTGGTTGGGATTGAATGTTTACTTTTAAGCTTTTTTATTGTATTTATATTTGAATTCAATTATTATGTCATGTTTATTACTATATGTTTCAATTGATATGTAATTAAATTAACATGTAATTGTTTAAATTGCAAATGGAATTGTTTAAATTGATTATTATATGTGTAATGCGGCACTGTATGCCATGGATTGTAAGCCACCCTGAGTGAGAAGGGTGAGGTGAGAAGGGTGGGGGAAAATGTATCATTATTATTAATATTATTATTTTGTTGGTTAGAGTCAAGAGAGACCAATCTACAACAGGCATCACAAAGTTATGTATGTCACAAACAGAATGTTGCTCATCTCTGCTTTTCCAGAAATGAAACTAAACTCAAATGGATTTTAAAATATCAGGAAAACAAACAGCCCTCAAAACTACCCCTGTGCGATAAAGGTGTAAAATATCATCATTTGATCAGAGAGGGGAGTAAGGGAATAAATTTCTTACCACTTCTAGTAAAGACCACTTTCGCATATTCAGGATGGTTGATGACCAAGGCAACTACAAATTGTCCATACCGTAGCTGATGACATTGTGGGTATTTTTCTGTCCAAGCTGCTGTAGTCAAGAACTCTTCCTCTGGTGTCAACTGCATTATTAGTTTGAATGTCAATAGTCAGTTTAAATACATCCTGGGCATTAGGTTTGCTAGTAATTTTAATGAGGCATAAAGCTCAGTTTAGTAGGGATTGAGCAAAGATACATTTCTATCTTTGGAGTTTATAGCATTTTTCTTTATGTGTTGACATTTAAAACCACAGTTCTTTTTCTTACTTTCTCTCCTCTCTCTCAAAAATAAAACTTTAGCTGCCTTCTTTCTTTTCTACCTGTGATTTATTTTACTGTTCATTGAATCCCTTCACTGGAGCATAAGTGCAAATAGACTACACACACACACACATATAAAAAAAAATAATCATGGGACCTTTCACACTACACAGTTATAGTGTTATGAGACCACTTGGCCAATTATGCATTCTATGGAAACCTAGGATTTGTAATTTGGTGGTACGCTAGAAAAAGACAGGATGTTTTAAAAGTTGGAATCAGCCTCAGGAGACCTGGGTTGCAATCCCCACTTAACCATGAAAACTCACTGCGTGGCATTTCTCTCAGCTTTAGATGAGGGTAATAGCAAACCCACTAACTCTAAGGGTAACAGAAAACCCTGCTTGTCTAGAAAACCCCATGGTAGATTTGTCTTTCTATAAATTAGAAACAAAACAGTAGAACTTCATATCAAAGAATGCCAAATATTCCTCACTGAACTGCAAATTCCAGCATTTCTTGTGATAGAACTATGACAGTTAAAGTGGAATTATAGTGCTATGATCCTGTAGTTTGAAAGATTCACAGGTTGTTCCATACCAGCTGACAAGTTTCTCAAAGTTTTACTGCTATTTAAGAAACTTGGCAACTTATCCAAGATCCTACCAGGAGAGGGACCCCCACTACCATCACATGTATCCCATTTTATGTCCAAAAGATGTAAACCAAAACACACAAAACACATCTTCCAGATTCACTTTACCTTGTGGACATGACCATACAGCCAGTGTGTGGGGGGTAATGGAAAACACTGAAGGGCGTTGACCATATTCTGTCTGTACCAAAACACTTGGATGACTTTCATGATGACATAGGTAAGACTCCAAAGAAGTACAAGACGGAATATCGGATGGGAATCCTGAGGCAGCCAAGAATTATCCACAGGTTCTGGCACAGTATTCATACTTTTTCCTGGTGTCTCTTTGTTTTCTTCCATCATGCTCCTCTTGCTCCAAGCAAAAGTGTTGCTATAAACTCCAGACCTCAAGTTGCTCCTGACACGACCAAAAAAATGTATTGTCTTCAGCAATTTCACAATGCATGCCAAAAGAAAAGCTCACTATATAACTGTCATGTTACCTAAGACTGTTACTTTCAAAAAGGGCTGAATCAAGGCTCAGCCAATAAAGCCCACTCTCTTAAGACATGCCTTTACTTTAAAGAAAACCAGTGTGACTTATCTTTATTTTCTTGAACAGTATCAAGGAGGAGCCCCCGACGGCACAGTGGGTTAAACCCCTGTGCCAGCTGGACTGAAGACCAACAGGTTACAGGTTCAAATCCGGGGAGAGCACGGATGAGCTCCCTCTATCAGCACCAGCTCCTCATGTGGGGACATGAGAGAAGCCTCCCACAATGATGGTAACACATCAAAAATATCCGGGCATCCCCTGGGCAATATCCTGGCAGACAGCCAGTTCTCTCACACCAGAAGCAACTTGCAGTTTCTCAAGTCACTCCTGACACGACAAAAAAAAAAAGACAGTATCAAGTGACAAAGCATCATTAGCTATTATCTGTTAATATAGCTTCTGTTTCCTTGGCCAATGTTAACGGGATAGGTACACAAGCTCAGAGTTTGCAAATGTTATCTTGAATAGTTAAAACAGGTTCAGCTGCTTCAGTTTTTTAAAAAATCTTTTAAGTTAGGAAAACTCCACAATTACAGCAAAGTTTAGTTAAACAAACAACAATGATATCGTTATCATCAAGGGGAAAGATTTTTCTCAAACTCTGGAAAGATTTCAGTGCCTTTCTCCATGGCAGATTTTGCCAATCCAAATAATATCCTCAATTTGAAAGAAAAATGGTTATCTACACCGCTTTGGCATATGAAGCTTGGTAGCTTAACAGCTTTTTTAGCAATGCTGTGTTACCCTTTGTCAGGTCAGCTGCAAGATCAAGGGCAGCCCAAATCGTTTTGCAGCCTGAGACAAATTCACCTTTGTATCACACAAAACCACACACTACCTGTTGCCAATCTGCCATCTCCTTTTGTCCTCTGCTATTGAGGGACAAAACTTGTCAATGCGCCACAGATGTTTCTGTGCTGGCATGCTAGCACAGAAGTGATGTCAGAGAGAAGAATTGTCCTTTTCACCCACTTTCCTTTGGTTGGTAAATGTGTATTGTTTGTTTGGTTTTTTTACTATTACTATACTGCTGTAATTGTGAAGTTTCCTTAATTTAAAATATACATTTCTTAAAAATTGGAGCAGCAGAACTGTGGAAGGACAGAGTTACATTGCTTAACTAGAAGTGTGGCTGTACACCTCAGATCACTGAAGCGTTGCAGTTCTGCAATACTTTGGAGAGAGACAATATTGAGGGTCACCATACTGATAAGGTGCTGCTATCTCTAGCTTTAAGCCAGGCCTTGAAACCGCAGGCCATTAAATGCTAATCAAGGCTGCAAATTGCAACATTCACACATACCCCAAGCAGACAAGAGTTCATTCCCCCACCCTGGACATTTCACAGATATATAAATCTCACTTACCATATATTCTGGTGTATAAGACGACTGGGCGTATAAGATGACCCCAACTTTTCCAGTTAAAATATGGAGTTTGGGATATACTCACCGTATAAGACCACCCCTATTCCGCCTCCTCCTCCCACCCCGTGAAGGGAGGGAGAGAAGGAGGGAGATCCTAACTAAAGAATTAAAAACATCTAAAAACAATTATATCAATTATTAAAATCACACAATCCATAACTATAATTTTGCTACTCTTATGAATCATAATGTAAATCTTTGATATGCAGGATGTACTTTCATTGTTACAAATGGAACATAATTAAAGCATAGTGATTAATCAGAAAAGCAATGTTTGGGGGGTGATGAACAACAGATAATGGGATTTGCAGTACCTTAAACCAATTCAGTGATGGCTTCCACAGACCAATGACACCTTCACGAATTACAGACCTGGACCAAATTGGCACACAGAACCCCCATGACCAACAGAAAATACTGGAGGAGTTTGGGAAGAATTAATGGGAGATGTAGTTCACACATCTAGAGAGCACTGTGAACCCAAACAACTATTGATCTGGACCAAACTGGGCATGAACACTCAATATGCCCAAATTTGAACATTGGGGAAAACAAACCTTGGAAATTGGGAGCTGTTGGGATTTGTAGTTCTCTGTAATCAAAGAATATTCTGCACCCCAACAGCAATGGAATTGGACTAAACTTTGCACAGAGAACTCCCATTAGCAACAGAGAATACTAGAGGGGCCTGGGGAAAACAAACCTTGGAAATTGGGAGCTGTTTGGAGAGGCGGTCCTGGGCCCACAGGAACAGCAGTGGCCTAACGAACCACTGGAGGTGTTCTGAGGTAGGACACCACTGCTTCCGCTGCTCCGGGAAGGCATTCTATTACTGCTGGAGTGAGAGAGGGCTGCCGCTAGGCCACTGCTGTTCCCATGGGCTTGGAGCGGAGTTCTCCTCCGCCCCTGCCAATCTGTCCCCTGCGTATAACACGGCCCCCAACTTTTCAAAAGTTTTTCCAGGGTTTTAAAGTCGCTTTAAACGCCGGAATACACTTAGTTTCCAACAGACCCATAAACCTTTGATGATGCCTGCCATAGATGTAGGCGAAACATCAGGAGAGAATGCTTCTGGAACATGGCTGAAAACAGCCCGGAAAACTCACAGCAACTTATCTTGGGAATGTTATGTTGTTCTGGGCTGTATGGCTGCGCTCTAGCAGCATTTTCTCTCGATGTTTTGCCTACATCTGTGGCTGGCATCTTCACAGGATGATGGTAAAGCAAGTGGAGTATATATACCCGTGGAATGTCTAGGGTGGGAGAAAGAACCAGTGTCTATTTACCAAGTGTGAGGGGTGCAATTAGCAAGCCTGATTAGCAAGTGTTTAAGTGGGATCCATCCATTAGTATGTGAGTAACTGAGAAGATTGCATAGTCAATAGTGAGGGCCAGACCTTTGTTCTCTTGGAATGTTTATGTCCTGTACTTTGTCTGGGTGGTGTTTACTTGCCCTTGATAGCTTGCTACCCAGGGGCTTCCTGTGTCTGGGTGATGTTCATTAGTTACTGTCTTGAATCTGGTGTTTCTCAATACTGGTAGCCAAATTTTGTTCATTTTCATGGTTTCTTCCTTTCTGTTGAAATTGTTGATGTGCTTGTGGATTTCAATGGTTTTTTTGTGTTGTCTGACAAAGTGGTTGTCAGAGAGGTCTTCTTCCAGTGTAAAGATTCATACCCAATGAACCTCCATATCTATTCTGCCATCAGCTTTACAAAACTGTATCCGCTGTGTAACTGTGGCCATATTTGTTTTTGCAGATCTTTTTGTTGTTTACAATTCATTCATCAAATGCATAATATCAGAAAATCATCTTTATACATCCATGTATTTCATTCCAGAGGGAATAAGAGTGAAATTGTATGCAGAAAAAAATGATAGTGATAATTTTATTCTTAATGTCAGCCATAATTGAAATGGATGATTATAACACAGATGCCTAGCAATAAGTAAGCCGGGATGTGATAAAATAACTTGCTATTTAAATGAATATAAGCCGAGCAGTTTTATTATTTTGATTTACCTTTGAACTTAAAGGCAATAAGTCCTGTTTGAACTGACTGTTCTTTTCCCAGCAGACACATGAAGATGTTAAATAGCATAGGGAACAAGAGTGAACCCTGAGGGACTCTGCAGGCCAATGGCCCAAGAGTCGGTCAGAAATCCTCACCAACAACTTTTGAGATCACTTCTCCAAGAATGAATGGAACCTGTGAAGAATAGTACCTTCAAGCTCCATCCCAGAGATACCATGATCAATGGTATCAAAACCTGCTGAGAGGTCCAGCAGAACCAATAGAGTTACACTCCCCCAGCCAAGTTCGTGACCAAAGCTCTCTCTATCCCACAGCCAAGTCTGAAACCATACTGAAATGGATTTAGATCACCCAGAAACAGGAAACAGTAATGTTCCTTGGTAAAACCACTGGCCAGAGGCCAATGATGTATTTCTGCTGGTTCTGCCAAAAGGAGCACCTTTTCCTTCCTCCTGCAATCATTCTTGCATCCCCTGCAAAAAATAAAATAAAATAAACTTCTCTGTAGGCCAGAAAACCCTGCAGAACAGGTTTGAAGTGTCACGGAGGACAACAACAATGTATGAAATGGAAAGTTCAAATTCTTTTGCTGTTGGATGCAGACTCTTTAATTTTAACCAGAATTTCCACATTTTCTATGAGCCAGGAGATTATGGTATTCAGTGCTGTCATGCCCCAAAACAGATTATATAAAGATGTTGAGAAGTTTCTAAAAATAAAAACTGTTTGTTCAGAACAGTAAAAAAATAATTGTTATCATGAAACTTCTTGATACTAAGATTTTATGATTCTATGGTCATAGGCAGTATAAAAGAATTGTTATCATGAAACTTCTTGATACTAGAATAGAGCATAAATGGAGCATAAAAGGTAGGAAAGTATTTGAAGGCATAAATCTGGGTACCATGTAGCCTCTAGAATACCTTCTATGTGGAGTTTCAAGGCAGGAAGTTCACACAATTCTACGATGTCAGTGACTACTGTGAAGTCAAAGGTTGGAATCCACAGCTTCAGCATCCATGGTGTCAACTGTCCATGATTTGGAAATATCCCCCCCCCCCACACACACACACAAAGGAATCATTGTTGTGGGCTTTTATACATACTGACCATGCATAGCAGTGAACCCAAGGGCCTGACTGTCTCTTCCAGCTCTATGGCTGGATCTATACTGCCATATAATGGAGTTTGAACTGAATTACATGGTAGTGTAGTTCCATATAATGCATTCTGAATCACACTGAACTGCAGTTACATTATACACTGATAATATAATGTAAGTCAAACTGGATTATATGGCAGTGCAGATCCAGCCTAAGATTTTATGATTCTATGGTCATAGGCAGTATAGACCTATGAAAATAATGGAGGTAGCAAAATATATTGGGCCAGTTCTGCAGATATGTCTAATGCAAACACCTTCAATTGAATCACATTTTACACTACAGGTATACAGTTAATGAAGTGGATATCTTCTGGAGATTAACCAAAAAACTGGTACCAGAAGCAGGAATAACAGAGAAAAATATGTAGAGCAGCTGGTGTGTTGGCTGCAGTCTGTTGGTGCACCACACAAATATAGTGAACCTACAGGCAGTTCCTAAGGTACAAACAAAATAGGTTAAGTTTGTTCTTAAGTTGAATTTTTAAGTTGGAACAGCTATATTTTAAAGGGTAATTCCAGCATACAAACATGTGTATATATGTATATGTACATATACATGCATGCATATATATGCATGCATGCTTTGGCTAGCATAGGGAAGGGTTAACACATCTGTGGTGTTTGTTTTGCTGTCTGTACCCCTGTTCAGAAGATTTCACTGCACTTTCTATCCCTCTGAGAATTGGATTTTGGAAAATTTGGCTTGTTGTGGAA